GGATCCGCACCGCTGGCACCGGGCACCGGGGGGGAGCTGGGGAGCGCTGGGACAGGCGGGGGTGGGGGTGCTGGGGGCTACGGGAGGGGGCTCCGGGATGGGAGGGGACCGGAGGCGCTGGGGTGGCTCTGGGGACTGGGAGAGGGGGGAGACGGGGAGGCTGCGGGCACCGGGGGGCACCGGGGGCACCGGGACAGGGTGCTGGGGCAGTGGGGGACGCGGAGCATTGCGGGGACAGGGCCTTGAGACCGAGGGGCTGGGGCTGGGAGCGCTCGGGGGCTGCTGGGGACAGGGGGGAGCTGGGGGCGCAGGGAGCTGGGGGGGTTGGGGGGGTGACGGGGAGGGCACGGGGCACCTCGTAACCCTGCCCGTGCCCGCAGCACGATGTGGAGCTGATGGACCCCCGCGGGCGGACCCCGCTGGAACTGGCCGTGTCCCTCGGGCACCTGGAGTCGGCGCGGGTGCTGCTGCGGCACAACGCCAACGTGGGCCGGGAGAACGCCAACGGCTGGACAGGTAGGTGGGCACGGGGGGCCGCCGGCGCAGGGCGGGAGGCGCAGGGACACCGGCGCTGGCGGCGCCCGGCTGATGGCACCCCGTGCCCCAGTGCTGCAGGAGGCGGTGAGCACGGGGGACCCCGAGATGGTGCAGCTGGTGCTCCAGTACCGCGACTACCAGCGAGCGACGCGGCGGCTCGCCGGCATCCCCGAGCTGCTCAGCAAGCTGCGTCGGGTACGGCCCTGCCGGGGTGGGCACCGGGCACCGCTGGCGCTGGGGGCCCGCCAGGCTGGGGACTGGGGGTCACGGAGGCTGCTGGCGAGCTCCTGGGGCCCCCCGCAGGACGCCCATCTCCCCCAGGACCCCCCAATTGGTTGTTCCCCAGACCCCCTACCCGCAATTCGGCCTCTGCCGAGGATCCCCACTGGGGCTCTGTTCCCCCTGGGACCCTCCTGCTGCAGCCCCCCGCCGTGTCACCCCTCTGCCCTGTGACGCCCTCATCTCTTCCAGGCCTCCGACTTCTACGTGGAGATGAAGTGGGAGTTCACGAGCTGGGGTGAGCAGGGCCGGGGGCTGGGGCCGGGGGGGGCCGCCCCCACCCTGCTGCTGACGGGTGCCGGTGCCGCAGTGCCGCTGGTCTCCAAGGTGTGCCCCAGCGACGTCTACCGGGTCTGGAAGCGGGGCGAGAGCCTCCGGGTTGACACCACGCTGCTGGGCTTCGAGCACATGACGTGGCAGCGGGGCCGCCGCAGCTACATCTTCAAGGGAGAAGGTTGGCTCCAGCACCCTCAGACCCTGCAACCACCCCCAAGGGGTCCCCCTGGCACCCGTGCGTTGCACACAGTCACCCAGACGGACATTGGATCCCCTACGGAGACCCCAGATGCCCCCAGGGGCAGGGGCAGGCTGGGTGCCGGGGTTCCCATCCCTGCAGTGGGCATGGTGGGGCCGAGGGCAGGCGCTGACCCCACTTCCCCACGTGCAGAGGAGGGGGCGGTGGTGATGGAGGTGGACCACGACAAGCAGGTGGTCTACACCGAGACGCTGGCGCTGGCCCTGCACGAGCCCGACCTGCTGCTGGCGGCCATGCAGCCCTCGGAGGAGCACGTGGCCGGGCGGCTGACATCGCCCATCGTCTCCACGCACCTCGACACGAGGAACATCGCCTTCGAGCGGTGCGTGGGGGGGTGCTCGTGGCGGGGAGGCCAGCAGGGCACAGGCGCGGTGGCCGCGGGCCTGATGCCTCCACACCCCTTCCCAGGAACAAGTCGGGGATCTGGGGCTGGCGCTCGGAGAAGATGGAGGTGGTCAGCGGCTACGAGGCCAAGGTGCGCCTGGTGGGGCGGGGGGCAGGGGGGGCCGTGGTGTCCCCGGGGCTGAGCCTGTCCCTGTGTCCTGTCTCTGCAGGTGTACAGCGCCAGCAACGTGGAGCTGGTCACCAAGACCAGGACCGAGCACCTCTCTGACCAGGACAAGTCACGCAGCAAAGGTGACAGCCCCAGCGACCGAGGGGGGGGGGCTGCCAGCAGCGGGGGCTCACCCCCCTCCCGGGTCAGGGCCCTCCTCCTTCCTGGGTGCACTGCATGTGGGGTGATGTGGGGCAGCACGTGGGGGTGATGTGGGGCACGGTGCTGGGTGCACTGTGCCTGCCTGCACTACCCCCTGCACCTCGGGGTCTCCCTGCAGGCTCCAGGACTCCCTTTCACTCCTTCCTGGGCCTGGCGCAGCAGCACGGCACCCACAACGGGGTGAGCGGTGGGCAGGGGGCCTGGGGGCGATGCGGGGCAGGGCAGGGCTGAGCCGTGCCCCCTGCCACCGCCCTCCCCAGGCACCCGTGCTGCAGGCGGCCAGCCCCACCAACCCTACGGCCATCACCCCCGAGGAGTACTTCGACCCCCACTTTGACCTGGAGGCCCGCAACATCGGGCGCCCCATCGAGGTGTCCAGCAAGGTGCAGAGGTGAGCAGCGGGGCCGGGGGAGAGGCAGGACACGGTGGCGGGGCGCGGGGGGGGCTCCCTGTGCCCACGCCGGTGCCCGGGCAGGTTCAAGGCGACGCTGTGGCTATGCGAGCAGCACCCGCTGTCGCTGGCGGAGCAGGTGACGCCCATCATCGACCTGATGGCCATCTCCAACGCCCACTTCGCCAAGCTGCGCGACTTCATCACCCTCAAGCTGCCCCCCGGCTTCCCCGTCAAGATCGGTGAGGTTGGGGCTGCGAGGCCGGGGGCTGCGGGAGGGGCAGGGCCCACCCGGCACGGGGCCGCTGACCCCCTGTGGTGCCCCCCAGAGATCCCCCTCTTCCACGTCCTCAACGCCCGCATCACCTTCAGCAACCTCTGCGGCTGCGACCAGCCGCTGGGCTCCGTGCGGGTCTGCGCCCCCCCCCAGCCCCCTGGCGCGCAGCCCCCCGGCCCTGGAGGTGAGCGATGGGGGTGCCCTGGGGAGGGTGGGGGCATCGGGGTGGGGGGCTCCCCATGGGGGTGCTGCGGGGTGCTGCGGGGTGCCCCATGGGCGGTGCCCCCAGCGGTGGCGGTGCCGCAGGCTGGCCCTTCCCGTGCGAGGTGGAGCCGGGGGTGTTCGAGGTGCCGCCGGGCTACACGGTGCTGGGCGCGGGGCGCAGCGAGCCCCTGCGGGACGAGGACGACGACCTGCTGCAGTTCGCCATCCAGCAGAGCCTGCTGGACGCCGGCACCGAGACCGACCAGGTGAGGCCCCGCCCCCGCGGGGAGGCCCCGCCCACATCGGGCCACGCCCCGTTAGGCTCCTCCCCCTTGGGGCGAGGCCCCGCCCCCTGGCTCGAAGCCCCGCCCCCCGCAGGTGACGGTGTGGGAGGCGCTGACCAACACGCGGCCGGGCGCCCGCCCCCCGCCCTACGACGAGGAGCTGCAGCTGGAGCGGTGAGGCTCCGCCCACGGGGGGGCGGGGTCTGCGGGGAGCCACGCCCACAAAGCCCGAAAGTGGGCGGGGCTTGGCGGGAGGGGGCGGGGCTTGGAGGCACCAGTACGGGGGTGGGTGGTGAGGTGGGCGGGGCTTGTTGGGGCTGGGGGCGGGGCTTGTTTGAAGGGGCGGGGCTTGCTGGACTGGGGGCGTGGTTTGATGGGTTGTGGGCGGGGCTTGATGTGGATGGGGGCGTGGCTTGCCCAGGGGGCGTGGCCTGAGCGCTGTCCCGCAGGGCGCTGCAGGAGAGCCTGCTGCTGCAGGCGGGGCCCGGCGCCGCCCCCCTCGGCGGGGCCCCCACCGGGGGCAGGAGGTGGTGGCGGTGGTGGTGGCGCCCCCCCCCCGGTTCCGGCGGCGCCCCCCGGTTACGGCGGCAGCTTCGCGGAGCAGCTGCGTCTGGCCATGGCGCTGTCGGAGCAGGAGCAGGAGGAGCGCGAGCGGCGCCGGCGGGAGGAGGACGAGGAGCTGCAGCGCATCCTGCGCCTCTCCCTCACCGACAAGTAGCGCGGGGGGGGGGGGGCCCGGCACCGGGACCCTGCCCCCGCACCCCGCCGGGCCCGGCACGGCCCCCCCCAGAGCCCCCCGGTGCCGTGCGGGGCCCGTCGGGGCTGTACATACGCTATACATACAGACCTACCCACCGCGCCGTGTCCGACTGTGCCTGGCCGGGGGGAGAAGGGGGGAGGGGGGGGGCTCCCCAAACGGCCGGTCTGGCCCCGTGCCCCCGGAGGGGCTGCCCCGGGGTTGGCGGGGGCGGGGCCGGGGCGGGGCCGTGCCCGCTGCCGCTCCCGGGCCGTTCCCGTGCCCGCCGCTTCCTGGTGCGGGGCGGCGCGGCGGGGGCATGGCGCTGGTCACCGTGCGGAGGGCGGGGGGGGCCGCGGTGAGTGCGGGACGGGACGGGACGGGACGGGATGGGAAGGGATGGGGGGGATCGGGGGGGCCGCCGGGTGCTGCCGGGACGGGACGGGCCGGGCTGGGACGGGCCCCGCCGCCGCGGGGGGGTGGCGGAGCTGCGGGCAGCCCCCACCGCTCCCGGGGCCGCCGCGGTTTCGGGCCCCTCGCGTCCGCTCCCAGCACGGGGCCGGGGGCTGCCCGCTGAGCAGAGGGGGGGGCGATGTCCTCAGCTGCTCCCAGTAAAGCCCCGCTCGTCCCCAGTGCTCCCAGTATGTTCGCTAAGGGGGCTGCCCCCCTGGGTCCCGCTGGCTGGAGGGGCTGTCCCAGGGACTCCCGGGGCAGTCCGGGGCTGTCCCAGTGCCTCCCAGTTGGGAACAGGTTGTCCCAGTAGCTCCCAGCCTCTACCCGCCCCCCCTGCACCGACCGCTGGGCCTTATCGGGGCGCACAGCCCCTGCGAGCACTTCCCCTGGGCAGCGCCCAGCGTGGGAGGGGGGGCTGGGGTCAGGACCTCCCCAGGGGTCTCAGCTCCCAGGGACCCCTCCCCAGTCCCTGTAGGACCCTGCTGTGCCCATGCTGGGGGGTGAGGGGGAGAGAGGGAGGGGCAGGGTGTCGCTGTCCCAGGGCACCCCTCCCCAGTGTCCCAGTGGGACGCGCTGGGGGGGCCTCGCCATGCCCATGGTCATGCTCCCCTTGGGGCGCTGCCCCCCCCCACGTTTGCAGGAGGACAATGTGCCCAGGCGCGGCCAGCTGCAGCGGCGGTGAGAAGGGGTCCCCAAATCATGGGACGGGGGCCTGGGGCACCGGGGTGGGGATGGGACAGCGTTGTCCCCTCCCTGCTGCTGCACCCCGTGTCCTGCTCAAAGCCCTGCTGCCCCAGGCAGAGTTTCGTCATGGTCAAGGGAGCTGCCTTGCTGCTGCCTGCCGAGGAGCCGCTGGTGGCTGAGCCCCCCCCGGCTGCGCCCCTGGGGCGGCAGGAGCAGCACCTCCAGCTCATGATGCAGCTGCTGCGTCCCCAGGATGCCATCCGTCTGGTAGGGCACGGCCACCTCCCCAGGGATGGGATGGGACAAGAGCAGAATGGGGACATTGACAGGGAAATAGCGGAGATGAGGGTGGGCTGGGGACAGGATGGGGACCGGGATGCAGATGGGGACAAGGATGGGATGAGGATGCAGGTGCTGATGGGGTGGGAACAGGGACGGGATGAGGATGAGGATGGGAGTGAAGCAGGGATGGGGAAAGGATATGGATGGCAATGAGAATGGTAACGAGGATGGGATGTGGATAGGGTAGGGACAGGATGGGTCGGGATGGGGATGGCAATAGGGACGGGCTAGGGACTGGGATGGGGTGGATGGGGAGGAGATGGGATGCAGACAGCGACTGGTGATGACAACAGGACTGGGGATGCGTTGGGGCCCAGGGTGCTTGCAGGGGGCAGAGCAGCCGTGCTGCCCCGGGGGTGCAGGGTGTCCCCTCAGCCTCCCCCATCCCAGGCGGTGCGGCTGGAGTCGGCGCGGCCGCAGCGGGTGAGGTACCTGCTGGTGGTGCGGCCGGAGGAGGCAGATGCCGAGGGGCAGACGGTGCTGCTGGGTGTGGACTTCCCACACGAGGGGTGAGTGGAGCTGGGAGACCGAGGGGGGGGTCAGAGGCAGCCTGCCCCCCTGACCTGCGCCCACCCCAGGTCCACCCGTTGCACCCTGGGCATGGTGCTGCCCCTCTGGAGCGACACCCAGGTCTTCCTCGATGGTGACGGGTAAGGGGGAGCCTCCTGGGGGGGGGAGAGGGGGCTGGGGGAGTGGACAGAGCCTGCAGGAAGGAGTGGGGCAGGGGTGACCACCCTGACCCGTGTGTGTCCCTGTGGTGCCCAGGGGGTTCAGCGTGATGTCGGGGGGGCAGACCCGAATCTTCAAGCCCATCTCTGTCCAGACCATGTGGTGAGCCAGCGGCTGGGCACCACCGTGGGCATGGGGGATGTGGGTATCACCGTGGGCATGGGGGATGTGGGTATCACTGTGGGCATGGGGGATGTGGGAATCACCGTGGGCATGGGGGATGTGGGAATCACCGTGGGCACGAGGGAAGTGGGCACCACTGTAGTGTGGGGAACGTGGGCATGGCAGATGTTGGCACCAGTATGAACAGGGGACATGGGCATGGGGGACATGGGCATCACTATGGCATGGGGGATCTGGACACCACTATGGCACAGGGATGTGAGCACCACTATGGCATGGGGGACATGGGCACTACTATGGCACTTGGGACATGGGCATGGGGGACATGGGCACTACTATGGCCTTGTGGACATGGGCATGGGAGGTGTGGGCATCACCATGGACACAGGCATGAGCAGGGGCTGTGTGGGTGGGCTTTGGATGTGGGCAGAGAACACGGGGCTGTGGGGCGATGTCACAGGCACCATGATGTGTGGGGCTGGGAGATGAGGTCCTGGGAGGAGGCCGCGGTGTGGGCAGGGCGAGGGGGCCGCGTGCCAGGCTCCTGTGCGGCAGGGCCGTGCTGCAGGAGCTGCACCGAGCCTGCGAGCAGGCGGCCCGCGGGGGGCACATCCCTGGGGGCCCTGCGCTGCTCTGGGCCCGGGACTACGCGGCTGCGCTGAGCTCGGAGCAGAGCTGCCTCAACGAGTGGCTGGCCATGGCCGACCTGGAGTCCGTGCGCCCCGGCTCCCCCCAGCCCTCGGGGTAAGCCCCGGCCTCGCGCTGCCCCCCTGGGATAGGGCTGGGGGAGGGGGGGCTTCCAATTTGGGGGGCTGCGGGGTGGGGGTGCACGGCTGAGGTGCCGTGGCTGGTGCCAGGCCGGCGGTGCCGGAGCTGACGGAGCAGGCGGTGCGGGCGCTGCTGCGTAGATGTCCTGGCCTCCGCTGACCTGGAGAGTGTCACCTCCAAGGAGGTGGGTGCCGGGGGCCTGGGGGTGGGCTGGGGAAATGGGTGGGGGGGTCCCAGTCCGCATCCCTCACCCCCTGCGGTGCCAGGTGCGGACGGAGCTGGAGCGGCGCACGGGGCGCAGCCTGGCCCAGCACAAGGACTTCATCGACAACGAGATGCTGCTGGTGCTGGCGCAGATGGACCGGCCCTCCTGCGTCTTCCCGCACCTCTACCTGGTGGGCAGCGGGGCAGGGTGTGGGCAGGGCACGGATGGGCTGCAGGAGTGGCTGTCCCCAACCAGTCCCTGCTGGCACAGGGCTCCGAGTGGAACTGCTGCCAACCTGGAGGAGCTGCAGCAGAACCGGTGGGCGAGGGGCTATCCGCGGCGGGGCGGGCAGGGGGGCAGCGGGGAGCACAGCCCCTATCCTCCGCGCCTACACTCTGCAGCATCACCCACATCCTGAACGTGGCGCGGGAGATTGACAACTTCTTCCCGGCGCTGTTCACCTACATGAACGTGCGGGTGTACGACGAGGAGGCGGCCGAGCTCCTGCCCCACTGGAACGACACCTTCCTCTTCCTCTCCGACGTCAAGTCAGTGGGGATGTGGCGGGGCAGGGGTCACCGGGGCACGGAGCGTGGGGGGCTCGGTGGGGGTCCTAGGGCAGACTGGGGAGGCGGAGGGGTGCAGGGAGGGGGCATCTTGATGGCTGAGGTGCTGGGGGCCCTGGGGGATGCTGGAAGGTGGGGGGCTCTGGGGCTCTGAGGACACCGGGGGCGTTAGGGACAAGGGGAATAGGTCCTTGGGGACATGGGTAATCCTTTGGACACGCGGGCAGGGAAGCACTGGGGGTACTGGTGGCACTGGGAGCTGGGCAGCCGAGGGGTCCCTGGGGACGGCGGGGTCCCCAGGGGCGCCGGGAGCTGTTGTCGCAGTGCGGCTGCCGCAGGGCCCGCGGGGGCCGGGCGCTGGTGCACTGCCGCATGGGGCTGAGCCGCTCGGCGGCCACGGTGCTGGCCTACGCCATGAAGGAGTTCGGGTGGCCCCTGGAGCGGGCGCTGCGGCACGTGCGGTGCTGCCGGCCCGGCGTCATGCCCAACCCCGGCTTCATGCGCCAGCTCGACTTCTACCAGGGCATCCTGAGCGCCAGGTGGGCGGGGGGGGCCACAAATGCCACGCCCACTTTGTGAATGTGGGCGGGGGCAAATTTGGGACATGCCCCCTTGGGATTTTTAGCCCCTGCCCTCACCGGCAGGGGCTGGGGGCAGCGGGTGACCGTGGGTGCTCCCCCGGCAGCCGGCACAGCGTCCTGTGGGAGCCCCGGGCAGCAGAGCGTGTGTCCCAGCCAGGAGCCCGAGGAGGCTGCCCCAGGGGATGAGGGGGTCCTGCCCCAGCCCCGAGCCCCGTCCCGTCCCCGCAGCCTCCCGAGGAGGCCAGCAGGCAGCCGGCGGGGCCGGGGCTGTCGGGAGCCCCCCAGCGCCCCCGCATCTCCCTCTGCGCCGTCATGCGGAGCATCAGCCTGATGGAGTCCCCGCAGCCCCCCGAGCTGCTGGGGGAGCCCCTCGATGGGGCGGTGAGTGCTGGGGCAGGGGACACCGGGGGGGGGGGGCAGGGGATGGGGTGAGGTTGTGGCACCGAGCACGGCCCATGGGGTGCTGCCCATGGTGGGGGCACAGGTACACGGTGCTGGGCTGGGGATGCTGGGGGCCAGTGGGGCGCAGCGGCTCTCTGGAAGCCCCTCCTGCTTCCCGCAGGTGTTTGAGGCCACAGAAGTGCCGGGGGACCCTGGGGACCCAGGGGGGTCACCCTCAGGGGCACGGCCCAGCTCCCGGCCCCGACGTGTAGTGCGCCAGGCCAGTGTGGATGGAGGCCCAGCTGGCACAGAAGCCCCCAGCCCACCCGCCTCCGGCTGCGACCCTGCCCTTGCCTCCACCTCCCCCCTTGCCCCCTAGCCCCAGCGGGGAGGAGGACAAGGGGCAGGCCCCCTGCCATGGCACCAGGGGATGGGGCAGGGCGGGGGCCCGCTGCCCCCCACCCCCCCACCCCACAGCCTGCATTTTGGGGCACGGGGCGGCACTGCCTCACCCCATACCCGGGGCACTGCTGCACCCCTGGGGGGTGACACAGCCCCCGGGCCACACCTTGCCACGCCGGCCCCCTGCACCAGCACGGCACCAGCCTGACAATAAAGCACGTAACGGACGGAGCTGGCGTGGGGACCCTGCCTCTGCATGGGGGGCTCGGTGGGGACAGGCGTGGGGCTGCCCTGATTGCGGGGTGGGGTATCGGCAGTGGGGTCGGGGCAGCTCGGGGAGGAGGCGCCGCGCACTACAACTCCCAGCAGGCTTTGCGCGCGGCTGCCGTGCCCCGCCCGGCTTCTCCGCCCGCGGGCATCATGGGAAATGTGGTCCGGGCAGAGGGCAGCTGAGGCGCCATCTTGTGCGAGGCTGGTGGAGGGCGCGGGTGTGAAGCCTGCGGGCTGTAGGAACCGGGGGCTGGGCTCCTACACTGGGGGGCGCCGCACGTAGGGAGCTGCCTGGAGACCCCACAGCGGGACGGGACTGGCTGAAGGGTGCGGGGCTGGTCCCGGGTCTGATGGTGGCTGGCTGCAGCGCTCCACTGGCACGTAGCCGACGCGCTTCGGTGGCGTGCCAACGGCCCGCCAGGAGGCTAATAAATAAAGTAACCGATAGCCTAAATAATTAACAAACTCACTCTTTTATTAATTTGTGCTTACACGATCCTGCACGCTATTAAACAGCAAAGCTACTAACAATCAACTCAATCCCACAGGACTGACCCCCCCACGCCTCTGGGAGGCAGACGCGATGCGGGCTCCCGTGGGCCATGCAAGTGGCCTCATCCAAATGCTTCGGGCACTGCCTCTACCCCAGTCACCTCGGCTCAACGGGGGATGAGCTGGTATGGTCACCTCATAAGGGACAGCTCTGCCTGCGCCCCTTCTCCTCCTGAGCTGTCCCTCTCCCCCCACTGTCCCTCTTCTCACCTGCAAGCCCCCCGCCAGCACCCCTCTACCTCCCCAGTTCCCCCTTCAGCCCTCTCATCCTTGCCACCGGGCGCCTCGCATCGCCGCTGCCGTCATCCCCACGGAGGGCAGGGGAGGCTGGCCAGCACCGGGGTCCTGCGGCACGATGCCACCGGGTGTCATGCCGCAGGACCCCGGTGCTGGCAGCAACGCTCTGTGCCCGCACAGCCCCTCGGCTCGCTTCCCCCAGCACACGCCACGCTGCAGCCACTCATCCACACCAGCCTTTCGTTACTCCGTGGCTCAGAGCCCGTACTCATGCCAGAGGCTGGGGGGATAGAAGGAGGTCAGCGAGCAGCCCCCGGTCCCCATTGCCCCCCCAAGCCCACCCCAGGTCCCATACACACCTGTAGGTGACTGCGGGGTCATCGCAGTGCTCCAGGAGGGCGTCACGGACTGGGAATGGGGGGCTCAGCCCCAGTGCCTGTGCCCGCTCCCAGCGCTGCAGGCGGGTGATGCCTGTGGGGGGAACACGGGGGGGGGCGTTATGAACTGGGGGGCGTTATGAATTGGGGGGGGGGGGCGTTATGAATTTTGGGAGGGGGGCGCTCACCCGTGGCAGGGGCCGTACTCCCAGGCCAGGTCGAAGCTCCGCAGCATGTCCAGGAGATCCGGGGGGACCCGGGGGGGCGGCGGGGGCTCCTGGGCTGCCTCCTGCGCGGGTACGGGGGGGGGGCGGGGGGGCGGGACGACCGCGGGCCCCACCCGCCGCCCCCGCCCCTTGCCGCGCTCCCCCCGCCGCGCCGCGGGGCCGGCCTTGCTGTCGGTGCGCCCCGGCCGCCGGTGCCGCCGTGGGAAGGAGTCGGTGATGAGCCCGGTGCGCTCCATGGCCTGCGGACGGGGCGGCTGCGGCACGGCTCGGCACGGCACCGCCCCCCCCGGGCTGTCCCCGACCCCCCCCGGCTTGTTCCGTCCCCCTCTCCTCCACCGCTGCCCCCGGCCGCCGTCGCACAGCCCCGGTGTCCCCGTGCCCCCCCCCCCGCCGTGTCCCGGTGCCCTCACCCCGCTCGTCCCCCGCCGCTCTGCCTCTGCCTCCCCCCCCGGAAGGGCTCCTGTTTGTGCCCCCCCCGGCGCTGACACCGTCCCCGGAGGGCCGGCCCCGGGGCTGTCGGGGCGTTGCGGCTTTATTTCTGCTTTTATTTTTTCCTGCGGGTGTTTTTTTCCCCGAGGGGACGGACGGATCGGGGGGGGCGGGGGGGGGTCAGGGCGCAGCCCGAGCCAGGGCGGGGTTGTGCAGGACGAAGCGGCACAGCCCGGGCAGGCGGCGGTGCCCCAGCGCCTCCTGCAGCCGCTGCATGGCGCCGTTGCCCGTGGCCGTGTGCCCGTAGGCGGGGAAGCCTCGGGCCAGCGCCCGGCGGGCGGCCAGGGCCGTGAGCACCCGCATGAGGCCGCGGCGGCGCTGGGAGGGCAGGGTGAAGCCGTGCGCCCCCGCCGCGAAGCCGTCGGTCAGCACCCAGCAGAGCGGCTCGCCGGCCCGGCTCAGCAGGCACAGGCTGGGGAAGCGCTCCAGCAGCTCCCCCAGGTAGCGGCGGCTCCACGCGTTCCCCCCGTACGCCCACGTCGAGTCCAGCAGCTCCACGTGGGCACGGCTCAGCGTGCCCAACTGCACGTCGGGGTCCAGCCTGCGGGGAGAGCGACGGGACGTGGGCGGTGGTGGTGGTGGGACGGAGATGGGGCAGGGTCTGGGACACGGACAGGGTGGGGATGGTGCTCACTGGGGCTCAGGTAGGGTGCTGGGGTCGGGGTGCAGGTATGTGTAGTACTCAGTCACCTCCAGCTCTACGCCCTTGGCTGCTGCAATGTCCTGGGACACCGTGGCCACCCCATCCTGCAGCCCTGGGGGGTGGCAGCAGGCAGGTGCCCCACTCCTCCCTGTCCCTATGCATTCCGACTGTGCCTCCCAGCATCCTCAAGCACACCCCCGCTGCCCGTCTCTCCCCCCCCAGCACCCTCCCCAGGGACCCTGCTCACCCAGTCCCTGCCCTTGGTACCCCCGCAGTGCCCCAACTCATGTCCCCAGTGCCTCCAGCACCCCAGTGCCCTTCAGCACCCACCACTTCCAGCCCCCCAACCCCCCCCGACCCATGCTCCCAGTGTCCCCACCACCCCAGCCCCTCGGTGCCCTGGAGCCACCAAAGATGTGGAAGGCAGGCATCCCAGCGCAGGCAGCCCGGGGGTCTCCAGCAGGGCCCGGTAGGCGCCCACATCCCGGTAGAAGGCGGCCTGCAGGTTCCAGTAGGAGTCGTCCACTGGTGCCTGTGGGGCAGGGCAGCGCTGAGCCCCCCAGCACAGCCACAGCCCCGCGCCCCAAAGCGCCCGGCAGCCACCTCTCCGCTGCGCCGTGCCAGCACGGCACCGAAGTCAGGCCAGGCATCTACTGCGACCTCGAAGTCCCCCGGGTTGCCGCGGTTGATGTTCAGCACGGCGCCGTACACCTGCGGGGCGGGCGTCAGCGCCGGGGCGGCCGTCGGGGCCCCCCCCTCGGGCAGCGCGGCCTCGCTTGGCCCGGGCGCTTTGCCCTCACCTAAGATGGCCGCCCTACTGCGGGGCGCGGGCGGTGAAGGCGGAGGGGGCGGGGCCTGCTGCCAGGTTGCTGAGTGGGGGCGGGGCCAAGCGGAGGGGCGGGCAGGGGGCGAAGGGGCGGTGGCACCGGCGCGGCCGGGGCCGGTGCGGACGCGGGAGGGGATTGGCCGGCTGGAAGCAGGCCGGGCTGCCATTGGCTGGGGCGGAGCCCGTCTGCGCCGTGATTGGCTGGCACGGGATGCCCGCGGAGGTCGGGACCGGGACCGGGACCGGGACCGGCGGTGGCGGGGCGCTCACCGGCAAGGCGTGGGGCAGGCTCCTCCGCAGGGCGTCCTCCAGGCGCTGCAGCCGGGCTGGGCACCGCAGGATCAGCATGGTCCTGCCCGGAGACCGGCAGTAGCGGGGGGCGGGTGGGGACCCCCGGGCACCCCCGGGCACCACCGGACACCCCCGGGTACCCCGGTCCCAGCCGCCCCCCCGGGGCTCCCCGGTCCCCGCGGCACTCACCCCGGGGCTACGGGCGGGCGGTGACAGCGGCAGGTCTCGGGGTGGCCGTCACGGCCGGGTGAGTGCCCCGTGCCCGGGGCGGGCGGTGGGCAGGGCCCGTCCCCGCGTGCCCGGGACACGTGGCGGTGCCCCCCCCCCCCCCCCCGCGCCCCCCGTGTCCTCCCGGGGACCGAACGGCGGCGGCGCAGCCAGCCCCGGTGCGGAGCCATGCGGATCCTGACGTGCCCCGGGCAGCTGCAGCGCCTGGAGGACGCCCTGCGGAGGAGCCTGCCCGCCTCCCTGCCGGTGACGGGGCTGGGGGGGCACCCGGGGACCCCCGTGCCATCGCCATGACGGTGACCGGCACCCGAGGACCCCCCCCGGACCTCCCTCATTCCTCCCCGCTGCAGGTGCTGGGGGCCGTGATGACGGTGGCGCGGGGGAACCCGGCGGCCCACCAGGTGCTGGTGGACTCGTGGCCCGATTTCGCCGTCGTCCTCACCCGCCTGCACCCAGAGGTGCCCCCTGGGGAGGGAAATTGGGGAAAAGGGACCGGGGCAGGGCGGCCACGCTGGGTGCTCAGTGTCCCCGCCGTGCCCCCAGGAGCTGGCGGACCCCGGGGACTTCTACGCCAACCAGTTGACCGCCTTCTACCGCGAGGAGGGCGCCTGGCGGGCGGTGCTGGGGAACCCCGAGGCCGTGGACTGGAGCCGAGCCTTCCAGATGCAGGGTGAGCGGGGTGGGGAGCCGTGCGCTGAGCCCCCCACGCCAGGCACCCGGCTGACGGGGCTGTCCCCAGGGATGCAGGACGGGGTGCACGAGGCCGTGAACGAGGTGGCTGCGGCCAAGGGGCTGCGGGTGAAGGTTTACCGGTACCGAGCGATGCTGAGTCCTGAGCCGCCCCGACCCCGTGCGCAGTGAGTGGGGATGGGAGGGCTCGGCTGGTCCCGGGGGGGGCACAAGGGTCCCTGGGCACAGCACCAGCTGACAGAGGGGTGCCAGGTGACATCAGGGTCCCTGATCCCATTCCTGGGTGGCAGGGGGGCCCCCGATCCTCTCCAAGTGACACAGTGCTCCCCACATCCCTACGTGTCCCATTGGTCCCCAGCCCTATTCCTGGGTGGCACGGGGGTCCCCAACCCCGTCCTTAGGTGGCACTGGGTGAGGGGGTCCCCGCTCCATCCCACCCCGTTGCAGGATCCCAGCGGGGCTGCGCCTGGCGCCGCTGTCCCCGTCCCACGTCCCGCTGCTCAACGCCACGTGGAGCTTCGGGGGCACGGGGCGCAGCCGTCGCTTCCTCGAGGGGCTGGTGCGGGCGCTGCCCAGCGCCTGCATTCTGGACCCCCGCGGGCGCCCGCTCTCCTGGAGCCTGGTGGACCCCCTGGGCTGCCTGAGCCACGGCTACACCGTGCCCGCCTGGCGCGGCCGCGGGCTCAGCGGGCTGGTGCTGGCCGCGCTGGGCCGGGAGCTGCACGCCCGCGGCTTCCCGCTGTACTGCGGCGTGCTGCCCTGCAACGCGCCCTCCCTGCGCGCCCTGCACGCCACCGGCTTCCTGCCGCAGCCCGGCACCCTCTACATGCTGCTCAGCACCCCCACATAGCCCCCGGCTGGGGGGCGCAATGGGGGCGCCACCGCCCCGTTCACTCTGGTCCCTACTGATGGCGAGTGCCGGCTCCCCGCCCTCCCCCCAGCGTACGGCGGCTCTGGAGAAAAAGGCTTTTATTCGTTAATACAAGAATAGATCTTCTGCAATAAATACCCTAATAAATAACATCTCCAATAAATAAACACTCACAGACGCACCGAGGCGCCCGGCCCCGCCCCCTGTGCATTGGCCCCGCCCCCTGTGCGTTGGCCCCGCCCCCCTGTGCGCTGGCCCCGCCCACCAGGCTGTGATGCGGCCGCGGGGTGGGCGGGGCTTGAGGGCAGAGGGGGCGTGGCCTGCTCAGGGGGGAGGTGCTACACGTGTTGGTGGGCGGGGCTTAGGCAGGGGGCGTGGCCTAAATCGCATGGGGGCGGGGCTTAGCGCTGGGTCCCTTGGGGTCAGCGGGGCGCTGGGGGGGCCACGAGGGCAGCGCTGCCCCCAGCCCCACGGGCATGAGCCCCATCCCTTGGGGCACGGCGAGGTGAGCACAGGGGGTGGCCGTTGGGTTCCTGGATCCCCATCTCCGGGTGCTGGATATGCGGGGTGGCTCTGGTGGCACTTTGGGGTCAGAAGCCCCCTCTGTAAGGCACAGTGGGGATATGGGCAGAGGGGACACGGGGTGGCTTTGGTGGCGCTTTGGGGTCGGGATCCCCACCTGCCAAGGTGCAGCAGGGTGTGGCGGTGAGTATGTGGGGCTGTTTTGGTGGCACTTAGGGGCAGAAGCCCCTCTGTTAAGGCACAGTGGTGGTGGGGGGGGATGTGGGGTGTATTTGGTGGCACTTTGGGGTCCGAAGTCCTGTCCATTAAGGCACAGTGAGGTGACAGTGACCATGTGGGGTGGCTTTGGTGGCACTTTGGGGTCAGAAGCGCCGTATCTCAAGGCACAGTGAGCTGGCAGTGGGGACGTGGGGTGGCCTTGGTGGCACTTTGGGACAGGATCCCCATCTGTTAAGGCACAGTGGTGTTGGTGGGGACGTGGGGTGGCTTTGGTGGCAGTCGGGCTCTGAAGCCCCATCCGTTAAGGCACAGCAAGGCGTTGGCGGGGTGGCCTCGGGGGGGCCCCGTCCCCCACCTTGGCAAAGCGGCGGAGGGTGGGGGGGGTCTCAGAAGCCCCTGGCCTCGAGGCGCAGCGTGACCACGGCGGGCGGCACCTTCTTCTTGAGGCGGTTGAAGTCCTTGGCCGAGCGCCACAGCCAGGTCTGCAGCTCCTTCAGCAGCCAGAAGTCGTCCATCTTCTTGAGGAAGTCATTGGGGGCGGCGGGGGCGCCGGGGGGCAGCGGGGGCCCGGCGGGGCCGGCAGGGCAGCGGGTAGCCTAGGGAGGACATGACGCCGGCGATGCTGACCACCAGCCCCTGCAGGCTGGAGCAGAAGTGGCCGAGGCGGTGGCGCAGCTCGGCGGTGCCCGCCTGCCCGTCCAGCCCGCGCAGGTAGCAGAGCAGGCGGCTGTAGGCGCGGTAGTTGGCCGCCAGCCGCGCGTTGTCCGTCAGCCCCCGCCACAGGTCCAAGTCCACCGTGGCGCTGGGCACCTGCTCGGCGCGCGCCAGCCGCGGGGGGTTGAAGTCGGGCTCATTGAAGGGGGGGCCCAGGTAGTTCAGCTGCAAGGGGGGGAGGGAGGGGGGTCAGGAATCTCCATGCCCTTGACTGCCTAGATCCCCATGCCCCCCAGCTGGATGTGCCCACCGTGTTCCAGTCTCCACGTCCCCTAGTGCATCATGTCCCCAAGCTCCACATCCCCAGTTCCCCATGAGCCCACATCCCAGGTCTCCACGTTCCCCCTCCCTGTACCCACCTGTGTCCCCACATCCCAGACAACAGGAGCACCCCAGGGAGCTCAACCAGAGCTTGCATGCAGTGGGGGGGGGACAGCACTGGCACCGGGGCACCTCCAGCTGTGCCACGCCAGCAGCACCGGGGGCACGTCAGGGCAGAGACAGGGAACCTCCGCGTGGGCCGGTGCCGCCGGCGGGCAGGGAGAGGCGGTGGCAGGGAGCCAGGGGTGTGCAGATGCCCGCGCCCCGTGCCTGGACCTGGGATGAGGGCAGGGGCCGGGGGAGCCGCCCTGTGCCTCTCCCGATGAGGCATTTCCTTGGCCTCCAGCACGGGTGGAGACCCACAGCCTCATGCATACAGGTGCACTCCCACCCCCATCCCGATGCTGCACCGTGGAGAGGTTTGGGGGGTCCCCACGCTAGTGGAGACGCAGAAAAAAGCAGGAGGTCCCCAGGCTTGCGGTGCCAATAGGGAGATGGGGGAGGGACAAGCCGGGGGTGGGGGGGCGAGCCCCCTACTCACATAGGTGCCAGCGAGGAGTGCGGAGCTGGTGCTCCAGGTAGCGGGTCAGGTCGTAGGTCTTCTGGATGGACTGGCCGGCGCCCAGCTCCTCCGTGCCGTTCAGGGCGGGCACTGCCGGCAGGTTGCAGAGCGCAGCGCACAGGAAGGCAAAGATCCCCCAAGAGTCTCCTGCAGAGACACGGTGCTGCCTCAGGGGGGTCCCTGCGGCACGGGGAGGGGGAAACTGGACACCCCGAGGCACCCCGGTGGGGTGTGATGGGCCCTGGGGGGTTGGGGATATGGCAGCACCCTGGCGGCTGCACCACTTGGTTCCACCAGAGCTTTGCTGCACTCCCCACCTCCCTGGGTGGGGGGATGCAGACCCCCCCGAGGAGGTCAGGGCTCGCCCACTGGCGCCCAAGACCTCCTCCTCTCACGCCGGTGACAGGGACGCCCTGCCACCCCAGGGACCTTGTGCCACTGGCACGCTCACCGCCAGCCCCAGCCTCATCCTGCACCCGGGGAAACTGAGGCAGGGAAGGTCTGGGCATGGAGCGGAGCCGCTCAGCATCCACACGGGAAGCCCGGACTGGTGCAGCAGGGGCCTTGGGGACCCCAGCGTCCCCACCAGCACCACTGGGACCACCACCCAGCACGGCCTCTCCTCTGTGCGCTGCCGACCGCGGACTGCAGAAACAATCCTTTATATGGAATCGAGCAAACGCTGCTTGCTGCACTCCCGCCGGGACGCCCGGGTTATATTTGGGAACGCCGAGTCACCTACCACCAATGCCGGAGCGGGCTTGGTTGCCTTCCTAATCACAGCACGCTGGGCACCCTGCGGGACTGCAGCAGTACATCCACATCCCCATCCCTGTCCCCGTTCCCATCCCATCTGGCCCTGCCCTGCTGGGAGCCAGGGGCCGGGCAGGGGTCAGGGGCAGGACCCCGCGGGGCGGCTGGGGCGCGGGGCAACCTTTGCCGAGGCCTCTGCCGGAAACCGCCGGCCGGGCCACGCCAGCGCCCTGACGTCAGGGCGGGTTACGAAAGCCAGCCCCGCTCACCGAGAGGTCGTGGCCGCTTCCAGGAGGCTCCGTCCAACTGGCACCTCGCTGCGCGCCCTGCCGCGCTTCCCGGCACCTCCTCCGCGGGGACATCCCACTGCCGGCACGCCGCGGCACGGCCCCGCACGGCACGGCCCTGCTCCCAGCTCCCAGCCCTGCCCGGCACGGGCAGCCCCTGGCGGCCCCCCAGGGAGGCGAGGGCGGCGGGGAGCCCTGCGGTGCCCTCACACGTCACCACTCCCCGTCAAACGCTGCCGGGAGGTTTGGAAAGCCAGGAGCAGCCAAGCTCCAGTGACGCACATGGGCCCGTGGGGACGCCCCGGCTGCGGCTGCGCCAGTCCCTGCGCGTGGCACCCGGCCCGGCTGCGCCCACCGGCCGCGGGATGCCGTCCCCTGGTGATGCACAGTGCCCTGAGGGTGTGCGGTGCGCCCTGCACAGGTGCCGTTGCGCAAAGCTCCTGCAAGCACGAGGCACCGTGCGCGTGAGGCACTATGCAGCCATGCAGTGTGCACCATGAACTTGTGGCACGCTTTGCAGGCGTGTGGCAGGCACGGCGCAGCCGTAGGGATACAACACAAAGACGTGCCACACGCCACGGAGGAGTGCCGTGCACTGTGCAAGCGTGGCACACCGCGCAAGCACAAGATCCACTGTGCACGGCACACGTGAGACGCACCGTGACAGTGTGTGCCACTGATGTCAGCCCCCGAGTGCACCCTTGCACGTGCCGGTGACCTCATGGGCGCCGCGTGCCCCCACACCGCATCCATGCCGCTGGGAGCACGCGGAGCCGCTTGTGCACAGCCGAGCCCATGGGTCCCGGCACGGTGAGCGTGGGGGGCGCACCGCGGTCCCGCTGCATGCGTGCAAGTGTGCGTGCGAGCGTGGGCCGAGGGCGGCAGGGGGGGGGCCGCATGGCGGTGACTCACCCGCCCCCGGGTGTTTGCTTTGGCCCGGCCCCACCGTGGCCGAGCCCGGCACAGGCGCTCGCAGCCCCGCACTGCGCAGCGGGGCCGGCGGGACCCTCACCCGCCACCGGCTCGGGTTTCCAGAGAGGGATTTACACCCGGCCCCAGCCCTGCTGCGGCCAAGGCAAACAGAGCTGGGGGGGCCAGGATGGGGGCGCGGGGGGGGAATGGGGACGAGGACGGAGCAGCCGGCAGCTCCCAGGCAGGCAGCTGGGGTGCGGGGCCGCAGGAGCGTGGAGATGAGGACTGAGGATGAAGGGGAGCGCCTGGTGGATGTGGATGTCCGGGACTGGGTGGTGGCTGGGATGCTTGGTTATGGTGGCATCACAGTGGTGGCACCGACCTGGCCGTGTGGCTCTGGGCACAGCCCTGAGCTGCTTGGGGTGACTGCAGCAGGAAGCCCAGCGCGATGCAGCCGCTCTCCCTCACCCGTGACGGCTCGGCACTGGGTGGGAAAGGGCTCAGCACCGGCACAGGCAGCAGCCACGCAGTCCCGGGCCCGGCAGGGAGGGGGGGGCAGGCGGCGAGCGGGGCCGGCACAGCTGGATCCCAGTGACGTCGAGAGGAAGAGCCCGAGGGTTTCAAAACCGGCCCTGGAGTGGGGCCAGGATGCTCCCGGCCCACGTAAGCAAAGCACGGAGCGGCTGTGGGGCCGGCCCCATGGGCAGGTGGAGAGCTAGGGCCACGGGAGCTGACCCCCCCCAGAGCACCAGCCAGCAGCACACCTCCCCCCATCACCTGCCCCAGCGCACGGGTGGGGATCTGCGGGCACCGAGGGGGCCGCCAGCAGTGCCCCGGGACAGCTCGCCTGGCCGTGCCCCCGTGCGTCACGGCGGGGCCACCACCCGCGTGGCTTTGGAGGCGTGGGACAGCACGGAGCAGGGAGGCAGCGGCAGAACCGCAGCCCTGCCATGAGGCTGGGGCGGGGGGGGGCCTGCCCATGCTGCCCCCCCCCCGCCGAGCAGCCCCCCCGCGAGCCGGCGCTGCCATTGTGCGGCGCTGAGCTGTTCCCTGGGCACGCCGTGGGCAGCGAGCTGCCGGGGTCAGGCGTGACCGCAAGCTGCCAGCGCCGCTTTTCCCGAAAGTGTTGAGCAAAGCGGCTCCGGAGGCTTTGGGGAAGGGGGGACCCCCGCCCTGCCGGCCCCTCGCACCAGCGCGCAGCCCAGAGCCCCGAGCGCGGCGAGGCGGCGGCGGGAGCTGCCGTATCTGATGGGCTGGCGGCCAAGGGCCGGCGGAGCCCGGCACCGCTGGGAGCGCGGCCCCTCCGCGGCGCTCGCCCGGCCGCGGGGCGGGAACAGAGCCGGGACGTCCCGCGGCAGCCAGCGTGAGCGCGCCATTGAGGAGCGGGGAGCAGCGTGGAGCCCGCGAGCGATGACGGAGCAGACAATAGCAGCGGCCCCGGCTGCCCCGACCCCGGCTCTCCCCGCGCGCCCTCACGGACGGGCTCTTGCACAACGTGGCAGCTGCCGCCAGCCGCTGGTGGGGAGCCGGCTGGGAGATGCTGCGGGCAGGATGGGCCGGGACGGGCACCTCGCGTCCCCGGGGCTGTAACACTGACAGCAGCACCGTGGGCCTGGCGTGAGGACGCTGCTCACCGCACCTGGACGCCGGGTCCTGCGGTCCCCGAGCGCTGACAGGAGGGACGCACGCACCCTGCGGCTGATCTCTGCTGCACCCAAAGTGCTGTGATTGCCCCCAGATCCAGCAGTGAGAGGCAGCAGTGGGGATCCCCCAGCCCTGCCACAGGCCTGGCCAGGAGGAGGAGTTGCAGCGTGCCTGCCCTGCTGCGCCCTGTGCAGGTCGCTGAGAGCAAAGCCACATCCCCAGGGGCGTCGGGGGAGCACGAGGGGGGAGCCCGGCCCCGCGCCCCTCTGGCTATGCATGAGCTTGCAGCCCGCGCTGAGTGTTTACATCCTGTCTCCTCCGTGTGTTTATAAATGCATCCGTGCACGGGAGACTCCAGCGAGGCCGTAATTAGCTGGGCCTGGATTTCCCATCCGGCTCCAGCCAGCGGCACGATGGAAGCCCCCCCCCCTCAACCGGAGGCAGGGGCGCAGGCCCCTAATCCCAACCAGACCCCGCACCAAGAGCCAGCCCCGCGTGGTGCTGCCCGACGGCACCCGCAGCTCCTGCCCGGCACGCACTGCCGTGCACCGCCACGCACGCCAGCGGGACCCAACGGCACAGCCTCCCCCGTGCCCATCCTCACTGCACCCACCACGGGCGCCCGCTGACCCATCCGGCACTCCTGGCACGAGGGCTGACGGCGCCAAAAAATCCCTCCCACGCCAGGCACCCCAACCCGCGTCCCCTGTGGCGCCCAGGGCCAAGGCGGCTGTGCCTGCAGCCACAGCACAAAGAGCCGAGGGAGCTTTTATGGGAGCGGCGGCGGAGCCAGGGACAGCCCAGCGCCAAAGGCAGCCTGGCCCCTCTCCGGCCTGGAGCGGAAACGGCAAGCTGGGGGCCGAGCCCGGGAGGGGAGCGGCAGCTCCCAGCACAGGGGGGGACTGGGGGTGTGGGGCCAGCTGGGGCTCCCGGTGCCAGCCCGCATGGCAGCACCGAGCCCTGTGCCGTGGGTGCCGTCAGCCCCTGACCCACCGCCGCTGCTGGCATCTCCCTCCAGCCGCCCCGTGCCACGCTGCCGGCGGGTGCGCAGGGGAGCAGCCGCCACGCTTGGCAGGCGCGGTGGGGATGGCTGTGCCCTGGGAAACCTCACGTGCTGTGCGCCCCGGTGCCCCGGTAGCACCAGGCAAGGGCTCATCACCCACGGGCCAGCCAGACCCACGGCACTGCCAGCCCAGTGGCTCGCTGGCACAAGTGGGAGAGCTGGCCACCCAGACGTCCCGTCTACACCGGTGAGGGCGGGTGGGCGCAAGCACGTCCCTGTGTGTGCCTGCTGGGATCTTTGTATGGGCATCTGGCGGGCACGCGAGGGGCCACAGAGCCAGGATGAGCCCCCCCCAGCCCAGGAGGAGGCAGCTCCCGGCAGCAGGGGCAGGTGGGCGCAGGGAAGGGGGTGATTTATGGTGAAATGTGCCACTTAGCAGGGCATAAATCTTCCCCCGGCGCAGCCCTGTAAGCAGAGCCCTCTGCATTTCCCTTCAGAGGCTGCTCGCGGGCTGGGGCTAATGCAGCCCAGATGTGCGCGGGGACCGTGCCCTCGCGCAGCCTGCTAACGAGGCGCGGGGACACCGGTTCCTGGTGGGAGCCCGGCATCCCTGAGCCCCGTCCCCGGGACATCGCCGGGCTGGGGACGGCCTCAAACGGGGAGCGGAGCGGCGGCCGGCCCTCAGCATCCCCCTCCCTCCCTCACCCGCCACGAGCTGTGCCGCGGGCTGACCGCAGGCCGCGGCCGGCAGCCTCCTGGTGCCACCGGCTCCCCGCCACCTCCACCGAGCTGGGGACGGGCTTCGGAGGCGCGACGGGGCCAGGAGCCGGAGCCCCCGGCTGCCGGCCCCACTTTTCTGGTTCCCCCGAGGCGCGCCGGCTCCGCGGGAGCTTGAACAAAACCTGGCCCCGGCCTCGTGTCCCCAGCCCCGCGCCCAGCGAGGCGGGAGCCCGGCCGACAGCGCCCACAGTTTGACCTTTTAAGGGTTGTTTTCCAGCGTTTTTCCCCTTCCTTTCTGCGCCAGGCAGCCCCAACGCAGCCCCTCCGCGCCATGGGGCCGGCAGCCCCCCGTCTTCCCAGGGCCCCCGGGGCGGCTCCAGCCGCCGGGGCCGGGGTAACAAAGCCATCCGGCAGCTGTGGCCGGAGCCCCGGGGCAGTGGCGGCGTGCCGGGTTCCCTCTGCGGAGGGGGGCATTTCCCCAGCACCCCCCGAAAGCGTCAGCCACGTCCCGGTGGGGCTCGGAGGCTGCGGCACATGCCTGCGCTCACGCCGCCTGCCCCGCGAGTGAGCCCCGGGCAGGAGAAGCGGCTCTTCCTGCCCCCCGAGTCCCAGGGACTTTCATTTTCCTCCCCTCTGTCAGTCCTGGGTTTTAATTCTCCGTGCTAAGCGGCGTTTCCCTCCCTGGTAATCACAAACATGCATGGAAAAGAGGGAACTAGAGAAAGGGAAAAAAAAAAAAAGAAAAAAAGAAAAAAAAAAAGGAGGCAGAGGGGGAAAGTCTTAAATCAATCCCAAAGCCAGACAGACGTTTTAATCAAATCAAATTAAAATCAGCAGCGGCTCGGCACAGCGAGCCGCGCCAGGCGCAGCAGCCCCCCGCCCCTGCCCCCGGCCCCTCGCTCTTACCTGGGGGCTCCCCGGCCACATTTAGCATAGTAGAGTCAGGGCGCGGGGCTGGAGGGGGCGCGAGGAGCCCGGGCGTGGGGCTGGTGCTGCGCCGAGCCCCGAGCCCCGCGCTGACGGCGAAGCCTGCCTGCTCTCCTCTGCCCTGGCTCGCACTCGCTCGCGCTCGCTCGGGTGTTTTTTTTTGTTTTTTTTTTTTTTTTTCCTCTCCCTATTTGTTTTGGTTTGTGTTTGCTTGGGTGTTAGGTGGAAGAAGCTGTCTGGGCTGTGTTTTTTTGGTGTGTGAGTGTGTGCACGGTTTGCACCACGCTCCGGCTCCCTCGCTCACTGCCTTTCCCCCTTCCACCTCCCTTGATTTGCTCTTTTGATTGGTGTCCAGGAATGCAAGAATAAAAAAAACGCGAGCTCGCATACACCCTCTCTCCAAGCTGCTGCCTCCTTTTTTTTTTTTTTTTTTTCCCTTTTTTTTTTTTTTTTTCCGAAATTCAAGTGTTAAGCAGAACCAGGTTGCTTTCAAGAATGTATTTGATGCAATTGTACACAAGAGCGGGCTCCATTCATTCCCCTCCCTCTCCCCCGGGCTCCCCCCGGGCTCCGCGGCCGCGCTGGGGAGGCTGTGGCCGGACCGGGCGCCGCGCGCGGGGCAGCGGACGGGGACCAGAACCGGGGAGGGGGGGGGGGGGGACACCGGAGAAGGGAAAAAGGGGGGTTGGGGGGAATGACCCCTTCCTCACGCCCCCCTCCCCTTCTTCCCCGCTGCCCGGGGGGGCCCTGGCTGCCGCTCGCCCTTTGTTAGTGGCCGGGGAGCGGGCCGGGGCGGCGGGCGGGGGGGCTCCTTCTCCTACCTGCTCGGAAATCCATGGGGGCGGCGGCCCGGGGGGTCCTGGCCGCAGGGGGGCTGCGGGGCGGCCGCGCTGCTGCGCCGGGGCCGGGCTGGGAGCTCCCATTTGGCGGCCCCGCTCCCCGCGGGGAGGGCAGCGAGGGGAGAGGGGCGAGGGGCGAGGGGGCGCGGGGGGCGTGGGGTGCCAGGCTGCCGCCCCGCCGCGGGGCAAGGGGGAGCGAGAGGCGGAGAGAGGCGGCGCAGGCAGACAGACAGACAGGCAGGCAGGCAGGCAGACACACAGACAGACAGAGCGCCGGTGCGGGGCGGGGGGCGGCACGGCCGGACGGCCGGAGGGACGCCGAATGGCCCCGCCGCCCCGGCCCCGCTCCGTGCTCTTCCGACGGGACCTCTCGGCGCTGCCCCGGGGCCGCGGCAGGTGACCGAGCCCCCGGCGGCGGCGGCAGCGCGGCCGCGGCATCGCCCTTCCCGGCGCCGTCGGGGGAACCGGTGTCCCCCCTCTTCACCCCCACACCGGCTCCCGGCGGAGCTCCCGGTGCGCGGCTCCCGGTGCGCATCGCTGCCGTCCTGCCGCCCGTGCCCGGTCGGCCCCGGCCCCGCGCCCCGGGTACCGGCTCCAGTCCCCCGGGTACCGGTCCCAATCCCCCTGGGACCGTCCCCAGTTCCCCGGATACCTGCCCCAATCCCCCGGGTACCGGCCCCAGTCCCCCGGGGACCGGCTCCAGTCCTCCGGTACCGGCCCCAATCCCTCGGGTACCGGCTTCTATCCCCCTGGGACCGTCCCCAATCCCCCGGATACCGGCCCCGCGCCCCGGGGACCGGCCCTAATCCCCCAAGGACCGGCTCCAGTTCCCCGGGGACCGGCCCCGCGCCCCAGGGACCGGCCCCAATCCTCCGGGTACCGGCCCCAGTGCCCCGGTACCGGCCCCAGTGTCCCGGGGACCGGCCCTAGTCCCCCGGGGACCGGCCCCAGTCGCCAACCGCCCTCGCCCTGCGCAGCCCTCTCCCCCCGGCCCCGGGAGCGGCTGCTCGGGGATGTTGCGAGGCTGCTGCCAGGCGGCTGGGCTGCGATCAACCTGCCCCGAGAGGAGCGACCCCGCTGTGCAAATGGAGGCTGTGGGCTCCCTCAGCGGGCCGGGGGCGCTGGGCTGGACCCCGGGGGCCGAGCACGGTGCAGAGCCCCCCCTGGACGGCTCGGCTGGGCGGCTGGACCACCGGGGGGGGGGAACCAGTGGCCGAAATGCTCGGGACACGCGGCCAGCCCCTTCCCCTTGCGACCCACAGCGTGTGCCGGGGCAGAGGCGAGCCTCGCGCCCCCTTTTTTTTTGCAGAGGGGGGTTCTGTCATGCCAAGGGGCGCAGCCCTGCCTGTGCTGGCTCCCCCCAAAAAAAATCAGTGTGTAAAACAAAAGCCCTGCACGGCAGCTGCACGGGATGGAGGCAGAGGGTGGCTTCGCTGGGGCTCAGCACGGAGACACCGCATCCCCATAGCACGCCAAGAGCACCCCAGCCCTAAATGCAGGGACACCCCCACCCCAAACTGCTCGGAGAGAAACGGCACCGGCACAGGGCTGAGCGCTCAGCGCCCCCGGGGGGCAGCGAAGCAGCGTGGGGCGAGGGGGCCACCGGGCACTGCCCGGGGCTACCGGGGGGGGGGTGTCAATGGGGGGGGGAGGCGGCGCTGCCCCAGCCCTGGCGCTAGGGGGGTCCCGGGGGGGCTGTGCCCGGTCCCCCCGTGCACTCCGCTCCCCCCGCGGCGGGCAGGGGTCCGGGTTCCCCCCTGGGGGGGGTCCTGGGGGCTGCCGGCAGGGGCTCCGCGGGGCTCCCCCGGTAACGGGACTGGACGGGCGGGCGGGGGGGGCCCCAATGTGGGGTCCCTGCTTTGGGGTCCGGTCCCAAGCCCGGTCCCGCTCGCCCTGGGGAGCTGCAGCCCTGCCCCCGCCCCCCCCAGGGCCACCCAGTGCCCCGGTGCCGGTGCCGCCCCTTGGCCCCCGCCCCGTGCCCCGGGGCCGAGCAGCCCCCCGCGGGGCAGCCTCCCGCCGGGCCCGGCCCCGGAGCCCAGCAGCGGGGGGCCGGTGGTCCGAGGGCTGGCGGAGGGGAGCGCGGCCGGCGTCGCCCCGCCTCTGCTCGTCGAAGCCCCATTGGCCGCGCGGCACGTCGCTCCGCCTCTCCTCCAATCCGCCGCGCCGCCCGCGCTCCGCCGTCCAATAGGATAGCGGCCGGCCCGGCGGGGCCCGCCCCTTCGCGGGCCGCCGAGGAGCGGGGCGGGGCGGAGGGAGACGGGCGAAGTGCCCCGCCCCGCGGTCACGTGACGGGCCGCGGCTCGCGGCGCGCCGGCGCGCCGTCAATCATCCGCGCCAACCAATCGCGAGGCCGCGGGGGCGGGGCGGAGGCGGGCGGGCGGCCAATGGGAAGGCGGCGGGCGGGAGCGGGACGGCGGCGGCGGCGGCGGCGCGGCGGGAGGGAGCGGCGGGGCCGGGAGGGAGGGAGGGGGGGGAGCGGCACCGGCGGGCGGGGGGGCGGGGCGGGGGGTGGGGGGCGCCCCCCGCCATGAAGTGCGTCATCGCCGGGAGCAACGTCAGAGGTGAGCGCGGCACCGGCACCGGCACCGGGGGCATGGAGCGGGAGGGGCGGTGCCGGTGCCGGTGCCCCCCCCTGACCGCCCCGCTCCCGCAGCCCTGGGCCGCGCCGTGCACGCGCTGTCGCGGATCGGGGACGAGCTGTACCTGGAGCCCACCGGCAGCGGGGTACGGGGCCGCGCACCGGGACGGGGCCGCACAAACCCCGAAACCCCGAGCCCACCCCCCCCTCCCGGTCCCGGTCCCGGTGCTCACGGCCTCTCCCCCCCCCCCCCAGCTGTCCCTGCGTGCCGCCAGCCCCTCGCGCTCCGCCTTCGCCTCCTTCCTGCTGGCGCCCCTCTTCTTCCAGCTCTACCAGCCCGGGGCCCCCGCCGCGCCCCCGCGCTGCAAGGTGCACATGAAGGTGAGTGACCCCCGGTGACCCCCGGTAACCCCCCCCCGGTAACCCCCCCGGGGGCTGATGGCTGTGCTGTGCCCCCCCCCACCACCACCGCAGAGCTTCCTCGGCGTGTTCCGCTCGCTGCCCGCGCTGGAGAAGACGGTGGAGCGCTGCCTGCTGCTGCTGCGGCCCCGCGCCAGCCGCCTGGTGGTGCAGCTGCACTGCAAGTACGGTGAGTGGGGCGGGGGGGCACCGGGAGAGGACGGGGGGGGGCGGCCCGCTTGGGCTAAGCCACCCGTCAACCCCCCCGCCAGGCATCACCCGGACGCACAACCTGGCCTTCCAGGAGTGTGAGCGGCTGCAGGCTGTCTTCGACACGCAGCGCTGCGCCAGCAGCCTCTGCGCACCGGCACGGTGAGAGCACCGGGGGGCTGCAGGGGAGAGGTCTGTGTGTGTTTGGGGGGGGGCACAAAGCGCTGAGCCCACCCCGTGCCCGCCAGGGTGCTGGCGGAGGCCGTGGTCCACTTCCCGCAGACGCTGGCGGAGGTGACGCTGGCGGCCGGCCCCGGGGGCAGGATCAGCCTGCGCAGCTACGTGGAGGATGAGGCCGGTGAGTGGGGGGCCGGGGGCTGGCCGGGGGGGGCCTTCCCGCCCCGTGTCCCTAATGGTCTCCCCGCAGAGCTGGGCAAGGCGATGGTGACGGAGCTGTGGTTGGCCCCGGATGAGTTCCAGGCAGTGGCTGTGGTCCCGGATTCCCGCATCACTTTCTGCCTCAAGGAGTTTCGGGTGAGCGGGAGCCAGGGGCCCCCCCCAAACGTCCTCCCCCCCCCTCACCCACTGGGGTCTCACTCGGTCTCATCTCCGCTCAGGGAATCCTGACTTTCGCTGAGGCCTCCAACTTGCCCCTCACCATCCACTACGATGCGCCTGGCAGGTAGGAGCAGCCACCCTGCCCCCCCCCTGTGCTTCCCCAACTGTGCTTAGCCCCTCTGTGCCCCCAGGCCGGCGATCTTCAGCCTGGAAGACCCCCTGATGGAGGCCCACCTGGTCCTGGCCACCCTCCTGGACCCCGAGAGCAGCTCCCAGCCCCCCGCAGCCAACGGGTAACCGCTGCCATCAGTAGGGACCAGAGTGAACGGCTCCCACGCCACCCCCCCTGACCCACCGTCTCCCCACGCAGCATCTCCCACGCGCCCGCCCCCTCGGATGACTTCGCCGATGACCTCGAGTCCTACATGATTGCCATGGAAACCGAAAGCTACGGGGAGGATTCGGGGGCACCTCCCAGCCCCACCTTCCCCCTGCGCACCCCTCAGCCCCATAGAAAGCGACCCCCAGGAGGAGGAGGAGGAGGAGGATGGAGCTGTGCCAGGCACACCCCCTCACAAGAAGGTGGGGGACGGGCACGGCTGTGTCGGGGGGCAGGGGCTGGGCGTGTTCCCCCCCCGACACGTGCCTCTCCCCCCCCAGTTCCGCTCGCTGTTTTTCGGCTCGGTGATGACATCGGGGGGGCCCAGCCCGGCCCCCAGCCAGGAGGTGCTGGCAGAGGACAGCGATGGCGAGTGCTGAGACCCCCGGTGCCCCCTGGCAGCAGCCCAGGGGTCCCGCTGCGGCAGCTGGCACTGCCCGGGCATGCAGGATGTGCCCCCCCAGACCCCCTAAGCCACAACACAGACCCCCCCAGTGACCCTTCACAAGTTTATTTCCAAAAAAAGCCTCCTGCCCCCCGCTCCGCTGCTGTCCCAGGGGTGGGCTGCCCCACTCCCCCCAGCGGGCCCTGCCCCAGAGGGGGCTTTTGGTTTGGTGGAGGGTGGCGGGGGGGGGGGCAGGATCTTACAAATAAAAAACAAACGGAAAGAAGAGCGACCTGATGGGGGGGCCGGGCCCCGGGCCCCAGCGGCGGGTGTTCACTTCTTGGCTTTGGCAGAGTTGCGGGGAGGGGTGACGGGGCGGCCGGCGGGGTTCAGCCCGCTGAACTGCCCGTATTTGCCCTTGTTCTTGTCGGCTGGCTTCAGGATCTGGGGGGCAGGGGATGAGTGAGGGGGGCTGCAGGTGGCCACCCCCTGCTTTGCCCAGCTGCAGGCCCGCCCGCCGCCCCCCCATGCCCGAGCCACAGCCCACCTGGAAGGAGCACATGAGGGTCTCATCCACGCTCATCATGGCGCCCGCGTTGTCGAACTCCCCGCAGTAGTTGGGCGCCGAGAAGAGGGTCACGAGCTGGCGCTTGGCGAAGAACTCGTAGCCGTCCTCCACCACCTGCGGGGCCGCGGGGCTCAGCTGGGGCAACTCCACTGCCCTGGGGCAGATATCCCCCTGCAGCCCTGCCTGCAGTGCCCCCCGGGACAAACGCCTCCCCTCCCAAAGCTTACAGGAGCCCAACCACCCCCTGGGGCAGCGCCCCCAAGACCCCAAAAGTCCCATCCTGAGGGGAAACCCCCCTGGAGACCCCTGCCTGTAGGGAGCCGGGGTGTTCCCAGAGCAAACACCCCAGAAGGAGAGGCAGCCCCCCGCCCCGGGGGTACCTGGTGTGCCCGGCAGATGAGGTCCAGGTCGTGCTTGTGCAGGAACTTGGCCACCACCTCTGCCCCGAAGGTAAAGGAGACGCCGCGGTCATTCTCGCCCCAGCCCTGCACATCCTTGTCGGGGTCGGACCACAGCAGGTCGCACAGCAGCCCCTGGTCGGGCACGTCCGTGGGGCGCATGATCCGCCGGATCTGCTCCATCGACTGCAGGTCGGGAGAAAGCCCTGCGCGGGGCGGGGGGCGTCAGGCCCTGCTGGGGGAGACACCCCCCTACCTCAGGGCACCCCAGTACCCCAGAAGGGCCAGTGCCCACCTCCGTGGCAGCAGAAGATCTTCTCATCCACGATGGCGGCGATGGGCAAGCAGTTGAAGCAGTCGGTGAACGTCTTCCAGAGCTTGATGTTGTAGCGCCGCTTGCCTGCGAGGCAGCGGTGTGGGTGCCGGGGACCCCCCCACGGAGCCTCGCCAGCCCCGCGGGATGTCACCGGGTGACACAGCGTGGGATGGGGACACGGGGCGGGTGCGGGGGTGGCGAGGGGGCTCCCGTTGGTTACAGAAACCACACACGGGGCCTGAGTGTGGGATGGGAGGCACAAGGTGGGGAAAGGTGGGTGGGACGGGGCGGGAGGGGGGCACTCACACTCATCGTAGAAGCCGTAGATGCGGTTGATGCTGGCGCACTCGTGGTTGCCGCGCAGCAGGAAGAAGTTCTCGGGGTACTTGATCTTGTAGGCCAGCAGCAGGCAGATGGTCTCCAGCGACTGCTTGCCCCGGTCCACGTAGTCGCCCAGGAACAGGTAGTTGCTCTCGGGGGGGAAGCCGCCGTACTCGAAGAGGCGCAGCAGGTCGTAGTACTGCCCGTGGATGTCCCCTGGGGGGGGGGACACAGAGCAGGGGGTGACACCCGGCCCCGCCACCCATCCCGGTGCCCCCCCCCCCCTCCCCCCCGGTGCCGGTGCTCACCGCAGATCTTGAGGGGCGCCTCGAGCTCCAGCAGGATGGGCTGGCTCAGGAAGATCTCCCGCGACTTGAGGCACAGCCCGCGGATCTCGTTCTCCGTCAGCTGCACGTTCTTACCGGGACGCGACCCTTGCACTACGGGGGGGCGGCCGTCAGCGGCTCCCCCCCCCCCCATTCCCCGGTAACGGAGCCGGTGGACGCCCCCAGCCCCCTCCGTGCCCCCCCCACACCCCCCACACCCCCTCACCCCCCCCCCGTTCCCCTCCCCCCCTCCCGTTCCCCTCAGCCCCCCCCTCCGCTCCCGCTCCCCCCCCGGTGCCTTCGCGGGCCCCGGAAGCCGCCGTTTGGGCCCCGGGGCCCGTTGAGCGCCGCGGGCGGGGCCGTTGTGTTTGTGCCGGTGTCGGAGGGGGGAGGCCGGGGGGGGTGTCCCGGGGGCCGCTCACCCTCCAGGAGGCGGCTGATGATGGAGTCCAGGTTGAGCTTCTCGGTCTCCGCCATGGCCGCCGGACGCTGCGTCCCCGCGCGCCGCCCGCCCCGCCCGGCACCGGGAGCGGCCCGCGGGGACACGGGGGGGCGGCGGCGCAGCGCCCCCTGCCGGCACGGAGGTCGCGGGGCTGCCCCCGGGGGAACCGGGACGCGGGACGAGGGACGGCACCGGAGGGCACCGGGACACCGGGGGGCACCGCGATAGGGGACAAGGGACAGCAGCTGGAGGCACCGGGGGGCACCGGGACACCGGGGGGGAACCGGGACAACGGGGGGCACCGGGATAGGGGACAAGGGACCGCACCGGGGGACCCCGGGACCCCGGGGGGGAACCGGGACACCGGGGTCACGGGGATAGGGGACAAGGGACAGCACCGGGGGACACCGGAGGGCACCGGGACACCGGGGGGCACGGGGATAGGGGACAAGGGAAAGCAGCTGGGGACACCGGGGGGCACCGGGACACCGGGGGGCACCGGGATAAGGGGACGCGGGGCAGCACCGCGGGGCACCGGGACGCGGGACATAGGACAAGGGGTAGTACCGGGGGGAACGGAGACATAGCGGAGGCACCGTGACGGCACCGAGGCGCCGGGGCACGGGACGGCAGCGGGGGACATGGGGTTGACGCGGGAGGTGGGGAGAGAGGAAGCAGCCGGGGGGTGTGGGGGACACGGGGAGGCACCGGGGGGCAGTGAGATATTGGGGGGGGGGGGGGGGGAGCGGGATAGGAGACATGGGACATAAGGCAGCGGGCAGCACCGGGGGGCACGGAGACACCGGCGGGACACCGGGACACTGGGACAGCACCGGGGGTGTGGGGAGACACGGGGTACGGGACACGGTGGGCACCGGGACACCGGGGGGGAGTTGGGTAGGTGACACGGGACAGCACCGGACGACGTGAGAGAGGCGGGACTGGGGATGGGGGGCAGCACGGGGGGCACGGGGGGCACGGACACCCCCGGGGGGGGGCACGGGACCGGGACATGTGACGGCACCGGGGGGCAGCGGGGCACCGGGACACGTGACAGGGGGCAGGGGACAGCACCGGGGGGCACGGAGGCACCGGGACACGTGACGCGGGACACGGGACAGCACCGGGGGGGGGGACTCGGGGGGGCGCGGGGGGACGGGCGCAGCTCTGCCCCCGCCGTCCCGCTCCGTGCGCGCCCCGTGCCCGTGCCCACACCCGCACCCCCCGGTGCCCGCTCCCGCCCGGCGGGGCCGCGTCTCGGGGCTGTGCCGGTGCGGCCACGCGGGACCGTTGCCGGGAGGCTGTTGCCAACCCCGTGCCGCGGAGACTCCCGTGGGGGCCTCCGTGGGGAGCGGGGGAGACCTCGCTTGCCGCACCGTGCCGCACCGTGCCGCGCCGTGCCACGCGTGCCCCCGCTGCCGTCCGCTCCCCGCGTGCCACGCGCGCCGCCAGCCCGGGCCCCGTGCCCGTGGCCCCCGTCCGTGACATTTCAGCCCCGCGGTGTCAGCTGCGCCGCTGTCCCCGGGCGACCCCCGGCTGGCCGCGTCCCCGCACCCCCCGCCCCCCGTCCCCGCCCCGCGCCCTCCCCCGGGGCCGCCCCGCCCGGGGGCTGGAGGCACCGCCGGTGCAGAACCGGGCACAGGGCTCTGCGGGCAGCGACAGCCGCGGGCACCGGCACCGCCACAGCGACCGCCGGTGGGTGCCGTGGAGGGGTAGGGGGTGCGTGCGCGCTGTGCACGCGTGTGCGGGGACTCGTGCACGGGTGTCCACGCGTGTCCGTGCGCGCTCAGAGCGCTGCGGGGACGGGGACGACGACAGCAGCTGTGGCGCTAAGCCGGGGGACGTGCGGCGCCGCATCTCCGCCGCGCTGGGGGGACAGGCGACAAGCGACAGGGGCCGGGTGGCAGCGGCGGACAATGGGGCTCTGTGCCGCCCGCCGTGCCCGCCGCCTAATCCGGGGCACGGGGCCGGGCCCCCGGGGGGGGGGGGGGGACCGAGGGTTTTAAGGGCTCCGTGCGCTCCCCCGGCTGCAGCGGGGCGCTCCCGGGGGCAGGCATCCAGCCACGCGTGACCGCGGGCCCCGCGCAGGTACCGCGGCGAAAGGGACTTGCCGGGGGGCGGGGGGGGGGCGTCCCGCCATCGGGGTCGCCCCCGTCGCGTGGACACCGTTCAGGTCCCCCCCGTGGGGTCCGCGGCTGTCGGCGCCGGCCAGGGGACGCCCGTGCCTCAGTTTCCCCCCGTGCCGGAGCCGCCGGGCTGGGGCACCCGGGGGGGGGCGCGCCAGGGCCCACAGCCCCAGGGCACCTTGGCACCGGGCGCAGGGGGGTCCCCGGTGGGGCTGAGCTGCCGCGGGATTAGGATAATCCCTGCAGGGGCTCAGCCGGAGCTGCCCCAGTCAGCAGGGCTGGCACCGAGGGGTGTGGGGGGAGAAGGGACACCGGGGCTGGCACCGAGGGGACCCCAGGACACCCCGGGGGTCCCCGCCCTACTCGGCTGACTCGGCCCCTCTGTCTTTTGCAGCCCCCCGACGCCAGGATGGTGAGTGGTCCCGGGAGGGTCCAGGCGGGGGGGGCTCTTCGCAGCAGGGCTCGGCGGTACCGGGCACCCGGCGTGGCAGTGCCGTGCCCACCCACCGCGTGACCCCACGGGGACAAGGGGACTGTTGTCTGGGAGCTGGCACTGCCCTGCTGTCCCCAAGGCGGTGGCTCCGCGCCTGGGCACCCCCACAGCCCCACAGCCCCCTTGCCCCGTGCTGCAGCCCTGCCCCATGCCTGCCCCATGCTGCCCCGAACCCCAAACCCACCCCATCGCCCCCACGCCAGCCCCATCACCCCTGTGCTCGCCCCTCGTCTGTCCCACCGCTGGCCCCATCCCTGCCCCTGTCTGTGCCCCGTGGCAACCCCAAGGCGGGCACCTGGTCCCAGCCCCGCTGTGCCCCACGACAGCTCTCCGTGGACCAGGTCAGCGTGGAGCAGCCGATGAGCCCGAAGGAGCAGGAGTGGGCAGGGCCGGAGGCACTGTGCCCGGGCTGGCTGGACGAGGAGGTGCCTGACGGCGAGGTCCCCGAGGACACCGGGGACCCCGACTCGGCCACCCATGGCTACGAGTTGCTGCAGAGTGCCCTGCGCCAGGAGGGGCTGCCCCTCACCGTGGACCGCACCAAGGAGCCCCGCACGGGTACTGGGCACGGGGGTCACGGGGGCTGGCGGCTGGGGGCACAGCGCCAGGCTGGGGGCACGGGGGTGCCAGGGACGGGGTGGCAGTGCGGTCCCATGCCTGCTGATCACCACCTCGCTGCAGGATTCGGTCCGCTGGACATGACTGTCTGCATCCTGGGCTCCCCTACCGCCTTCCTGCCCGTCCTGCTGGAGGGCGGCTCCCGCTGCCCAGGTGCGTCCAGCCCCCAGCCCCCCATAACGGGCAGCCACGAGCTCCCCCCGCGTCCCACTCTGGGTGGGTGCCCAGCACAGGGGGCACGGCCACTGCCCACACTCCTGCCCACCCGCAGGTGCCATGGTGCTGTGCCTCTCACCCACCTGGGCCAGCCGGGTGCCCTCAGAGACGTCCCCAGGCGCCTGGTCACTGCTGCTCTCCCAGGGGGTCTCCTTTGAGGCGGGGGGCCACAGCGCCCTGGAGGTGTTTGTGCCCCCCCGGCGGGCCACCTACGTGACGGGCACCTTCAGCCCCGGGACTGAGAGCAGCTGGGTGGGCGAGCTGGCCCGCGACCTCGACTGCCCCACGGGAGGCTCAGTGCCACTGGCCCGGTGGCTGGAGGACCCGGTGGCCACCCGCCGGGTGCTGGCTGCCCGTGCTGGCCTGCACGTGCCCCCCACCCTGGCCTTCGTCCTGGGAACGGAGGGGGCCCTGCCTGAGGACGCCGCGCCCCCCGGGGTGCGCCTGGTGCGGCTGGAGGACCCCCAGGGCCAGGAGAGCCTGGTGCGGGAGGAGGTGTGCGCCTTCCTGGGGGGCACTGCCATGAAGCCCTACAGCCAGGTGGGCACCGGGTGGCACCGCAGGGTCAGGGGGGGCTGTGGGGCTGGGGCACGGGGGCAGGGAGCAGCAGCGGGACGCTCAGGGGGTGGCTGTGGGGTGGCAGTCAGGGACAGCGAGAGATGGTGCGGTTTGGTGGGGTGGCTGTGGGGTGGTGGTGGGAACGGGTGGCAGGGGGCGAGGGGTGCTGCGGCGAGGTGGCAGGGGGTGACACGGCGAGGTGGCAGGAGGTGACACGGTGCTGCATGCAGGTGGCGGTGCGGCCGGCAGGGTGGCGGTGGCGTGGGACAGGCACCCGCAGCACCCACGGGAAGGCGGAGGGGGCGGCGGTGGCGGCGGCGGTGGTGGCCCGGCTGAGTGGGCTGCAGGAGGAGGAGAGCGTCCTGCTGGAGGCCCTGGTGCCCACCACCCGCCTGCCCGCGCCCCCCCCACGTAAGACCCCCCCTCGGGCGCCCACCACCCCCGGGGGACGAGGGGGGCGGGAAGGGCCCCCCAGAACTCCCACCATCCCTGGGAAGGGCCCCCCGGAGCTCCCACGGTCTCTGTCAGCCTCATGTCCAAACCCAGGGATGGGGCCGCCCCGGACCCCTGCAGCCCCCTAGGGAGGGGGGGAGGTGGCTGCCCTGTCCCCCTGCTGTCCCCTGGGCTGGGGGGCAGCACCCATCATAAGGGGGCAGGTGGGGAGACGAGGGGACCGTCCCTGGCTCCCCACCATCCAGGGGAGCTGAGGGTGGCCGTGGCGGTGGTGGTGCCACACCGGGCTGCCCTGCGACCAAGGGTGGGTTTGGGGGGGGGGGGTGCACGTCAGGGCCCCCTCCCCACGTTCCCGTCCTCGGGCTGCGGCGCGTCCCTGCCCTGTCCCTCGCCCCCCAGGCAGCGCAGCCCCGCGGCTGCCCGTGGCCCTGCGCATCTGCACCGTCGTCTGCCGGTCCTGGGGGGACCGGCCCCAGCTCTGCCAGGTACGGCCTGGGCGCGAGGGTGGGGGTGCCACGCACCTGGGTGGGGTCGGGAACCCCCTCCCCAGTTCACGTAGCCCCTGTGCCTGGTGATGGGGGTGGCACCTGGCGGCTCTGGGCGTCCCCGGGGGTGGCCCATGTCCCCGTGGCGGTGGCGGCGTGTCCCCACAGGTGGCATGCGGCATGGGGCGCGCGGAGGCGCCGGTGCGGCACGGGGCGGCGCTGCCCCTGGGCCTGGACTCCAGCCTGCAGCAGTGGGGCCTGGCGGACCCGGGGCACCGGCAGGCACTGGCGGAGAGGCTGCGGGGGGCTGCTGAGGACGCCATGGCCGCCCTCCTGGCCGCTGAAGCCGAGCTGAGCCCCGCACAGCGTGGCGGTGCCCGCGCCCACACCGACATCCTCGGTGAGCACCAGCCCCGGGGGCTGCTCCTGCAGGGGCAGGGGGAGGGCAGCCCGGGGGTGCTGAGTGCGCCGTGCCCACCGTGTCCCCCAGGTGTGGATTTCCTGCTGTCGTGTGTGGATGACACCCTGGAGCTGGTGGCCCTCTCCGCCAACTGCCAGCGGTGCTTGGAGACCTGCCTGCTGGCTGAGGCCATGGGGCGCGACGTGGGGGAGCCCGCCGGTGACCTGCCCCGGCTGCTGGCAGAAGCCCTGCTGCACCGGGCACAGTGCCACCTGGTAGAGGGCAAGGACATCCTCCTGATCGGGGCCGGCGGTGTCAGCAAGAGCTTCGTCTGGGAAGCAGCCCGTGAATATGGCTTGAGGGTAAGGAGGCAATGGGGCTGTCAGTAGGTTCCAGAGTGAACACCGGGCACCGCCCCGGTTGTGCCGTACCAGTGCTCGCGCTGCGGGTGGCGGTGAGGGGCTGGGGGTGGGCACCCGTTGCCTGTCCCCACACCACGGTGATGCCCGTGCGGTGTCTGTGCACAGATCCACCTGGTGGAGTCGGACCCGGAGCACTTTGCAGCGGGGCTGGTGCAGACCTTCCTGCCCTACGACAGCCGGGAGCACCAGCGCGACGAGGAGCACGCCGAGCGGGTGGCGGAGCTGGTGCGCGCCCGGGACCTGCGGCCCCACGCCTGCCTCTCCTACTGGGACGACTGCGTGGTGCTGGCGGCGCTGGTGTGCCAGCAGCTGGGGCTGCGCGGCTGCCCGCCCGCCGCCGTCCGCCTGGCCAAGCAGAAGAGCCGGACCCACCAGCACCTGCAGCGCTGCCGCCGCGGCCGCCCGCCGCCCGCCGCCTTCGCCGTGCCCTGCCGGCGGCTGCGCAGCCACGGGGACGTGGAGCGGGCGGCGGGCGCCGTCCCCTTCCCCGCCGTGGCCAAGCTGGAGTTCGGGGCGGGCGGCGTGGGCGTGCGGCTGGTGGAGAGCGCCCGGCAGTGCCACGCGCACGCCGCCCGGCTGTGGCGCGACCTGCGCGCCGACGCCGACTACCCGGGCATCGGGCTGGGCTGGGGCAACGCCATGCTGCTGATGGAGTACGTGCCGGGCACCGAGCACGACGTCGACCTGGTGCTGTTCGAGGGGCGGCTGCTGGGCGCCTGGGTGTCGGACAACGGCCCCACGCGCCTGCCCGCCTTCCTGGAGACGGCGGCCGTGCTGCCCTCCTGCCTGCCCGCCGACCGGCAGGCCCAGCTGGTGCGGGCGGCCCTGCAGTGCTGCCGGGCCTGCGGGCTGCTGGACGGCGTCTTCAACGTGGAGCTGAAGCTGGGCCCCGGCGGGCCGCGCCTGCTGGAGATCAACCCGCGCATGGGCGGCTTCTACCTGCGCGACTGGATCCGCGCCGTCTACGGCCCCGACCTGCTGCTGGCGGCCGTGCTGGTGGCGCTGGGGCTGCCGCCCGTGCTGCCCGCCCGCCCCGCGCCCCGCGCCCAGCTGGCGGGCGTCATGTGCCTGGCCTCGGAGCACGGCCCGGCGCTGCGCCACGGCGGGCTGGCGGCCCTGCAGGGCCTGCAGCGGCGCGGGCTGGTGCGGCTCAACCCGCTGTTCGAGGAGGCGGGCGGGCAGTACGAGGAGCCCTGCCTCAGCGTGGCCTGCGCCGGGGGCAGCCCGGCCGAGGCCTGCGGCCGCCTGCTGGGGCTGTGCCAGGCGCTGGGCATCGACTCGCCGCGCTACCCCGTCGACCATTTCCTCTCCCACTTCAAATAGCCCCGGCGGGGAGCGGGGCGGGGGGGTGGCGCGGAGGTCCCGGCCCACGGCCCCGTCTGCCCGGCCCCCGACGCCCCCCGGCTCCCCCCCGGCCCCCCAATGTGTCCCCTTCTCCGCCGCCCCCTCCCTCCAAGCCCCTCCTGGGCCTTGTCACCCGTGTCGCCCGCTCCCCGTGGCACGGGGACAGAGCCCAGGGGGAGTCCCGAGCCCCCTGCCCCACCATCCCTGTGCTGTCCCCAGGGGAGGCGTGGAGGGGGCCCCTGAACGAGCCTATGGTAATGGGGTGGCCCCCATGGCACCTGCGCCACCCCACAATGGCAGTAGGACCAGGCCGCACAGGGAGACCCCGCAATAACAGAGAGCACAGGGTGGTCCCACGATAATGAACCAGCATGGGGAGACCCTACGATAAATGAGTGTAGGGAGACCCTACAATAGGAAATGAGCATGGGGAGACCCTACAAAAAATGAGCATGAGGAGACCCCACAATGGAAAATGAGTATGGGGAGACCCTACGATAAAATGAGCATGGGGAGACCCTACAATAACAAATGAGTACGGGGAGACCCTGTGATAGCAGATGAACATGGGGAAACCCTACAATAGCAAATGAGCATGGGGAGACCCTGTGAGGAAATACCATCACTGGGTAGACCCTACAATAACAAACCAGAGTGAGGGAGACCCTGCCATAACAAACATGGGGAGACGTTCCCATGACACATGGCCCTGGGAAGGGTCCCCGAGGACAAGCTGGGCCCTCAGGAGATGCTGTGTGGCAGCGCAGTGTGTGACAGCCACTGCTGCCCTGTCACCCCTCGTCACCATTGAGGGGTCTGACAGCAACAGATGCCACAGTAACAGCGGCAACCCTACAATAACACAGCCTGTGTAGCACCCAAGACCTCCCAGTAACAGCAGCGACCCTACAATAACACAGCTCATGTAGTCATCTAGTGCCCAAGACCCCCCTTACTGGGAGGAATAGTGACCCTAAAATAAACACACAGCCCGTGTAGCACCTGAGACCCCCAGTAACAGCAGTGACCCTACAATAATACAGTCCATGTAGTGCCCCAGACCCCCAGTAGCAGCAGTGACCCTACAATAACACACAGCCCATGTAGTGCCCCAGACCCCCAGTAGCAGCAGCGACCCTACAATAACACACAGCCCATGTAGTGCCCCAGACCCCCAGTAGCAGCAGCGACCCTACAATAACACACAGCCCATGTAGTGCCCGAGACCCCCAGTAACAGCAGTGACCCTACAATAACACACAGCCCATGTAGTGCCCGAGACCCCCAGTAACAGCAGCGACCCTACAATAACACACAGCCCATGTAGTGCCCGAGACCCCCAGTAACAGCAGCGACCCTACAATAACACACAGCCCATGTAGTGCCCCAGACCCCCAGTAACAGCAGTGACCCTACAATAACACACAGCCCATGTAGTGCCCGAGACCCCCAGTAACAGCAGCGACCCTACAATAACACACACCCCACACCGTGCCCCAGCCCCCCCAATAAAGGTGTGGAGCTCCATGGTGGTGTCGCTGTCCCACTTTCTGAATTCCCCCCTCCCCGGGCCCCCCGTGGGCCCCCCGCGGCCCACGGCTGACATTTGGGGCCGACCCCTGCCCTTTGCGGGGCCCGCCCGACACCCGAGCCGCCGCGGGGGCGTGGCCAATGGGGAGGGGGCGTGGCCTAAGGGGCAGGGGGCGTGGCCTCGGCGAAGGGGGCGTGGCCTCGCCCCGGACTACATTTCCCGTGGTGCCCCGCGGCGGGGATGCCGGGGTCCCCCCGTGACGTGTGCGGGGCGGGGCGGGGCGGGTGCGGCGGTCCCGGTGCGGCGCCGCCATGGCGGGGGTGTTCGACATCGACCTGGAGACCGAGGAGGGCAGCGACGGGGAGGAGCCCGAGCTGGGCGCCGTGAGCCGGGCCGGGGGCTGGCGGCACGACCGGGAACCGGGAACCGGGAATCGGGGCGGCGGGGATACGGGATACGGGACGGGGGCACCGGGACCGGGGGGGGACAGCGGGGACCGGCACCGGCGGGGGAATAGGGACCGGTGGGGGACGGGGGAGCGGGGGGGACAGCGGGGACCGGGGGCACCGGGACGGGCTGGGGGCACCGGGACCGGGGCTGAGCGCTGGGGGGGGACAGCGGGGACCGGGAGCCGGTGGGGCACCGGGACGGGGCCGGAGCTGAGCACCGGGATAGGGCCGGGCTGGGGCGGGACGGGGAGGGGCACCGGGACCGGGCAGCGCTGGGGACAAGGGGCGAGGGGACGGACGGACGGACCGGGGGACGGAGGGGGCCCCCGCCCCGGGCGGGCACCGACGCCGTGTCCCCCCCGCAGGAGATGGAGCTGGAGCCCCGGGGGAACGGCCTGGAGTAAGTGCGGGGTGCCGGGGGGGGCGGCGGGGGCCCCGTCCCCGCTCACCGCCCGTCCCCGCAGGCCCGTGGGGCACTACGAGGAGATCGAGATCTCGGAGAGCAGCGTCAACAACGGCCCCGAGCACATCGGCCCCCACTGCTTCGAGCTGCTCCGCGTCCTGGGCAAGGGCGGCTACGGCAAGGTGGGGGGGCTGCCCCCCCCCGGCAGCCGGCACCGGGACCCCAACCCCGGGGGATCAGACCGAGGGGGGGGCTGCCCCCGAGCTGCCTCCCCAGCGCCGCCACCGCTCCGCAGGTCTTCCAGGTCCGCAAAGTGCAGGGCACCAACACGGGCAAGATCTTCGCCATGAAGGTCCTGAAGAAGGTAGTGCGGCCCCCGGCGTGCCCCCACCACCGGCATTTCCCCCCCACACACCCCTCTTCTTCCTCCCACCCCCCAATTCCAGGCCAAAATCGCCTGCAACGCCAAGGACACGGCGCACACGCGGGCCGAGCGGAACATCCTGGAGGCCGTCAAGCACCCCTTCATCGTGGACCTCATCTACGCCTTCCAGACGGGCGGCAAGCTCTACCTCATCCTGGAGTGCCTCAGCGGTGCGGCTCCGGGCCGGGGGGGCGTGGGGAGGGGACACACACGGGGTGGGACGGAGCCCGGTGAAGGCCCAGGGCCCCCCCCATGGGGCTGTGCCTTGCAGGCGGGGAGCTCTTCATGCAGCTGGAGCGCGAGGGCATCTTCCTGGAGGACACCGCCTGGTAGGGAGGGCGGGCTCTGGGGTATCGCGTCCTGACCCACCCCCGGCAATGTGGGGGGTGCGGGGGGGCCCCCAGTGCTGCTTTGCCCACCCCCCCCCCCTTTGCTGCAGCTTCTACCTGAGCGAGATCACGCTGGCGCTGGGCCACCTGCACTCCAACGGCATCATCTACCGTGACCTCAAGCCGGAGAACATCATGCTCAACAGCCAGGGTGGGCAGGGGGTCGGGGGGAGCCGGGGGGGGCAGCGGGTTGGGGGCTGACTCCTTCCCCCCCCCCCCTTCCCAAAGGGCACATCAAGCTGACGGACTTTGGGCTGTGCAAGGAGTCCATCCACGACGGGGCCGTCACCCACACCTTCTGCGGCACCATCGAGTACATGTGAGCCCGATGGGATGGGGGGGGGGGAAAAAAAAGGGGTTGGGAGGGCCCAGTGCTCAGGGTGCCCCCCCCCCCCCCCAAAACCCCCCCCAGGGCCCCCGAAATCCTGGTGCGCAGCGGGCACAACCGGGCGGTGGACTGGTGGAGCCTGGGCGCCCTGATGTACGACATGCTCACCGGATCGGCAAGTTGGCCTCCTGCTCACGGACTGGGGGGGGGGGTTAGGGGGACAGTCCCGGGGTGGGGGGGGGCCCCCCCTTCATCGCTGCCACCCCCTCCCCTCGCAGCCCCCGTTCACGGCCGAGAACCGCAAGAAAACCATCGACAAGATCCTGAAGGGGAAGCTCGTGCTGCCGCCCTACCTGACGCCTGACGCCCGTGACCTGCTCAAAAAGGTGCCTGAGCCCCCCCCCCCCCACCCCGGTGCCCCCTGCTCGGGGGGGGGGCAGCACTGGGACCCCCCACCTTGTCCCTTCTCTTCCAGTTCCTCAAGAGGAACCCCAGCCAGCGGGTCGGGGGGGGCCCGGGTGACGCAGCCGACGTGCAGGTAGGAATGGGGCAGGGGGGAGGTGTCACTGTTGATGCCCCCCCCCCCCCGGTGACCCCCCCATTTCCCACTCCTCCTGCAGAAGCAGCCCTTCTTCCGCCACATCAACTGGGACGACCTGCTGGCCCGCAGGCTGGACCCCCCCTTCAAGCCCTGCCTGGTACTGGTGGTGGTGGTTGGGGTGGGATTTGGGATGGTTGGGGGGGGGCAGCTCTGTCTCCTCCTCGCTGGGGGGGCCGTGAAGAGCAGCCCCCTCCCCGCAGCAGTCGGAGGAAGACGTCAGCCAGTTCGACACCCGCTTCACCCGCCAGACGCCCGTGGACAGCCCCGACGACACGGCCATCAGTGAGAGTGCCAACCAGGCCTTCCTGGTACCGAGGGGGGGGGACACCGGGGGGTGGGGGGGTGAGGTGGGGGTCCCTGACCCACCCCCCCACCCTGACCTGCCCCCTCCCCGTGCAGGGCTTCACCTACGTGGCCCCCTCGGTGCTGGAGAGCATCAAGGAGGGGTTCTCCTTCCAGCCCAAGGTGCGCTCCCCCCGGCGCCTCAACAGCAGCCCCCGCACCCCCGTCAGGTACCCGTGCTGGGGGGGGGGGAGGCACTGTGTGGGGAGGAGGGGGTGCAGCGTGCCCCCCCCCTCACCGCCTCCCCCCCCCCCCCCCACCATACAGCCCCGTGAAGTTCTCCCCCTTCGAGCCCTTCAAGCCAGGGGCGGCAGCGGCAGAGCCCATGGAGCTGGGGCCCAGCCTGCCCCCCCCCCCTGAGGGCACGGCCCCCCTGCCCATCAAGACCGCCGTGGGCACCAAGAAGGCCAAGGGGGGGCGCGGGCGGGTGCCCAGGTAGGGAGGGTGGCGGGGGGGGGGTTGGGACCCGCCACGGGGTGAGGAGGGGCGGGGGGGGCCCCCAGTCCCGCTGCTGGCCGCGGGGCGAGGGGGGGGGCCCCGCGGAGCTGCCGGTGCTGGCACGGCGGGGGGGCCCCCGGCACTGCCCCCCGGCCCCGTGTCGCTGCTGCCGGGGGGGTGCGGGCTGCGGGGCTGTGCCCCCGGGGGGGGCAGAGTGCCAATTAAAGCGTTAATCAGGCCTGGCTGCCCTCTGCTTGGGGGGCTGGGGGGGTGCCCCCTTCATTTGCATAGCCACGCCCTCATTTACATAGCCACGCCCACTATGCCCCGCCCCCACCTCCAGGCCCCGCCCCTTTTCCCCACCTCCCAGCCCTGGCCCATGTGCTGCCCCCTTGGCCCCGCCCCTTCACAGGCCCCGCCCCCTCCTCGAGGCCCCGCCCACTTGTTCCCACCCCAAGCTCCGCCCCCTTTCATCAAACCACGCCCCCAGGGGTGGCAACGTGTCTTTATTGGTCAGCGGCGGGCCCGCGCAGCCAATGGCGTGGCTCCGCCGGGGCTGGGGGTGGGCGCAGTGACACCATGGGGGCGTGACGTCATGGGGGCGTGATGTCAGAGGGCGGTGACGTCATGGGGGCGTGACGTCAGAGGGCGGTGACGTGGGGCCGCGCGTCCCCCCAGGCGGCGGTGCCGGAGAAGGCGTGCATGTCGCTGAGCAGGGCCTCCGCGCTGCCGCCCAGCGCCTGCCCCTCGCCCGGGGGGCTCTGCTCTGCCTCCAGCGGGGCCGCGGCCTCCTCTTCATCCTCCTCCTCCTCCTCCTCCTTGTCCTCCTCCTTCTCCTCCTCGTCCTCCTCATCCTCCCGCCTCTGGTGCTGGGCCCACGGCATCAGCTCTTCCTCCTCGGCCGGCGGGGCCGCGTCCCCATTCCCATCCTCGTCCCTGGGGGGCTCGGCGGGGCCCTGGCGGCCCTGCAGCTGCTGCCAGCAGCCCCGCAGCAGCGCCAGGGCCCGGCGGCCCATGGGCCGGGGGTGGTAGCGGCCGGCCGAGAGGCGGCAGAGGTGGCGCCAGGCCAGGGCCAGCCCCACGGCCAGGCACAGCAGCAGCCCCACCAGGGCGCCCACCACCTGGTCGCTGCGGTTCCCCACCGGCTCCCCTGCCGCCACCAGCCCTGCCAGCGCCAGCAGGAGCGGCGGGGCGGATGGGCACCGAGCTCCAGCCTGCAGGGACGGGGACAGGGGCAGGGGTCAGCTCCGGGGAGGGGGGTGCAGAGCAGGGCCGTGCAGAAAGGCAGGGGCTGGTGCTGTGGCAGGTGCCCTGTGACGGGAAGCTGTGGTCGGCAGCAGCTGCGGCACCTGCAGCAGGCCGGGCTGCCCCCGCATCAGCCCCAGGCAGCCCCCAGCAGCCCCAGTCCCTGTAGCACAACCACCCCCAGCACCTGCCCCATGCCCCCCCTGGCCTGGCGCCCCCAGCCTCCACCTCTCCCCCCCCTAAATCTACCCCTCAAGCCCTTGAACCAAGCCCTGTTGTCACCCATCCCACAGAGCCCACTGCCCCCCCAGGCATGGGAAAAGGGGGCTACCTCAGGGCCCCATCACTGCTGCCCCTGTGCCCCCCCCCCCACTCCAAGCCAACACAGGCTGAATTGGAACAAAGTGTGAACCCCTCCCCACCCAAATTTAACCAAGGGAGCAGGCAGGAGTTGATGCTTGTGGCTGGGGACATGGGGATGAGGGGGGGCTGCATCAACCCCTCCCCACCCCCCCAAGTTCACTCCCAGTCTGCTCCATGCCACCCCCCCGTCTTTTTTGGGCGCTCACCATCGCTGGGTGCTGCTGGAGCAGGTCCGGGTGCCGCAGGCGCAAGCAGTGCTGGGGGGGCCCCCCCGTGCTTCCTGCCCCCCCCCCAGCAGCAGCAGCGGATGTATCGATGCGGGGGGAGGCGGGTGCTGTCCCCATCCCCCCCCCGCCTACCCGAAATGGAAAGGGCCCCGGAAACCCAAGGTGGCGCATGAGAGATAGGGGTGCACAGGTCTGTCCTCCGTGCCCCAGCGAGGCTCTGGGGGCTCCAGGGTTGTTCCCCCCCAGCCCTGGGGCCACCAACCCCCCTCCAGTGCCCTGATTTATGGGGGCCCTGATGCCCCCTCCCTCCCTGCCCCCACAGCTTTGAGCTGCTGCTGCTCTGTCCCCAGTCCCTGCCTCAGCTTGTGCTAAAAACCACCGCACTTTGCATCCCGCCTGTGTTACCCACACGGCGACGGGGCCATGCACACAGCCTGGGGGAGCTCCAACACACCCCAGCCTCACTCCTCCCCCCTGATAAACCAAAGTGAAACCCCCATAACCCTCACGGTACCACACCCCCCCCCCCCCGGCAGGGCCCTCTGCCCCCCCAGCTCTTAGCCTCACCCAGCACCTTTCTTATAAAGACTTTTATTTGGAGTGAAAATATAGACTTTGACCCTGCCCTGTAGGGAGAACAAAGAGGGGGGAGAGCCCCACGATATAGGGGGGGGAGGATTCCATGGTCGCGGGGCACATGCTGGAGCCCCACTGGAAGAGGGGAAGGTCCCACCCCACCCTGGGGACATAGGAGAGTTGGGAGGGGGGCAGGGCTTAGTATTTGATCCCAGAGACCCCCCCTGGCCCTCGGGGGGAGCTGCAGGGGGGGGGTAGTGGTCCACAATCCGGGGGGCAGCACCCAGTAAGGCAGTGGGGTCAGGGAGGTGTACAAAATGGGAGAGATGGATGGACAGACGGACAGCCCCAGGGCAAGGGAGGTTGGTCTCGAGGGGAGGAGACCCTGGGGCGGGCGGTGTGGTCCCTGGTTGTATGTGAGAAAGGGGGGGGGGGACACAAAGGGGACACATCCCCGGCCGCGTGCCCTGGTCCCAGGGGTGTGGGGGAGGCCCTAGACGTGCCCGTTCTCCAGGCGGCTGAGCTGCTCCTCCAGGCGGGTGATGCGCTGGCCCTGCTCTGCCACCAGCGCGCGCAGCGCCGCCACCTCCTGCAGCACCTCCTCCAGCCGCCCGCCCGCCTGCGCACACCACGGGTCACCTGCCAGGCCACGCCCCCTCCCCTAGGCCCCGCCCACCACCCACGAGGCCACGCCCACCACCCACAAAGCCCCGCCCACCACTCGCGAGGCCACGCCCACCACCCACGAGGCCACGCCCCCTCCCCTAGCCTGCCCCATTCACTTCCCCGGAGGCCCCGCCCATTTCCCAAGAGACCACGCCCCCTTTTCCATAGACCACGCCCCCCCCAGAGGCCCCGCCCCTTCACTCACCGTGGGCGCGGTGGTGCCGGTGCCCAGTGCCGGGGGCGCGCTGAGCCGTGCGGTGGCAGCAGGGGCGGCGGGGCTGGGGGCGGCGGTGGCGGCGGGGCTGGGGGCGGCGGTGGCGGCGGCGGGGCGGGCGTCGTGCAGCAGGGAGCGGCGGCTCACCTTGAGGTCGCGCTGCTTGCTGGGGACGTAGGCCTGGCGCAGGGACACCAGCACCGGCCCCGCCGTCTGCCCCGCCACCCACTCCTCCGCCTCCATGGCCGGCTCGGGGCCCGCCGTGTCGGGGTACAGGTCGTCCTGGAAGAGGTCCGACTGCCCCCCGCCCACCCCACCGCCGCCGTGTCACCCACCTGGATGCGCCACTGCTGGCCAGTGCACCCCCGGCCGGCTCCGCGCATGGACCCGCTGGGTGTCCCCCCCCTGTCCCCGCTCACCTTCCTTGGCACCGTCATGATGATGGGCTCACACCTGCGCTCGTGCAGCTTGTAGAACCTGCGGAGGGTCACACAGCGTCACCGCGGGGTGCAACAAAGGGAAAATGGGGTCGCCCCTCACCTCTAAACCCCCCCACCCCATCCCCACCTGGCGATCTCGCACTTGCTGACGTCCAGCCCGCGCTTGGGCATCCAGCCCATGCCGCGCTGCGGCTCCTTGCTGGTGAAGGTGTTGAGGAAGTGGATGTAGGGCGGCTCCTCCGTGATCTCGAAGTACCGGATGCTCGAGTCTCCCTGCGGGCACCGCGTCAGGAGGGGACAGGCGGGGACGGGGCGTGTAGGGAGGGTGGGGGGGGAAGCAGCGGGGCCGCACCTTGCCGCAGACATACACCACGTTGGTGTCGGGGTCGTAGAAGGGCAGCAGGGCCCCGTTGCTGGAGTCCAGCTCCTGCAGCCCCATGGGCTCCTCCAGGTTCTCCTGTGGGGCAGGACATCAGCCCGGTGCCGCACCGCAGCCCGGCCCCCCCCCCCCCTGAGGGGCCGACCTCGGGGGCTCCTCACCGTGTCCCACAGCGCCAGCTGCCGCTCGCTCATGCGGCTGAAGCCGGTGGTGAAGATCTTGCCGTCGGCCAGGAAGATGGCACGCATGGGCCGCGCACCCTCGTGCGCCCGCTCCTTCTCCTGCGGGGAGCGTGGGGGGGGCAAGGTCAGCGCCCCGGGATGAATGGGGGGGCGCGGCACCCCTGGAGGGGGATGCACAGGGTGGTGAGGGCAGCCCGGAGCCGTGCTCACCGCCACCACGGTGCCGCGGCGGGGGTCGATGACGCGCACGCTCTTGTCCTTGCAGGCGGTGCAGAAGCGGGAGCCGTCGCGGCTCCAGCTGACGCTGTAGATGAGGTCGGGGTGCAGCCCCTCCAGGCGGTACAGCTCCTCCGCCGTGCCCACGTTCCAGATCAGCACCACGTTGTCGCAGCCTGCAGCGGGGAAGGAAGCAGCGGCACAGCTCGGCCGGACACCCCCCTCCCTCCCCAGCCCCGGCTGGCCCCCCCTGTCCCCTCCCCGGCTCCCTACCTGCGCTGAGCAGGACGTTGCGGGCGGTGGGGTGCCAGCTGATGATGCCCACGCGCTTGGAGTGCCCCTCCAGCACCACCACCGGCTCCGTCAGCGGCTGGCTGAGCCCCCCCTCGGGGATCTGCCACACCTGCGGGAGGGGGGCGGTGGGCAGGGGGCGTGGGGGGGAAGCCCCCCGTGTAGCCCTCTCCCCATCTCCCCATCTCCCCGCTTTCCCGTCCGCCCCTCACCATGACGGTGCAGTCCTCGGAGCCGCTGGCGATGACGTGGTCGTTGTGGGGGCACCACTCGATGTCCAGCACGGGGCCCGTGTGCCCGCACACCGTGGGGTAGGACTTGTCGATGCGGCCGGTCTGCGAGCACAGAGGGGGGGGGGGGTCACCGGACCCTGCCCATCCGTCCCCGCGGAGCCTCCCCCACCCCAACCCCAACGCCCGCTCCCACCTTGTGCAGGGGCAGCACCAGGAAGGCGCCGCCGCCGCTGGCCTCCACGATGATGGCCACGAAGGAGGGGTTGACGGCGCAGAAGGTGCTGTCCCAGGTGACGCGGGACACGCGGATGTCATCGTAGCACTGCTCCGTCTTCACCGGCTGCCCGAAAACGTGCCGGAATTTGCTCTGCCGCACCACCTTGCGAAACGACATGGCTGGGGGGCACCCCCACAGGGGGTCAGGCCGGGAGGGAGGCAGCAGGGCGCGGTGACCCCGAAACACGGGGCGCCCACGGCCTGTCCCCGCAGGGCCCGGTGGCTGCCCGGTGAGCCCCTGGGGACCGGCGGATGGCACCGGTGGTGCTGTGGGGGGGTGATGGGGAAGGCTGAGCCCCGTTCCCTGCCCTGGGTAAAGGGCGGCCCCGTCCCTCCCTGCACGAGCGGGAAACCAGCGCTGGGCAAACAAACCCCACCCTGCCGGGACGGGGTCACCCGTGGGGACGGGGGCACGGCACGGGACCGCCCTGCCCGGGATGGGGCTGGAGGGGGCGGGGGGGGGGGGGACACACCGGGGGGGCACGGCCGCGGGGATGGGGCCGCGGGTGGGGGTGGGGGCGGCCTGGTGGGGACAGGGCCGGGTCCCCGGGGTGGGGGGCGGCGGGGGGGGGGCGTCAGGGCCAAGGGGGCAAAGGGATGGGACCGGGGACGGCACCGGACCGGGAGCGGGGACACGGATGGGGCCTGGAGGGGACACGGAGGGGGCCCCGGGACCCCCCGGGAGCCCCGCACTCACCGGCGGCCGGGCCGGGCCGTGCCGGCGGTGCCGGTGCCGGTGCCGGGCGCGGGGCTGGCGGCGGAGCCGGGACCGGGGGGAACCTGGGGCGGGGGGGGGGGGCGGCAGGAAGTGAGCGGCCCCGCCCCGCGCGCGCGCACTGCGGCACCGGGAGGCGGGGGAGGGGAGCGGGGGGGCGGGGCCAACCGGGAAAGGGGCGGGGCTACGGGGAGGGGGGCGGGGTCACCGAGGGGGCGGGGTCACGGCGGGGGCAGGGCGGCGGGGGCACCGGGGGGCACCGGGATGGGGTCACCGGGGGGCACCCGGGCGGTGGTGTCCGGTGGCACCGGGGTGGTGGCGTCCAGTGGCACCGGGGCAGCGGTGCCCAACTGCATCGGGGTGGTGGCACCCGGTGGCACCGGGAGCGGGGCGGGGGGCGGCGCGGGGGTCACGCTGCCCGGTGGCAGCGGGGCGGTCGGGGCCGGTGTCCCCGCGGGTGACGCAGCGGTGGCAGGCGCGGGTGGCCAGCAGCAGGTAGAGGCAGGGGTTGAGGCAGCTGCCCACGTTGAAGGCCAGCGCCACGAAGTAGGCGAGGCTGGCGAAGCGCCGGGGGAACGCGTGGCTCAGCAGCTGGGCCAGCTGGAAGGGCAGGTGGATGGCCAGGTAGCCGCTCAGCGTGGCGGCCACCAGGCGCTGGAAGCGGGCCGGCAGCCCCCCGGCGCCACGCTGCCGCCGCCTGCGCGCCGCCGCCACGGCCAGCGCGGCCCCGTTGCACAGCAGCAGGACGCCCACGGGCAGCAGCAGCCCCTCCAGGACCACCTCCAGCCAGCCCAGCAGCTGCTGCCAGCGGCCCCGCTCCCGCCGGCACACCACCAGCCCCGGCATCACCTCCGAGGCTTGTGCCAGGGCGGTGCCGGGCGCGCTGCAGCAGCCGGCCAGCAGCCAGGCGGCCGCGCACAGCCCCGCCGGCCAACGTGCCGGGCGGCGGCAGCGGTACCAGAGCGGGGCCAGCAGCAGCAGGCAGCGGTCCAGGCTGATGGCGGCCAGCAGGAACAGCCCGCCGTAGTAGGCCAGGTCGAGGAGGAAGCGGTGCAGGCGGCACAGCGGCGTGCCCAGCGGCCAGCGGTGGCCGTGCGCCGCCGTCCAGATCTGCAGGGTGGAGTTGGCGAGGAAGAGGAAGTCGGAGGCGGCCACGCTGAAGATGAAGATGGCGAGGCCGCGGCAGCGCAGCCGCCAGCCCGTCAGCCAGAGGACGAAGGCGTTGGCGGGCAGCCCCAGCACCGCGCACACCAGCTGCAGCTGCCAGACCCACTGCAGGGCGCTCGGGGGCTGCGGGGACGAGGACGGTGACGGGGATGAGGACAGGGACGGGGACGGGGACGTCGTGGCGCTCTCCAGCTCCATCGGCTGAGCGCAGGGGGCGGCGGCTCCCAGGGCACCCTGTCCACAGCACACACTGCCATGTCACCGTCTGCCGTGGCAGCATCTGCAATTCTCCCCCCGTCACTGTACCCCCTCCCTTTGGATCCCCCCCATTTTTCCCTATCTCACCGTATCGCCCCCATTGCTCCCCACCCCGTTGCCCCCTCCATGTCACCCCGTCCTCGTGCCCCTCACCTTTGTGCCCCCCAGGTGCCCACCACCCTCACCTCCCCTGCCTGGGTCCTCCACCCACCATCCCCCGGCCGTGCCCCAGTCCACTCCACAACATCACCTCAATGCTCTTGTGCTGCCCTGCACCCCACGAGTCCCTCGGGCACCAGACAAGCCCCCCAGGCCAGTAAATAGTGTAGGACCTACCGTAACAGCAGCGCGAGCACAGGTTCGAGCAGTGGACGTTGAAGGTCTCCTGGGCTGCAGGGTGCCCTATATGTAGGTCTGGCTGGGATGGGCAGCGATCAAGGAGCTCCACCCACCCTATATGCTCCCCCCCCCGGCAATGACCCCCCCCCCCAAAAACCTCAGTTTCCCCCTGTGAGGGACAGGGAGCTGCTGCCAGACAGGACGGAAGCGGCCGCAGTATCGCTGCTGAGGATGGTTTCCCCATGGCCCCCCTGGGGTCACCCGGTCCCCGTGGGCTGGTTCCAGCAGGAGCCCCCCACCCCACAGCCACCCGGTGCCAGGCAGGGGGGCTTGGGGCACGTGGAAGCCCCAGGGCTGGGTTGGTGGCCACGCTGGCTGTTGCGTGCCAGGGCCGGTGGCACGGCATCCCCGTGATGGCATCTCCCTGCCGGGCGCTGGCTTCCTGCCACCCGCCAGCAGCTGCTGAGTCGGGGCGATGCTATCGGGGGGCCAGGGGGAGCGGGGCCCCACACGCACCGTGGCACCGCTCCTCGCCGCAGCCTCAGCCAACAGGGGGGGATGCCTGGGGGGCTGGAGGGCACAGGGATGTGGGGACGCCGTGGGGATGTCGTGGGGGCTTCGTGGAGATGGGACGTGCGCATGGACACATCCCCGTGCTGCAGGTGGGGATGGGGACTGGCGTGTGCCCATGCTGGGGGCCGAGGAGGCGTCAGCGTTGGGTTAAGACAAGCACAGGGACACTGGAGGTGGCCGAGGGACATGGGTGCTGGGGACACCGCCGCTGTGCTGGGGACCGGGGTGGTGGCCGGGGGTGCCATGGCCTCGTGGCCGTGCCCTGGCACGAGGACATGGTGGGATGGCTCGTTTCCTGGCGCCGTAATCGCCGCTAATTGGCTTTGCCCTCCCCGGGGCGGGGGGTGTGGGGCAGGTAAGAGGATTTCCCTGCCTCCTTCTTAAGGGCTGGCCGCCCCCCAGCCCTGCTTCCCGCCGCCTGCCTCCACTCCAGCCCCCGGCCCCATGCCACGCACGCGGGGGGACAAGGGGGCCCCCAAGGACGCCGAGGCCCCAGGCAAGGGGAAGGGGGAGCAGGGGGGCGAGAGCTCCCCGAAGCCCCCCGAGGAGGGCGGCTCCCCCGGCAGCGGCAGCCCCGGGGCTGAGTCCCGGCACGGCGGGCACGGGAGGAAGAACAGCAAGAAGGGGGCCGGGGACCCGCACGCCGCCGCCACCAAGGCTTACTCGCCCTTCCTCAACACCGTCTTCGGCAAGGTGCGGGCAGGGGCCGGGGGGCGGTGGGTGGAGGGGCAGGGGGGAGGTTTGGGGATGCTGGGGATGGGCCACGGGGCAGGCCTGGGGGCTCTTTCTCCTCCCTCCCTATATGGAACCCAACGGGGGCACCGTGGGGTGGGGGTCCTGGGGAGGGTGAGCGGCAGGGCTGGGCACCGTGGGGCTCAGGGACCCGCAGCCATGGTGCTACCCCAGGGACAGCCCGGAGCAGGGCAGCCCCCGGCCTCTGAGAACCCCGTTAGGGACTGGGGCCGAGGGTCCCAGGTGGGTGTAGGGGAAGGGGACAGCAGGGGCACCTGGGGAGGGGGGCAGGCAGGGCTTTGCCTCCAATCCGTCTAATCCCTCCTGCGGGAGTTAATTTTGGCCCGTGCTTAACGAAGGTGACACCGCGGTTTGCTGGGAGGGGCGGGGGCTGAGCTGGGTCTGATGCTGCTTCTCCCCCCCACACCCCCCTGCACCCCACACCCCGGTCCAGGAGCGGGAGCTGTCGCCGGAGGAGCTGGATGGTGAGTGGTGGGGTTGGGACATGGGGGGGACACTGGCATCGTCTGCCATGGGACATGGAACCACGGGGTGTGGTGCCACAGCTTCCACACCTGACGGGTCCCTGTGCCCGTGCGTGCCTGTGGGGGCAGAGCTGCTGGATGCCTTCAAGGAGTTTGACACCGACCAGGACGGCTTCATCAGCTACAAGGACCTGGGCGCCTGCATGCGCACGCTGGGGTACATGCCCACCGAGATGGAGCTGATCGAGATCTCGCAGCACATCAAGATGAGGAGTGAGCGCGGGGCCGGGGCTGGGGCAGCGGGACGCGGAGGTGCGCGCGGAGACGGGGCTGGGGCGCTGAGGCTGTCCCCGTCCCTGGCGCAGTGGGCGGCCGCGTGGACTTCGAGGACTTTGTGCAGATGATGGGGCCGAAGCTGCGGGAGGAGACGGCGCACATGGTGGGCGTCAGGGAGCTGAAGATTGCCTTCCGCGAGGTACGGCCACGGGGACACCGTGGGCATGGGGACACCATGGGCATCGATGGCCCTGGCACGCAGGGGACAATGACCACGGGCAGAGCAGGGGCTGGCCCCGGCCCAGGGTGTGTGGGGGGCTGTGGGGGGCTGCGGGGAGGGGACCCAACCTGTGGGCGCCGCAGTTCGACATGAACGGGGACGGGGAGATCAGCAGCGCGGAGATGCGCGAGGCAATCGCGGCGCTGCTGGGCGAGCAGCTGAAGGCACAGGAGGTGGACGAGATCCTGCAGGACGTGGACCTCAACGGGGACGGCCGTGTGGACTTCGATGGTGAGCCCTCCCCCCCCCCCCCCAAATGTCCCCACAGCCCGGGGGGTGGCGCAGGGCGGCCCCGTGCCCCTCTCGCCTCCTGTCTCACCCCGCAGAGTTCGTCATGATGCTGTCCTCCCGCTGAGGAAGCCTCCGGAGAGGAGGGGACCCGGGGCATCGACACCGCTCCTGCCCCCCCCCAGCACCTCCTGCTCCATCCCATCCCGAGTTATTGGGGTCCAGAGCGAGCAGTGGGAGCCGAGCCCACCTCTGGGAGCGGGGCGCCCACCAGGACCCCCTGGCAGCGTGGTGGGGGGGCTGTGGGCACCCAATAAAGCTCCTTGCTCAGATGGGGAGGATGGCACTGGTCATTGGGATGGGGGGATACGGGGTGGGGATGGAGTGGGGAGGGGTCCTCGCCCCCATGGCACCCGCTCACCGACCCCAACACACCCTGAGCTGCCCCAAACCTCACGTGTGGAGCAGCTGGGGGGGAGGCAAGGGATGGGGGGGTCTCAGGAGGGGGGACAGCGACCCCAAAAAGGGACAAGGAGGGGTCGGGGGGCCCTGCACGGAGCCAGCACCCTTCAGAGCCCCCCCAGCCCTGGGGGGGTGGCTCAGGGAGCCCCCCAGCAGCGGCTCTGTGGTGTAGCGGTGATCACGTCTGCTTTACACGCAGAAGGACCTGGGTTCGAGCCCCAGCGGAGCCACCCCACAAGGATTTTTTGTGCCTTTTCCCCCTCAGCCCCTTTTACTAAGGGGGGTGGGACATGGTGTCACCTCTGGGGGGGCGCGGGGAGCCCCCACAATGCGCCCCCATCCCCCTGGGGGGGGAAATGAGCGGCCGGCTCTGCTGGGGCTCAAACCCAGCCCTCCGATCACCGCTACCCACACGGCACGGGGCCGGCTGGGGGAGCCCCCCCAGACCCCCACCCGCAGGGACCTGGTCGAGAGCCCGGGGGGAGCAGCGGGGGCAGCACCAGGATGGCCGAGTGGTGAAGGCGTTGGACTTAAGATCCAATGGACGTGTGTCCGCGTGGGTTCGAACCCCACTTCTGGTACAGCTGTTTTGTTCCTGGAGGGGACCCCAAATCACCCCAGGAACCCCAAAAAGCTCGAGGGACCCCAAATTGCCCTAAACAACTGCAGACTGCCCCAGGGAACCCCAAACCCAGGGAACCCCAAACTGCCCTGGGGACCCAAAATTACCTCTAGGAACCCCGAACTGCCCTAGGTGACCCCAAATTTCCCCCAAGGTGACTCCAAAGTGCCCTAAGAACCCTAAATTGCTCCAAGGGCCCCCAAACTGCCCTGCTCCTGGGATCCTTGGGGGGACTCCCGTTCCCAGAGACCCCCTGGAATATGGGGTGAATGGCTGGAGAATGCAAGCAGCCCCTTGGGGCAGGTGAGGAGGAGGAGGGTGGGAGATGTTGTGGCCCCCCACGACCCCCCCTCCCCCAGGAGCTGCCCGGGTAGCTCAGTCGGTAGAGCATCAGACTTTTAATCTGAGGGCCCAGGGTTCAAGTCCCTGCTCGGGCGATACCTCCCTCTTTTGGGGCTGGGGTCTCTGTGCCCCATCCCACCTCTCCCCAGCACTTGCAGCTCCCCCAGGGCACCCCCAGCAGCATGGGGCTGTGGGGTAGGGGCTGTGCAGGGTCCCGGGGATACCCCCCAACCCCAAAAACACAGCAGACGCAGCCAGGCTGGGGCATTCACAGATTTTAATTTAGTTGTTTTCCTGGAGAGGGGGGAAAGAGAGGAGGAAAAAAAAAAAAAAAAAGGCATCATACACCCCCCGCTCTCTCCGCTGCATGGAGTGCCGCTGCTCGCCCCCCCAAGCCCCCAGTGGGGGGGCAGCTCAGCTCCTACAGACCCCTGCGCCGCCCCCCGCGTCACCCCCATCACATCTCTGGGCCGCTGTAGTGTGGAGTGTGGGGGGCAGAAGCCGGGCCCCTCGCCCCGAGAGGAAGGCACGGCGAGGGGGGCACACCCCAGGGTACGAGCAAGGAGGGGGGGGGAACCGGGGCCCCCGCTGGGTCTCTACATGGATATAACGTACACCTAGAGAACAGGCTGCGGGCACGGCGGGGGGGCCCGTGTGGGGTGAGTGAGGCCGGACTCCCGCCCCCAAGAGCACCCAACTGCCTGGGGGCAAAGGGGAGATGAAAAACGAGGGGAGGGGGAGAAGAGACCAAGGCCAGCCTCGGGCTCACCCCGCGGTGCCCGCCCCAGGGGGGCCGTGTCCCCATCCATCCCCGGGAGCCACCTGGGGCGCCGCCGCTCCTGCGCCGGGGGTCCAGGGATGAGCGCACGCGTAGGGGGGTGACGGGGGAGCCCCCGGGGCTGGGGGGGGGCCGGGCTGGCTCCCGCTCCCCAGCACCAAGGTCAGTGTGGATGGGCTAAGGCAACCCCGGCAGGTGAGCGCGGCCGGCGCTCGCAGCGGGCGCTGAGACGGACGGACGGACGGACAGACGGCGCTCCCCCCGGGCAGCCCCGCAGGCCTCGGCCCCGCTGCTCCTCCCAGCCCTCAGAAAATGTCCGGGCACTGGGTCCAGTCCTGCTTCTCTTTGCTCTCCCAGTAGCCGCCCCTGTAGACGTGTGCCAGCTCCTGGGTGACCGGGTCCTTCTTGCGCTCGAACCACAGCGGCTTGTAGGGGTCGTAGGGGGTGCCTGGGGGCACGGAGAGAGGGTGAGCACTGTGAGGATGGGGGGCTCGGGGGCTCCCCCCGCCCGCTCCTTACCGTCCTCGGTGGCCCTGGCGGCCTCGGCCTCGCGCCTCTTGCGGGAGAGGCGCTGCTTCTCCTCCAGCCGCTGCTTCTCGGCGTTGGCCTCGTCCCAGCGGCCGTTCTCCATCAGGCGCTGGTCGGGGCGCCGGCGGCTGTCGGTGGGCGCCGTGCCGCTCTCGGGGGCGTTGAGCGTCAGCGCCAGCTCCGAGAAGTAGTACATGTTCTCCGCGTATTTCCTGCGCCCGGAGAGAGGGAGGCTCAGTCCCGCTGCAGGGCCCCGAGCCCCCCACCCCAGCCCCGCACTCACGGCAGGGGGTTCCTCTTCCACAGCAGCACCCGGCTGTCCTCGGCCTCGTGCGCCCGCTGCCGCGCCTCTGCCCCGTTGTCCCCGCTGCCCAAGGCCACCTTGTAGCAGTCCATCTTCTCGTCCCAGGTGCCCAGCAGGAGGAAATGCACCTTCCCCGTGGGGTCCGTCACCTCCCCGGTGACCTGCCAGGACAGGGGACGCGTCCCACCCGGTGACCCCGGTGCCCCAGGCAGAGCGGTGCCAGCACTGGGACGTGCCACGTGCCTGCCCACCCCCTGCCCTACCTTCCTGGCCACATCCCGCTGAGAAGTAGCTGTAAGGAACGAACTTGAGGTTGCACTTATCGCCCGTCTTGTGATTGACGATCTCAATTTCACCTGACTGGGGGGGGAAACAGAATCGGGTTCAGCCTAGGACTCCTTTCCCCAGCTGGACAGGGGAAACCGAGGCACCTCCAACACCTCCACGTGGGACTGGCACCCACCTGGTCTATCCAGAGCTTGCCCACGATGATGTTGTGCACGGTGGTGGTGACTTTTTTCCACGTGTAGTGGTTGCCAGAAGCATGGAAGACGCAGTGAATGGTGCCTGCGGAGGGAGAGCAGCGCTGGATCAGTGCCCTGGAGCCCAGCGATCTCCATTGGGGGACCAACAGCCCCCAGCCCGCCCAGCCGGACGCTCACCCAGAGGCATGATGGAAAGATATTTGCCCCGGAACTTGCTGGTGATCTTGATTTCCTGGCGCAGCGTCCAGCCGTGCTTGGAGTCGGCGTGGTGCGCGGCGGCCGGCGGGTGGTGGCTCACCTGGCGGGGACAGGGAGGGTCAGCCCGGCCGCGCCGCCCCAGCGGGTGGCCCGCGGAGCTGGGCCGCGGTACCTGCTCGCAGAGGGAGCGGTAGCCGCTCTCCTCCAGGCGGTCCAGCTCGTACGTCTCCCCCAGGAGCGGGTTGAAGGGCTTGCTGGTGCGGAAGACGGTGGTGGAGTAGGAGGAGACGGTGAAGGCAGCCACGTAGCACAGCTGCTCCAGAGAGCTCTCGCACTTGGCCGCCCGGTCCAGCAGCTCGTGGTACTCCAGGTCCTCGGTCAGGCGCTGCAGCATGGACAGGGGCTCGTTGAAATTCACCTGGAGGAGAGCGAGAGGTGAGGGGGGGGGCCCGGGGCACACGGCAGTCACCCCCCAGATCCCGCCCGCGTCCCCGCTCACTGGCATGGGGATCTTGGACAGCTCCTTCCCGATGCAGTTCTTCATGATGCTCCAGAGATTGAGGCTGTAGTTGGGCTTGTAGGGGATGCGGGTTCTCTTCTCCTTCTTAGTGTCTTCTACCTGGTGCTTGTACTGCCGGGGGGAAACCAGCAATGTCACAAAGCCGCTGTGACCCCCCTGGGGATGGCCCTGGATGGCCCATCCCCATCCCACAGCCACCTCCAGAGCAGCCCCAAAGCGGCCGCCCTACCTGCTCCTCCAGGCTGATATCACTGCTGGTGCCGCTGATGTTGCTGCCGGTGCGCCTAGGGGGGAGCAGAGGCAGCGTTAGGGTTGGGCTTGCCCCTGCCCCCCCCAGCAGGACCCCCTGGCACTCACTTGTGGCCCATGGTCTCCAGCGCAGCGATGTTCTCCGGGGCATCGAAGAACTCGTTCTCTTCGTCCTCGTCACTCAGGTCTCCTTTCGCAGGGCAGCAGGGATCTGGGTGAGGGGATGGAGGATGGGCTGTGTGCCTGGGCTCACCCTGGTGCAGCAGGGGACAGGGGGCACCACAAGATCCCTGCTACTGCTGGGCTTGGTGAGATATGGGAACAAGCACCTGGCCGCAGGGCCCCTTGGCCGTATGGTGGACACCAAACAAGCCTACTGCTTATGGACAGCGATGTCAGGCTCGGGGATGGGCTGACAGCACTGCATTATGCAGAACACACTGCTCTTGGCTTCCCCTCCCCTCCTGCCCCACAACGCCTCGCTCCAAAACAAGACAGCCAGCCCCAAAACAAGACGCGGACACTCGGGGTACCTTTGGCAGAGCCACCAGACCCAGCAGTGCCGGCAGGCAGCACGGTGGCACCGCGGAAAGCCCTCTCCAGGTGGTTGTGCTGCTTGGCCAGCTGCTCCAGCGTCTCCTCCAGGCGGATGCGCTGGTCCCGCTCGTGCTGCAGCGACTTCTGCCACTTCTTGCTGTGGGTCTGGGCCAGCATCAGAAAGTCCCGGCAGGCCTGCGGGCAGCGCCCGGTCAGTGCGGCAGGGGGGAGAGGAGCAGGGCTGTCCCCCCCGCGCCCCCGGCAGCAGACTCACGTTGATCATGGCGTTGGAGGTGATGCGGAAGAGCGTGGCGCGCTCGTTCACCTGCTTGATCTTCTCGGTGCTCTCGGCGGGCAGCCGGAGGGTCTCCAGCTCGCTGAGGGAGCGCTGCAGGGCCGTGCCGTGCTTGGCGATCAGGTCGTTGCAGGTGCTCAGGTCCTCCACCTTGCTCGACAGGGTGCGCAGCGTGCTCTGCAGCTCCGTCTTGTCCGTCTGCGACACGGACTCATCGCCGGAGTCGTCTGCCGGCGGGACGGGCTGTTAGAGCGGGGCGGGCAGCACCAGTGCCGGGGGTTAGGGGGGGAGCGAGGGCGCCGGTACCTGACTCCTCCAGCATCTTGACGGCCTTGGCCTTGGCCAGCTCCAGCGCCGTGACCCAGCGCTGCCGCTCCACCTCGGAGCTGGCCTTCAGGTGGTAGGTCTGCGCGCCGCCGTTGGAGATGACGAAGTTGCACGAGTCCTCCACCGTGATGTTGGCCGTGGCCAGGTTGATGGTGCCGCGGCACGTGTGCCGCATCTCCGCCTTGGAGCTGCGCGGGGAGCAGCCGGGAGCCGTTAACGGGGCCGGGCCCAGAACCCCGGGGAGGCCCCGCCACGTCACCGGGCGGCGGGGGAGGGGAGGGGCGGGGAGGGGGGGGGACACGGGGCAGCTCCCGGAGCCGGGAGCCAAGATCCGAGATCCGCGGGCGCGGCGGGGCCAGGCCAAGGTCAGCGGGAGCGGGGCGGGGCGGGGCGGGGGGGGGTCCCGGTGCCGGGCCGTACCGGTAGTAGCTGAGCAGCCCGTTGCTGAGCACGAACCAGCGGCGCTGGTAGCCCTTGATGTAGTTGGTCCACTTGAACAGCCAGCCCTCCCGCGCCGAGCCGCCCACACCGGACCCGCCGCCGCCACCGCTCCCCGCCGCCGCCGCCGCTCCCGGGGCCGCGCCGCTCCCCGAGCCGCCGCCTCCGCCGCCGCCTCCGCCCGCCGCCGGTGAGGGCAGCGCCGGGGCCGCGCCGGGCGCCGCGGGCAGCGCCATGGGGCCGGGCAGCGCCGCCGCCGCCGCGCCGGGGCCCGCGCCCGCCGCGCGCAGCTCCGCCATGGCCGCCGCCGCCGCCCCGCCGCGCCCCGCCCGCCGCGCCGCCGTCACGCGCCCCGCCCCCCGCCGCTCATTGGCCGCCGCCGCCCGCCCCGCGCTCCTCATTGGCCGGAGCTGAGGCTCCGCGCCCGCCCCTCTTCGCGCCGCGCGGGGATTGGACGCGCCGCGCGCACGTCTCCGCCGCGGGCCAATGAGGAGAGGGGAAGGCGGGGGGGTGACGTCAGCGCGCGCGCCGATTGGACGCGTCGGCCCCGCCCCGGGACGCGACCCCGAAGCGACCGGGACCGGGACCGGGACCGGGACCGGGACCGGGACCGGGACCGGGACCGGGACCGGGACCGGGACCGGGACCGGGACCGGGACCGGGACCGGGACCGGGACCGGGACCGGGACCGGGACCGGGACCGGGACCGGGACCGGGACCGGGACCGGGACCGGGACCGGGACCGGGACCGGGACCGGGACGCAGCGGCAGTACACAAGGCTCTTTATTTACATCCTTATAAAAATGGAAAGTTACAAACGGTGCCGGGGCGCAAACGGCAGAGCCCCGGCCCCGGCGGCGGGCACCGGGGGGGGGGCGCGGCCGCGGGGCCCCGGCTGTGCAAATGCTCCGCGTGCCGGTACGAGCCCCGCGCGCGCACCGGGGGGAGGAGGGGGTGGCGGGGAAGACGAGGCGAGTGTGCAAAGAGGCGCGGGGGCGGCTCCCGGGGCCGGGCTCCCCAGCCGCACCGGGGGCAGGGGGAGCCGCCCGGCCGCCCCGGTGCCGAGGAGCCGCGGGGAGCCCCGGTGCCGGTGCCGGTGCCCCCCGGGGGTGCCGCCGGTCAGCTCACTGCAGCTTTGTCTCCAGCAGGTTGAGCTTCTGCTGGTCGACGTAGCGAGAGAAGAGGGAGAGCAGGTTGGAGGGGGGGGACACCGGCTTGGCCAGGGCGGCCGCCGGGATCCGCAGCAGCTCCCGGCTCGCCAGCAGCATCAGCTCCGTCCTGCGGGGACACGGGGACACGGCTGAGCGCACGGGGAGGGCACGGCCGGGCCTCGGCACCGGGGAGCCCCCCGTTCCCCTCCCGGTGCTCACCACTGGTTGTCCTGCATCAGCTCCGTGCTGGTGTCCGAGCTCTGCAGCTCCTCCCCGCGGCTCAGCACCAGGTAGAGCAGGGACAGGCCGAACTGTGGGGAGAGCAGCGGGCGTCAGGGGGGCCCGGAGGGATTTTTTTGGGGGGGCTGCACAGCGCAGGGCAGCCCCAGGGGGGCAGGGAGCCGCACCTTGTTTTGCAGCACAGCAGCGAGGTGCAGGTTGGTGGGCGCGGGCGCGGTGGCGCTCTGAGGTAGGTTGGTGAGCTGCTGCACAAGGCTGGTGACCGTCCCCAGCGGGAGGTGGTACAGGACGTGCGAGAAGGGCCTCAGCAGGCAGGGCAGCACCTGCGGGGAGCGGCAGAGAGGTCAGACGCCCCTCTGGCCCCACATCCTCCCCCTGCGTGCTGACAGCCTCCCCCCGTATCCCCCAAACCACACAGGCTTTAATTCAGGCTCCTGGTTTCCCTCGTTAAGCCTCCCGCCCCGGCACGGTCACCTCGTCCTGAGCGTCCTTCTTGATGAGGAAGGGCAGGTTCCTGGCCGTCGCCATGAGGACGTCGGCCGCCTGCTCGGGGGACAGGAAGGGGAGGATGCGTGCCACCAGGCGCTTTCCTTTCCGGATGCACATGATCTGCATGAAGTGGTCATCGCTCGGCCTGCCGCGCAGGGGAGGAAGGAGCTGACTCAGCGGGGTGCCAGAGCGCTCCCGAGGGGGTTCCCAGAGGCGCCCCGACACCACAGGAAATAAAAACAGGGACGGGGAGAGCAGTGACACCCCCGCGTCCATCCCGCCTGCGTGATTAGAAGCAGCACCAGCTGCTGTGAGCGCCCATGGGCTGCTGCCTCTCTGTGTGCTCACCTCTCCTGCCCGGCCGCCTTGCCCCTCAGATTGTCATACATGTCGCAGATCTTCTGCTTCCTCTCGCCCATCAGGGCCGGCCGCTCGCCTTCCAGGCTCAGGAGGTAGCGTCGCTCATAGTCCTCCACGTCCAGGAGGAGGCTGTAGGTCTGTGGGAGAGACGGCGATCGACGGGGGGCAGGGACCGAAGGAAGCAGCCCCGCGGGAGGGGCGGGACGCAGGACGTGCTGCTCACCTTCTCGATGGTGACGAGCGTCTGGCGCCGCTTGTCCCGGACCTGCTTCTCCTTCGTCTCCTGCCGGGAGGGACGGGGAACGGGTCAGCGTGCGGCAGCTCCCCCCGCGGGGGGCCTGACCCCGCAGCAGGAGCGCAGGACTCACGTCATCCTCGCCTGCGGGAGGTCACCACCGCGTCGATCATCTTCCGCGGGTTGTTCACGCTGGACACCGTCAGCTTCCCGAGCGAGCCCTCGAACTGCACTGCAGGGGCAGGAGGGGATTGGGGGGGAGATCAGCACGCTGCTCGCCCGCCCCACAGAGCCATGGGGGGCCTCAGGAAGGGGGCGCTGACCTGGTTTGTAGGCGTGCTCCAGCTTGGCCACCTGAGGGGTGATGAGTTTGGTGCGCTCCTTCTTGGGGCCGTCCCCGTGGACTTCCTCAGCCGCTGCCAATTTTTCCAGCTTCTGGAAGTAGTTCTGAGAGGGGGGAGAGAGGAGAGGTTGGGACCCCAAAAACACAGCGGGCAGGGAGTCCCCAGCCTGTGCTCCATCCTCCTCCCAGGACGTGAGGAGATGCTCCCGTCCCCCTCGAGGAGCTCACGGTCGCTCCTCAGCCCCCATTTTCCGCACAGGGTTAGGATGATTCCTGCGCCCTCCCCGCCGCTCGCCTCGCCCGTACCTGGTAGTAATAATCATCCAGGTAGGGGTCAGTGCTCTGCAGCTGCATCATCTGGATCTTGGACACCCAGTCCTTCTCCCGCTGCAGCATGAGGTTGGCGTAGGGGTCTTTGCGTGCCTGCTCCTGGTGGCTGCCCCGGTGGCCCCCTCGGTCCCCCACCGAGCCGTTGAGGCTGCGGTGCTGGCTGGCAGGAGGCAAGAAGGGCACCCGTGAGCACACAGGAGCTACAGGAAGGGACAGAGAGCGGTGCACAGGCTAGCCCCGGCAGCACGGGGCCCCCCGGAGCAGGGGGGATGCCCCCCCCGGTGCCGGGCAGCCCCTCTCCCCGTCCTCCTGCCCACCCCCGCTGCTCACTTTCGGTTCTGCTGCTGCCGCTGGTGCAGGAGCCGGCGGTGCTGGGGGTGCAGGTGGGTCGTGTCCGGCCGGAACATCTGCGGCTGGGGCCTGCGGGGAGCCCAGGGCTCGGGGTGAGCACGGGGCAGGCGCGTGGCCCCGGGGGAAAGGGGCACGGCGCCTACCTCAAGCCCTGCAGGTGGGACGCGGGGCCTGGAGGGGGCTGCGGCTGCGATGGGGGCGGCGGAGCTGGGGCAGCCCCGAAGAAGGCACGAAAGCCGCCGGCTGGAGACATCATCTGCCCCACTCTGCCCTGCAGCAGCTTGGGGTTGACGGAGGGCAGCGGGCTCCCGACAAGGCCTGAGACTCGGGCGAACTGGCTGGGAGACATCCGGCCGGCCTGGCGGGGAGGAGGGAGCGTTAATCAGCCCCAGGGGGGGAAGGAAAGGGCTGGTGGCATCAGCCAGAACGGGGCTGGCTCCTGGCAGGGCAATACCTGGGCTCCTCCGAGCAGCTGCGCTCTCTGCAGGTGGCTGAGGACAGGAGAGACGCTGTGGGGGAACGGGTGGCCCAGCAGGGAGGAGTTCTGAGGGAAAAGAAGGGAGCGGGGCCGCCGGTCACAGCCCTGGCACGGCGAGGCAGCCGGGGTGCTCGGAACGGCGGCGGGGAGGAGCGAGGGGCGTCCTGGTACCGGTACGTTGCAGAGCTGGTTGGGGGACATCCTCTCGCCGTAGGGAGCGGGGTAGCGCTGCTGCATGCTGGCCCGGATGTGCACTGGCTTGGGGCACAGGATCTAGGAGCAGGGAGACGATGCGTTTCGGCTGCTGGCTCCTCACGCAGCAGCCCGCAGCCAGCACCGGGCCTCGGGGAGGTACCTGCTGGTTGAAACTGGGCACGGCTGCCTGCTTGGGAGGGGTGCCGATGGGGACCGCTCGCACCGGGGGGCTGCCGATGACGGGGGAGGACGAGCGGCGGGGCAGTGCCCGCTCAGAGGGGTCCCTCTCTTCCTCCCGAGCCTGCGGGGGTCTCTGGGGCAGGGCGTAGTCCAGCACGGACACCGACGGCATCTCCTGCGAGTGGAAAGGGAGGAAAAGCCCCAGAGATAAGAGTGCTGGGGAGCCTGTCCCAGTGCCCGACCACCCTCTGGGTGCAGAGCCTTCCCCTAACCCCCAGCCTGACCCTCCCCTGTCCCAGCTCCATGCCGTCCCCTCAGGTCCTGTCGCTGTCCCCAGAGAGCAGAGCTCAGCGCCTGCCCCTCCTGCTCCCCTGTGAGCTGAGCAAACCAAGAGACCCAGCCTCTCCCCAACCCTCCCGAGCACCCTCCAGCAGCTGGGAGGGCCTCCCCCCCCCTCTGTACCTGAGCGAGCAGCGGCCCGCGGATGCGGCGCAGCACGGCGGGGCCGTCCCAGATGCCCGCGTTGAGCGGGGCGGGCTGCGTGCCGGGGGCCCTGGTGTGCACGGCCCGCATGATGGCCGGGTCCTCCAGCTCGCTGTCGATCACCAGCCGCGTCAGCCGCTCCGCCAGCGTGTCCTCGGGCTCGCCCAGCAGCTCGGCGTCCTCGCCGCCCGGCAGGGCTCGCTGCCCCGCGCCCCGCGGCTTCTCCTCCAGCTCCGCCAGCCGCTCGTGGGCCTCCTGCCAGTCGTCGTCTGCGGCGGGGGGACACAGCGGGGAGGCGGTGAGCGGCTGGACGAGGGGGGGGTTGGGGACACACCGGGACGGGGGGCAGGGAGCTGGGGGCAGCGCTCACCGACGGCGCCGGCCCCGAAGGTGTCATCGTTGAACTGGTCGATGTCCTCGTCCTCCTCGCCCAGCGCCTGGAAGCCGTCCTCCTCCTCGTCCAGCGGGCACTCGTCCGGGGACTGCGGCGGCGGCGGCAGGGCTCAGCGCCACGGCACCGGGACCCGCACCGGGACCCGCACCGGCACCGGGACCGGCCCCCAAACCACCCCCGGGCCCACCCCCGGGCCCAAACCCGGCCCCCCCGGGCCCGCCCCGCCCCCCCCCCGCTCACCGGGTACCGGAACATGGCGGCGGCGGAGGCGGCGGCGGCGCCCCCCGCCCGCAGGCTCCGCGCGGCCCGCTCCGGCCCCGCCGCGCATGCGCCGCTGCGGGCGCACGCGCATGACGTCACCGGGCGCGGGCGCCGTGAGCAGCCCCCCCCCCGCCGGGAAGCCTTAAAGGGGCCGCGCCCCCCCCTCCCTCCCCGTCGGGCTGCTCTTAAAGGGGCCGCCGCCGCTTTGCGCCCCGCTGTCCCGGCGCCCCCCCCGCCGTGCTGCCCTCGCGGCCGCCTTCTCCCCCCCGCCGCCGCGCCGTGCCCGGGGTGTCCCCGCCTCGCAGCACAGCCCCGGCCCCTGGGTGTGTCCCCTCGACGTGTCCCCATACACAGCCATGGCCCCATATCCTGGACGTGTCCCCCCAGCCCTGTCCCCTCGACGTGTCCCTTACCCCCAGCCGTGTCCCCCACTGGTGTCACACCGACCTACCCCACACCATGTCCTAGTCCCTAGCCACATCCCCTCGACGTGTCCCCATACACAGCCATGGTCCCTATATCCTGGACGTGCCCCCAGCCCTGTCCCCTCGACGTGTCCCTTACCCCAGCCCTGTCCCCCACTGGTGTCACCCCTGCCCACCAATGATCTCCCACTGTGTCCCCGGACCCAACCCTGTCCCCTCGACGTGTCCCCATACGCAGCTGTGGCCTCGTACCCTGGATGAGTCCCCTCAGGCACGTCCCCTGGACGTGTCACTGTCCCCTAGACGTGTCCCCATCCCCAGCCCTGCCCCCTAGACGTGTCCCATACACACAGCCCTGCCCCCTGGACGTGTCCCCTGTCCCCATCCGCGCCCCCCTGGACGTGTCCCCATCCCCAGCCGTGCCCCCCCCCCGTTGTGCTGCCGCCCCCCCCCTCGGTCCCGACGCCCTCGCTTCCCCCCCGCGTTCCCGCTCCACGTCGCGGGGCCACCCCCGGGCGCGGGTGGAGGCGGCTCCGCCTCGTCCCTGCCCCGGAGCGCCGCCGCCGTGCCCGTCAGCGGGGATTAGCGGGGCCGGGGGGCGGCGGGGCCGATGCGGGGCGGCGGCGGCCGGCGGGCACCATGAAGGACCGGCTGGAGCAGCTGCGGGCGGTGGGCGACCCGCGGGGACACGCGCCGGGGGGGACACGCGTGGGGAGCGGGGCGACACGCGTGGGGGGGGGACACGGGGGCAGAGAGGGGGGCGTCCCCCGGACGGTGCGCTGCTGCCCCCACGGTGGAGCACGGGGGATAAGGGGGGGATGAGTGGGGCTGAGCCCCCCGGTTCCTGAGGGGGTGCGGGGCACGAGTGGGGTCCCACGGCCACGCTGCGTGGCGGGGGTCTGGGGGCGCCGCCCCTCCCCACGGCGCGCTGCCCCCCCCGTGGGGCCGGGATTTAGCGGGGATTACGGAGCCAGCGCCCAGGATCAGGGGCTGGGGAGGGCGCGGGGGGATTAGCGATATTTTTACCCCAGCGGGGACAGCGCCGGGTGGGGGGGTCGGGGGGGGGTGAAGGCCTCCTCGGGGAGCCCCCGGTGCTGTAGGGCCCCTGTACCGGGGTGCCCCGGGACCCTGCCCCAGTCCCCTCGCTGTGTACCCGTTAATCCCCCCGGCCCACACCGATGGCACCCGGACACCCCCCTTCCCCTCCCCTCCCCGCTCGGGGTCCCCCATGTCCCCTCCCCGCGTCCCCGACCAGCCTCGGGGTGTCCCCGGGGTGCCCTGAGCACCCCCCGGTGCCCCCCCCAGAAGCAGGATGCAGAGGACGATGCCGACGAGCTGGAGATCGCCGTGGACAACACGGCCTTCATGGACGAGTTCTTCGCCGAGGTGCTGGAGGGGCTGGGGGGGGGAAGATCTGGGGGTGGGGAGGGGGCTGCCAACCTGACACCCCCCCAAAAAAAGATCGAGGAGACCCGGCAGAACATCGACAAGATCTCGGAGAACGTGGAGGAGGCCAAGAAGCTCTACAGCGTCATCCTCTCAGGCACCCATCCCCGAGCAGAGTGAGTGGGGGGGCCCCATGCCAAAAAAAAAAAAAAAAAACAGGGCCGGGGGGGCCCTCCCCGTGCCCTCCCCCAGGCGGCTCAGGCCCTGCTGTCCCCACAGAGACCAAAGACGAGCTGGAGCAGCTCACGGCCGACATCAAGAAGATGGCCAACAGCGTGCGCAACAAGCTGAAGAGTGAGTGGCCGCGTCCCCGGTACAGGGAGGGGTCCCCGGGGGGGCGCACGGTGCCCTGATGGATGTGGGGGGGTCTCGCTGCTGGCAGGCATGGAGAGGAACATCGAGCAGGACGAGGAGCGCTCCTCCGCCGACCTGCGCATACGCAAGTCCCAGGTGAGGCCCGGTGGCACCGTCCCTGTCCCCCGGGGGTGGGATGTCACCCCCTGGGCGCTGGGGACGTGCCTTGCCTGGGTGGCCCCGGATCCACGTCTCTGGTTCCTGGCCCCGCTGCTCGTGGGCGTCCCCAGCCTCGTGGCCCTGTCCGTGGTGCTGGTCCTTGCAGCTGGGACGTGGAGTGGGCAGGGTGTCCCCGTCCCAATGTCCCCATCCCGACGTCCCCATCGCAATGTCCCCACCCCGATGTCCCACCCGCAGCACTCGGTCCTGTCTCGGAAGTTCGTCGACGTGATGACCAAGTACAACGAGGCGCAGGTCGACTTCCGAGAGCGCAGCAAGGGCCGGATCCAGCGCCAGCTGGAGATCAGTGCGTGCCCCTTCCCCTACCTCCCCCCCCCAAAAAAAAACGGGCAGGGCCTCTCCCACACGCCCCGCCCCCTTTTTTGGTGGCCCGGGCGCAGCCTGTGGTGGCCCTGACCCCGCGCAGCCGGCAAGAACACGACGGACGAGGAGCTGGAGGAGATGCTGGAGAGTGGGAACCCCGCCATCTTCACCTCGGGGGTGAGCCCGGGGGGACACGGGGGGGACGCAGGGGGGCTGGGCCTGTCCCCCCCCATTGACCCTGTCCCCAAAATTTCCCCGCAGATCGTGGACTCGCAGATCTCGAAGCAGGCGCTGAGCGAGATCGAGGGGCGGCACAAGGACATCGTGCGGCTGGAGAGCAGCATCAAGGAGCTGCACGACATGTTCGTCGACATCGCCATGCTGGTGGAGAACCAGGCACGGCACGGGGGGGCCGGGGGGGCACCGGGGACATGGGTGGGACGTGGGACAGGACGGGGACTGGGCAGGGACCCCCGCGCGAGTCCCCGGGGAGGGGGCAGCACCCCTATTCCCCCCGGGAGCGCACCCCGTGCCCCCAGCCATGCGAGGAGCCGCGCTGTGCTTCCCCCCCTCCTTTTTTCTGCTGCCCCCCCGCCCCGCAGGGAGCCATGATCGACCGCATCGAGAACAACATGGACCAGTCCGTGGGCTTCGTGGAGCGCGCCGTGGCCGACACCAAGAAGGCCGTGAAGTACCAGAGCGAGGCCAGGAGGGTGAGACGGAGCGGCGGCCACGGCGCCCTCCTCCCCGCCTCGCTCCCGGACCCCCCTCCCGCCCCTCTCGCCCCCCTCCCCGTGCCGCTCAGCCCCTTTTTCCCCCCCCCGTGCAGAAGAAGATCATGATCATGATCTGCTGCATCATCCTCGCCATCATCCTGGCCGCCAGCATCGGGAGCATCTTCGCCTGAGAGGCCCCGCACGCTGCCTGCAGGTGACAGGGGTGGTGGCAGCCCTCCCCGGGTGGGGACACAGTGCTGGGATGGGGGCAGCCACCTCCCCTGCTCCCTCCCCCCCCAGCAGGTGGCTTCCCCCTCCTGCCCGGATGATCCTGCCCGCGGCTCCAGCCCTGGGACCCGCCTGCCAAGCCCCACGGACGCCGTCCCGCCGCAGCCCGGAGGAGTGCAGGTCGCCTGCCCTGCTCCCGCTCCCTCCCGCCGCAGGGCTCAGCCCCGCGCGGCGGCAGGAGGAGGCTGTGCTCTCCTCTCCTCTCGCTTGGAGCTCGCCCGCGGCCATCCCTCCGCGTCGCCACTCTTCAGACGTGCCGCACCCGCACCGGGCCCCTCCTTCTGAATAAAGGCATCGCCCACGCCCTGCCCCGGGGTGCTGTCTGGGGTCACACGTCAGCCACCTCCCGGTGTCCCATCCCCACATGTGAGCCTCCAGGAGCCGTAGCAGCCGACGTACATTCCCCTAAAAGGTTTTATTCCCGCTGCCTACACCCTGTGCCTCAGGAAGTGCTTGCCCCAGTAGCGTCCCTTCAGCTCCAGGTCGCGGGGGCTGAGGTACTTGCGCATGCCCAGCATGTTGGCGGCCACCACGCGCTCGAAGGTCCAGGGATTCTGGTTGTTGAGCCTCCTCTCCTCCTCCTCCCGCCGCATCTCCTGCAGGCTGCGGCGGCTGACGGGGACGGCGGGGAAGGGCAGCTTCCTGGCCACCTGCGCGAGGAAGGGCTCCACCTCCTCGAACTCGCAGCGCCCGCCCACCTCCACCACCAGCCGCCCGCTCTTCACCGCCGTCACGTAGTGGTCGATGGGGCCCTTGCCGCCCCCCATGCGGTGCCCCAGGCTCTTCTTCGTCACCGCCTTGCGGGGGGCGGGCACGCGCCAGATGGCGAACATGGTTTTGGGGTCCATGCAGCGCCCGATGGTCAGCCGGATCATCTCAAAGTGCCCCCAGTGCAGGTAGCCGCCCCCCAGCGCCTGCGGGAGGGCAGCACGCTAAGGGGCAGACGCCGGGGGCTGCGTCACACCAGGTGCCCCCACCTTCCCCCCACTGCTGGGGGGCAGCAGCCTCACTGGTGACTGTCCACCAGGCTGCCTGGCCCCGTTGCTCACCAGGATCCCGTACTGCCCCTGCGTCAGCTCGGTGGCCTCCCGGGAGGGTCCTCGGATATCCCGCAGCCGCCGCGGCTCCCGCCGCACCTTGGGCACGGCCGGCACCTTCTCCATGAACTTCAGCTTCGGCCTCTCGGGCAGCGTCACCCCTACGGGGACACGGGGCTCACCTGCCACACCCAGGCACTGGGCCCCTGGGCCCTGCCACCACCCCCCGCCCCCCGCCAGCCCTTACCGCTGTAATCCGGGGGTATCGCCCAGCTCCTGAGGGCTGCACAGGGGAGTGGCGCCGGCGGCACCTGCGGGCACAGCGGGATCACGGCGGGCACCGGGGGGGGGGCCGCGTGTACCGGCAGCCCCGGGAGGGCCCCGCCCGGCCCCCCACAGCCTCCCCCCGACCCCCACAGTGCCCCCCGGCCCCCTCCGGTTCCCCCTCGGCTCTCCCCAGCCCCTCCGGTCCCCCCAGCCTCCCCGGTGCCCTCCCGGCCCCCCCCCAGTCACCTCCTGCCCCCCCCAGCCCTTCCCAGCCCCCCCCCCGGCCCCTCTCGGTCCCTCTCGGTCCCCCCGGCCCCTCCCGGTCCTCCCCGATCACTTCCCAGTCCCCCCCGGTGCCCCCCGGTCCCCCCCGACCTCCCCCGGCCGCCGCGGGCCGCGCCAGCCGCCACCACCCCATGTCCGGAAGTGCCCCTCAGGGCGCCGCCATCCGGGTCCGTCCCCCTGAGCCGCCCGGCGGGGCGCACTTCCGCCGGTCCGTCCCCTTTCCCTGCTCGCCGAGCCCCGGCACTTAGGTTCCGGCAGCGCTCGGTTCCCCCCCTGGGGTTCCCCCCCCCCCATCCACCCTCTTCCACCTCCTCCCCCCGAGCAGCGCAGGGGAACGGGGGAATGGGGGTTATGGTCAGTCTACAGCACTTCTTCTCTGCCGCTCCTTCTCGGTCACTCTCGTCCCCCGTGCTGTGGGGTCCCACCCACGGGATGCAGTCCTTGACGAACTGGTCCAGCGTGGGCTTCCCACAGGCAGCAGGGCCCCCGGCACGGCCTCCTCCTGCACCCCGCTCCCCTGAGGGGCCCCGTCCCCATCCCGCTGTCCCCACCGAGGGGAGAGAGACCGCGAGGCGCAGCCATAAGGGGACGCGGACAGAGCTGTGCTGCAAATGGCTCTTTATTGACGCCGCGGTGCTGCTTGGTGGCATCAGTATTTGCTGAAGACGGCCCGGATGTGCTCTCCGTCCTGCGGCTTGTAGGTGCCGACCCCTGTGGGGGGAGCACAGGCGTGAGGCCAAGCCGCCAGGGCTCCTCCCCGGCACGGCCCCCCGCCGGGCACCCCCCCTGGCTGCTGCCCACCTTCCTGCAGCGAGTCGGTGCCGCTGAAGAACTCCCAGAAGGTTCTGTCCCTCTCGCTGCCTGCCAGCCCGTGGATGGACACCACCATGGGGCCCCACGACGTCGCCTTCGTCTCGAAGCTGCGGGCGAGGCGGGGCGGTGGGATCGGGGCCGGAGGTGGGGGGGGTGCTTGCAGCAGCGCCTGCCGCCCCCAGCACTCACCTGAATTCCTCGGGATCAGCTTTTTCGGCTTCCTGCAGCACGGCCAGCAGCGTGGAGCCGGCCGGGACGCTCACGGTGATGGAGAATTCGAAGGGCTTCCCCTTCAGGGTGTTGGTGATGGTGTAGTGCACCGTGATCGGGGGCCCTGGGGGGCAGAGGGGTGGGCTGGGGGCTGCAGCAGAGCCACAGCATCACCCCGCGGGGCCGGGGGGGGGTCAGGTACCTTCCTGAGCTGTCGTGGCCTGGCTTGGGGACAGGGGCAGCTGCGGGATGGTGACGGCGACAACGCTGCAGTCCAGGCTGGCAGCGTCGAGGTAGGGTTTGTGCACCAGGGCTGGCACCGCTTGGGCTACAGCCATGGGCTGCTGCAGCTGGTGGCTGTAGACGGCAGAGAAAGCCTGGGCACAGTTCCACTGCCGTGGGGCGTAGAACTTGCTGGCGGTTTCCAGCACCTGCATGGCCAGCGACGTGCTGTAGATGTTCCCGATCACGCCCTCCCCTTCCTCCTGCTTGTCGAGGAAGCCCTTGGACACCTCCTCCAGCGCCTCTTGTAGCAGGCCCCGTGTGTCAGGGAGCTCCGTGCGGTCGTACACGCACTCCAGCGCCAGCGCCATCACGGCCTGGGTGTCTGCACGGTGCCGGTGTCACCGCCCGCTCGGCGGGGACAGAGCCACCGGGAGCACGGGGCTGGGGGGACCCTTACCCACGTCGATCTGGCTGCCGGAGCTCAGCAGCTGCTTGGCCAGGAGGATGGCGTCCTGCTCGTAGTCCCCTGTCCTCGCCAAGCACAGCGCCAGCACGTCCAGGCCCACGCTGTACAGGGTGGTGAGCGGGACGCCGTCCTTCTCTGCAAGCAGCGGGGTGCTGTGAGCCCACGGAGGGGCGGCACGGGGCGGGGAGTGGGGTCCCTGCGCCGCCCCCTGCCCTCCTCAGCCCCCGTACCCAGTTTGGCCACCTCCTTGCGGGTTTTCTGGTCCAGGACTCGGCTCAGGTTGACGCTGAGCCCGTGTGACTCGACGTGCTGGGGGTCGCGGCAGGAGGAGAGGAGGGCGAGGGTGTACAGGGCCACTTGGCCCGAGGACATGTCTGTGGGGACAGAAAGCAGCCTGGGGCGTGCGGGGTGCCCAAAGCAGGGACCCCTGACCCCAGAGGGGCCGAGCTGCCGCCGGCAGGGGGAAAACAGCCGGCCCCACGGCTCCGGTGCCAGCGGGGGTGGCGGGGTGCAGGGCTGCCCCCCGAGCCCCCCCCTACCTTTATGTGCTCTGTTCACCGCGTCCTCCTCAATCTCCTTGAGCAGCTGCTGCCGGGCGTTGCTGCCGGTGGCCCCGGCCAGGTTGAAGGCCAGCAGCACGCTGGGGTTCGGCACCTCGGACTCTGCCACCGACCTCTCCAGGATCTGCAGCATCCGGGTGAGCTCCTGGGGCGGGATGTCTGGGGCGAGAGGGAGCGGGGGCTCGCTGGGACGTTGCCCGAGACCCTGCGCCCTCCGCCAGCGTCCCCAGGGACGGGTCTGGCACTCACCACAGCCCTGGGGAGCCGCTGCCTGCCGCCCCGCTGCCCAGCAGGGCCAGCAGCACCCCGATGCTGAGAGCTGCGCTGAGCATCCTGCCGTCCTCAGGGCCAGCAGTCCGCGCCGTGCCTGTCCCTCGCCGCGCCCTCTCTCTTTTTAAGCTGTCTCCAATGGAGAGGGGGGGACCTTCTGCGCCCTCCCGCTGTCCTGGCACCACCAAGCACCTAGTGGCTTATCTGCGTGCTTGGCACGGGCACCCAAGGGTGCTTCAAGGATACCAGCTGGCCTGTGGTGCAGCAGGATGGGGCTGGGCTGGGCTGGACGGGGCTGGGACCAGCTCAACAGGTTTGGGCTGAGCCCAGCTGGCACTGGGACCGTGCCTGGCACTGACATCGTGCCTGGCACTGACACCGACACCGTGCCTGGCACCAGCCCTACCTGATATGCCCGTGCCATGACCCCTTGCCCCCTCAAACTGCCCCCAAAATGACCCTTCCAGTGCGTGCAGATCTCCCTCTGCCACCAGGGAGAAAAGCTGGGATGTGGCTGGGTGTCACCAAGTTGGGATGGGGATGTCGCTGGGATGGGGACAGGGAGGGGACCAGGGGGAGGACGGGGAGCGGGGGCAGGGGCAGGAGTGGGGCCAGAGGCAGGCAGTGATGGGGCGCAGCTGGGTGCAGGGGGCGGCGGGGACCGCCCGCCCTCCCATTGGGGCAGCCGGCATCGGGCCAGGTGTAAAAGCCCCCAGGCCCCCCCCCCCACCCATCTTCACTCATCCCTGCTGTGATGGAGACCCAAGGGTGGCTCCTGCTCCTCCTCCTGACCACAGCCCGGGCATGGGATGCCCTGGGTAAGAGGCGAGGGGGTGCCCTGGGCACGGTGGCTGTGCCCCACGTTTATTTTTCTCCCCCTCCGGGGTGGGTTTGTGTTAAGGGCTGCAGCTGGGGGGCTGTGTCGGGAGCAAGGGAAGCCTCAGCAGGAGCCCCGCATCCCCTCCTCCTCCTAGGGAGAGGCTCTGGGGCATCGCAGCTCCGTGGGGATCCCTTCTCTGGCTGTAAATGGGGGGTCTCCTGGTCCTTCTGCTGTGTCCCCCCAGTTCATTCCCTGTCCCATCCCAGTCCAGGTGCGCTGTGGCAGCGGGCGGCTCTCGGTGGCGGTGCCGGCCGGGCTGCTGGGGGCTGGAGCCTTCAGGGAGCTGCAGCTGGGCTCTGGCTGCGGTGTGACCGGTGCTGATGGGGACAGGTACTGGCTGGAGCACCCCCTCACGGCCTGCGGGACCGTCCTGCAGGTGAGGGCATGGGGATGGTACCTCTATGCCTCCCCAGTGGAGGCGTTTGGGGTGTCTGGATTTGTGCCCCCATGGGAGGGCTGGGAGCTGTGGGAAGGGAGTCACGCCAGGTGAGCGCATTGGCTCCTCGACCTGCAGGGGAGCTCCCTGAGGAGCGGATCCCAGCAGAACCTGGAGGGCTGGGGTGCTTGTGCATGGGTGGAGACGCTGTTTGGGATTTGGGGTGGGTGCAGTAGGGCGGGTAAAGCTTTGCTCCCCCCAAAAATGGGTGCTGGGAGCAGGGAGGGGACACCACACTGAGCCTGCTGACACCTCTGGCCCTGCATCTCGTGGTTCCCACAGCTCCTCCCGGACACCATCCGCTACACCAACCTCCTCCGCTACCACCCGCTGGCTGCGGGCCCCGCGGCTCGCCCCACTCCCTTCTCCGTCCCCGTGGAGTGCCGCTACCCCAGGTGAGCACAGCGCCCTGCCTGCCCCAGGAGCCCTGCTCCCGGTGTGCCGCCCGCCCCGCTGCAGGGTGCTGCCTTGCAGGAGGGGCAGCGCTTCCTCGGGGGCCGTGCAGCCCACCTGGATCCCCTTCGGCTCCACCATCGCCCACCGGAGACGCCTGCGCTTCGCCCTGGACGCGTACGACCGTGAGTGCTGCAGCCCCAGGACCCTGTGGCACCCGGGGGGGTGGCAGCAGGCACCCACATCCGCCTGTCCCCAGGGTCCTGGACCTCCCGCCTGCCCCTGCCCACCTTCGTGCTGGGCGAGCTGATCAACATCCAGGCGTCGGTGGCCAACGACACGCGCCTGCCCCTCCGAGTCTTCGTGGATGAGTGCGTGGCCAGCCCCGGCGCGGCGTCGCCGGTGTCGTACCAGCTCATTGGGGACGGCGGGTGAGTTCGGGGATGGATGGGGGTGTGTGTAGCACTGGGGGGGCGGCTGTGCCCACCTTATCCCCTCCATGTCCCCCCCAGGTGCCTGCTGGATGGGCGGCTGGGCCGCTCGCGGTTCCTCCCGCAGCGCAGGGACGGAGCGCTGCGCTTCCAGCTGGACTCCTTCCTCTTCCCCAACGCCTCCAGCCCCCAGGTGCGTGCTGGGTGTGTGGGGATGGATGGTGGGGTCCCCTGTGGGGCAGTTCTGGCAGGAGGATGCCTGTCCCCACAGATCTTCCTCCGCTGTCACCTGCGGGCAGCGGTGGCAGGGGCTGGTGGCAGCAAGACCTGCTCCTACGACCCCTCAGCAGCCGCCTGGCGCTCCCCGGACGGTGCCGACTGCTCCTGCTGCGGCTCCCCGGGTGGCTGCAGGGGCCGGCGGCGGCGGCAGGATGGTGGCACAGGTAAGAGCTGGGAGTACGGGATGGTGCTGGCGCCGTGAGCGCAGCGCTGCCCACGGCATCTCCCTGCAGGACTGCTGGGTGCAGCCAGCCTCCGCCTGCGGCTGCTCTTGGCATCGCCTGGCGCACCCACGGCACCGCAGCCTGGCACAGCCCCGTCCAGCCGCCCCTCGGCCCCGGTGCTGCGCGGGGACCAGAGGGACTCAGGTGAGTGCGGGGAACCCGCCGTGGGGTGTGAGGTTCCCCTCTGCGCCCCCTCACCTCCTGGCTTGTCCCTGCAGGGCCAGCGCTCCCCGTTCCTGCCACCACGCTGGTGATGGTGGCCATGGGCTCCGTCCTCGCCGCCGTGGGCGCGCTGGGCTGCTACTGCTCCGCGCGGCGCTACCGCAGCCGGCGCCAGGCGGTGGCACCAGGGGAGCCCCGTGCTGTGGCCATGGCCCCTACGGGTGCTGAGGGTGCCCAGGCTCCTTCAGGGGACCCTGCTGCTGTGTGAGCCTGCCTGCTTTGGAAATAAAAGTGGAACGGAGATGGATTGCTGCGGAGTGTCTTGGGGGCGTCCCTGGGTGCCCCCAAATGTCCCATTGGGCACCCCATGCTGCCCACTGTGCCAGGGGCTCGCACCTTTCTTTGCTTCCCTCTGTGCTGTCCAAAAATGCACCCAAAGAGGAGGCATCCCTTGTCTGGGGGTGCTCCTGCTGGGTGGAGAGGGGCTTCTGGTGGGGAAGGGGTGAGTTTTGGGTTGTGTCCCCATCAGGGGATGCGCTTTGGGGGGCTGCTGTTGCTCAACAGCAAGGTGAGAGCTGCTGGGCCAAGGAATGCGGGATGTTTAATTAGCGAGTGGCTCTGTTTGCTCCCCTGCAGCCCAGCCCTCGGCTCCTGCTCCTGGCAGGCTGCCCCGAGAGGGATCAAAACAGCGGGAGCCCAAGGGCGAGGCCATATGGTGGCCCTGGGCCAGGGGCCAGGAGCTGGCACTGGGATGTACTGGGACGTACTGGTGCTCGTGACCGGCTGGGTCAACACAGCTGCTGCGGGGGGCACTGGGGGGGGGATTTGGGGTGATGCCAGCTCTGCCCTGGCTCCGGGGGCTATTCCAGCAACCGGGGGCAGAGCTGGCACCCACTGGGGGCTGTGGTGCGGGGGTTTGGGGGGCTCCAGCTGGGCTGGGGGTGCGGGGGGGCTGCTCCTGCTCCAGCCCCCCCCCGGCAGCACTGGCTGGGGGGGGCTCGGCTCTGCGCGGTGCCCAGGGGAGGAGACGTTCCTGCGCCTAATGGCCCTTGATGGAGCCTTCTTCCAGGAACTCGCTGCAGGGCTTTTTATTTTTTATTTTTTTCCCTCTCTCCCTTTTGAGTTGTAAACAGCGCGATGGGGGCTGCGATGCGGGGAGGGGGGGGGGGTCCCGGCTTTATCGTGCCCATCACAGCCCACGCGTGGGTAGGGTGGGAGGGGGGAGCGGGGGGGCACTCGGGCGCTGGGTACCCCTCCGGTAGGAGGGTCCGGGCACCGGGACGCCCCCCCCTCTTGCCAGACCCCCCCCCACACCCCCGGGGCCGCCCCTGACATCACGGGGCGGCTCCAATCGGCGCCCGTCGGTGCGGGGAGGGGGGGGAGGACGGACGGGGAGGGGGGGGCACGGGGATTCGGGGGGTGTAGATGGAGGCGGGGGGGCTCCGGTGGCCGCTCTGCCCCTGCCGCCTCCATGCAGGGGATGGGGACGCTGCGGCTGGGGAGCCGCGCCGTCATGTACACGGCAGAGACCCTCCCCAAGGGCAAGAACCGGGTGATGGGGGTGAGTTGGAACCGGGGGGGGGGGCTGCGCTGCTCGCCCCCTTCCTTCTCCCCTCCCTATCCTCGCTGCGCCTCCCCAATTCCCCTCCCTTAACATCCCCGGGGGGCTGTGTCCCTGTGGGGGCTGCCAGACCCCGAGTGTGTGTGTGTGTGGGGGGGGCACGGGGACATCCCCCCCTCCAGCACCGAGGAGTCAATTTGGGGTGGGGGTGAGGTGTGTGCGCTCTTTGCCTGCCCCCCCCCATGCCTTGCACTGCCCCATGCGGGGTCTGTGGGTTCCGGACCCCCTCCCCTCCTGTGGGGTTTGAGCTCTGCCATGGGGCTGAAGCCAATTTCTCCCCCCCACCCCGAGCTGTGGGGCTGCCCCAGGGGAGGGGGGGGATACAGCCCTTACCCCCCTGCCCCGCTCAGACCATCCAGATCATGACCGGCTTCATGCACATCGGCTTCGGGATCGTCCTGACCACGCTCACCAACGTCTACACCTCGGTCTTCGTCATCGGCGAGATCCCCTTCCTGGGCGGCGTGTCCGTGCGTAGCGCGGGGAGGGGGCTGCCTGCCGTGCCCCCCCCCCATATGGGGACCGGGATGGGGTCGGGGGGCATGCCTGTGCTGTGGGGGCGTTGTGTGGGGCTGGGGGGGCAGCAGCTGACTGCCCCCTCTCTCCCGGTGCAGTTCATCATCTCGGGCTGCCTCTCCATCGGGGCAGAGAAGAGCCCCACGGAGTGCGCGGTGAGTGTGCCCCCAGCCCCGATTTTGGGGAAGGAGGAGGGGGGGGGAGCGGCACGAGCATGGGCGAACCCCGCTGGGGCGAAGCCGTGTCCCCGTTTGGAAGCGGTGCTGAGGCTATTTCTGTAAATGAGCTATTTGAGGGAAGGATGATGGGCAAGGGGAAAGAAAAAAAGCACCCGGCTGGGCTGGGAACCAGCCCTTTTTGCTGTGTCAGCAGAGCCGCTGGGGGGCTCGGGGGGTGCTGGGGTCCCGGTGCCAGCGCTGGGAGATCTGGGGGTGGCTCGGATGATGCTGGGGCCTGGTTCAGAGCCGTTACCCGGGGCTGGAGGCTTGGGGTGGAGGGGCTTGCCGCCAGCCCCAAAGCCTCCCCGCACCCTCAGGTGAAAGGCAGCCAGGCCATGAACGTCATCAGCGCCATCTTCGCGCTGCTGGGCATCGTCGCCTTCATCGTTGACCTCAACCTCAACGGGCTGTACCGCTCTGGCTTCGACTACTACAGCTACCTCGTCCTGGTAAGCCGGGGTGTGCCTCAGTTCCCCCACCTGGGTGCCATTCAGCCTTCTGGGGACCCTCTCCCTCCCTTCGTTCCTGAGCCATGGGGGCTCTTTCCCGGCCCCCCTGGGGAGCCCAGGGCTGGTGCTGCCCACCGGTGGGGTCAGGCACCCTGGAAGTGCCCGGTTCCATCTGTGCACCATGAAAGTAGCAAGGCGAAGGGCACAGGGCAAAACCTTGGTGCCCACGAAGGCTCAGCTGCCGTGTTTGGGACCAGGGGGAGATGGGGAGGGGAAAACCCTTGGCCCTGACATGCGGGGTGGGGTCTGCCCTGCTGAGCCTGGGTTCTGCTGATGGTGCTTTCCCCACCCTGGAGCTCGCAGGGAACGGCATCTCCATCGTGCTGCTCATCTTCACCATCCTGGAGTTCTGCATTGCTGTGGCCACCGCCAATTTCTGGTGCCGGGCGACCCGCCTGAGCTCCAACGAGGTAATGGGGGCGAAGCGTGGGGGTTCAACCCCTGCCGGGCTGAGCGCTGACCCTTTTCTCTCCCTCCCCAGGCCATGCTGATCGTGCCCAGCGCCACACGGCCAGACTTGGCCGTGCCACCGGCAGAGCTGCCGCAGCCACCCAGCTACACCGAGGTGACCGAGGGGCCCGCAGAGGGGGTCCCCAGCCCCCTCAGGTGCTGGGGGTCCCCCCCTTACCCTTGAGTGGCATCCATCTCCCTGTGCTTCTCTATTTTGCAGCTGGTCGCCCCTGAAGTGTAGCCAGGCCCTGAGGATGTCCCTGAGAGTGGCACCGGGTCCCCTGGTGCCCCCGAAGCCACCTGCAGCTGGTGCATCCCCCTCTTGGTGGGCTGGGGCGTGCTGGTAGCCCCCAGCCCCACCGCTGAGCTTACCCCCTTCCCTCCTGCCTGCTGGTGACTCTCGGTTCACCCCTGCCCCTGGCTCGCCCTTATGGGGGGCTGCTCTGGGGGCTCTGCGCTTTGTGGGGTGGGCAGGGCATTGGGGCTGGGGGCCTGGACCCCCTGAGGGCAGCGGTGCCACTGCTGTCTTGGAGGCTGTGCAGCAGCCGGGCTCGTATTGCTCCGGCTTTGTTGTGTCTTGGAAATACTTGGAAATAAATGCTGAGGCCGGGCCTGGCTCTGCTTCTTTTTGGGGGGTGTTTTTCAGCCCAGGGGCTGCCCCGTGGCAGCTGCTGGCCGTCAGGTGAGGAGCCGGAGCCGTGCCACAGCTCAGGAGCGGTTTTGGGTCGAGTTCTGTGTTTTCTTTCTTGTTTCAGCAACCCCTCCCCGTGCTCACACCGCTCAGCCAGAACCTCATGGATTATTCACTTGCTGTCAGTTATTTCTGTTCCCAGCTCTGAAAAAATAATGAGCCGGTTCGGGAGGAAAAGCCCCAGAGAAGGGAGGCAGCGCGGAAGGGGAGGCTCTCACCGCTCGCGCTGCGGTCACAGTGCATTAAACTCTGGCTCCTCCTGAGGCACGAACCCCTCTGTCCACACAGCTCCGTGCCAGCGTTTTTGGGAACCTGTGGCCACTGCCCTCACCCTGGCCCATGGGGTCCCCACACACCCCCCCTGCACGGGGCTGAGCTCTCTGGGCATTGACACAGCAACACCACGGGGCTCCTGAATCTTTACGCTTGCAGCTTTTTGGCCAGGAATAGGTGTTTTAAGGCTCTTCTGGGGATTTTGCAGACTTGAAAACCCCCGGGGAGGGAGGTGGGGGAAGGTTGTGGGGTTGGGACAGCGAGCAGCAGGTTCCAGGGGCTGGGTACGCAGGGGATCCGTGTCCACGTGCACGGGGCAGGAGCTGCTCTTTGGGGTCCCTGCTGGAGGGAAAGGGCCCTTGGGCTGGAGGAGGGGGGTGCCCTCGCTTTTTTAGGCCCGGGGGGGTCCCTGCAGTCTAGGTTAGCAGTGGGGGGAGTTTTGGGGTCTGCAGGGCACAGCCCCTCCACGGCTCAGTGTCCGGGGCCAATGTGAGCACGGGGAGCGCGGAGCAGCACGTGTCTGCTGTGAAAGCACCGGGGCTGCTCCGTCTTCCCAGGGACAGGCGGAGATAAAAGCCAGCTCTTCTGTTAGCTGGAGCCTGCCCCAGAAAACGTGGCTTTCTCATTAAGGAGCCGGTGCCGTAACGGCCCTGCCAGAAACACGAGCTTGGAAGAGAAGGCAAATATCGACTATCGGTATTTTTATGGGGATATAAAGTCTTTCACAGGAAGCAGAAACTTTCTGTGCAAAGCAATTACCCTCACGCTCTGTTTCCCTTGGAAGAGGCAGGGATTTGGCTTGGAAGGAGGCTGGCCGAGGCGCCGGCTCGGCGTGGGGGGGCTCCCCAGCACCCGCGCCCCCCAGGCTGCGTCCCTGCGCTCCCCCCGGGAGCCTGGGGGGAGGCGGGGGAAGGATTTCCAGCTGTCGGGAGAGCAAATCCCGGCTTTAACGACGTCGCCGTGTACCAGCGGCGAGGCAGATGGGGGCTGACGGCTGCGGCGCCCAGGGCTTGCCACCTCCCTGCATCTGCTCAGCCAGGCGCTCCGAGGCTTCACCTCCTCTGGCAGCGGTTTCCAAAATAAATTGTAACATCCTAGCTTGGGCCCTTGCCATCCCCAGCTGGACCTGGCTTTATTTAGAAAGGGAAGAGCGCTTTCTCCACGGCTCCCCCCCGCCCCCCCTTCAGAAAGGGGGTTTTAAGGCACTTAAGCGAGTCCTGCTGCTGGGCCGAGCGTGGTCACGGCTGTTTCCGGCCGAAAGGCTGAAACTCCAGGAATGCTTTAGGAGCCTGAAAACGTGGATTTGGGAGGAAATCCACCGTAGCGGGCGGTTTCGGCTGGGAACACGAGCCGCTGCTCCCGGTGGAGGACACCACGCCTGCTCCAAGGCTAACACCGGGATCTGGGCATTTCCACGGGGGCTGTGCCGTGCCCTCCCGGGTGCCGCCACGGCGGGCGTGCGGCCAGCACGAGTGCATCAGCGTCGGTGTCACCTCCTCACCGGCACAAACCGAGCACTCGGAGCTGTCAGGAGCACAGCCAGCGGGCTGCAACTCCCCCGTCCCCGTGTTTCTCCTGGAAAGCTGCAGCTCGAGGTGAGACGCAGCCCGGCTCGCTGCGGGGAGCTTCCAGACCCGGGCATCTTCCCTGGCAGGCATGGAAACCTTTGGAAATGTCCCCAGAAAAAAAATAAAGCCCTGTGGGGCTGTGTGGCAGAGCAGCCTTGCCCTGGGGTCTCTGCAAACCCAGCGGCGAGTTGGGGAGCTGCCGGTCCCTCCGTGCCCGTGGGGGCACCACGAGGTGGCTGCCCAGATGGCGGTGTCCCTGTCCCCGTCCCCCTTGATCCCCGTGGGCTCCCAGCCCAGCGCTGCCTTCGGCCACCCGAGGAAGCTGAGCGAGACCAGAGCAAGCGTCCCAGCTCCCTCTAGGGCCAAAGCAAAGAAAAAGGCACATCAGAAAGCTGCCCCAAACACCGCCTGCTGCAGCCGTGCTGCGGGGAGCCCCGGAGGGAGCGCTGAGGCTGGAGATTGTGCAGATTCCCACATCTGGGCGTGTGCCCGGTGGCCGTGCTCAGCTCAGGTGTATTTCACCACGGCCCGGCAGCTTGAAACACCACAAAATGGCCTTGGGAAGTGCTCCCACGCATCCCACTGCCCCCCAAACCTTCCCCGTGCCTGTCACAGGGGGGCAGGACCCAGCCGGGGGGCTGTGGCCGTGCTTTGCCTGCAGGAGAGGGTGAGGAAACAGGGTGGGGGCCCGCTTTCTGCTCGTCCCACGGGCACTGATTTGCCAGCAGCAGGGTCCCCACCACCCCGGCTGCTCCTCCAGCCGGGGAGGAAGCGGCTGTTTTCTGGCAGAGCCAGAAGCCGGTGGCCCGAGGAGGGAGGAAGGGGCCCCCCAGCTGCCCCCCGGGAGTTCTCGCCATGTGCAGTGGCTGCGTTCCCAGGCTGAGCTCTCATTTCCTAGCGGAAACAACCGCATCCCCTCTCCCTTCGGAAGGGGAGCGAGCCCCCCAGCTCGCGCCTGCGGGTGGGCTGCTGTCAGCGGGGACAGGCCCGCGGGGTCAGGGCAGCCGGGAGGGAAGGAGAACCCTGAAAAACACAAAAGGGCAGCAGGGGAGCTCCCTGAGCGCCTCCGCGGACTGACAGGGTTTGCGATGTCTGCACCGTGCCCCGTTTCACTCCCTTTTCCCCCCGGGAGGAAAGCACCGGGGCTGGACACCTCTCAGCAGCTGTAAGGAGCTGCCCGAGGAGCCAAATACTTGGGACGGGCGACTGGCAGCCTTAGGTATTTGTGCAGCCCCGGGGCAGGCAGACGGGACTCTGCCGGCGGCTGATTACAGGGCTGATGAGCTGAGGGCCCGTGGGCAGGAGGCAGCCTGGGCAGGGCTTGGAGCACGCCGCGCCCCGCGCGGGGGGTGCCCACCTCGGGCTCACACATGTGTGGGTTTCGCAGCCTCTGTCCCTCCTGTTGGCAAAGCCCCCTCATTGAGCAAGAGAGGCCTGACGGGATTTCCATGAACAAACTTCCTGCGGGGAGCAAAGGGCAGCGGGGCCGCGCTCCCCGGCCAGCTTCTGCTCCTGCAAACCCCCGGGGGGACCGGGACCGCTGGCAGGAGCAGCGAGGCGAGCCCGGAGCGAGGTGTGGGGCAGGGCTGTACCACAGGGTGTCCCCAGGACCCCATCCTACAGCCTCCCCGGCCCCACTCTGCCCGCAGGCGATGGCAGCCACGGTGACGGACTCCGGCGGCGTGAGGATCATCACAGAGGTCATCCCGGCCACAGACCCGCGTGCGGCCCAGCTGGCCTCCAGCTCTGTGCCACCTGCACCCACCGTGTCCTCGTTCCAAGTCAAGGGCTTCAGAAAATCGCAGCCCAAACTGCTGGGGGTGAGACCGCGGTGTCCCGGGGATAAAGCCCCTTGGTGCCGTGCTGGTGGCAGCAGGATAGGGGTGGGACAGGGCTGACGGCGATGCCCGTCCTCACCAACACAGTGCCTGGGCATCCCTCTCCCTTGTCCTTTCCCAGACCATCCACATCGTCACCGGCATCATTCACTTCTGCTTCGGGATCATCCTGACTGCGGCGGAGCACAGGGACTTTTCCCTCCCTGTGGCCAGCGGGATCCTCTTCTGGCTCGGGGTCCTGGTAAGCAGGGCACGCCGGGGTTCAGCCCCTCACCACCTGAGAGATCCCAGGGGATCTGCTGCTAGGGGCGGATCCCCGGGCCACCAGGGTCTCCTCGTACACCCTTATCTCACACCCACAGCCCCTTGGGGATGGAGGGCTCGTGAGGGCAGACCCAAACACCAGTGGGGCTCCAGGATGGCGTGGCCATGCTGCTGAGTCTCTCCTTCATCTCTTTCCCAAGCAGCTCCTGGTCTCAGGTTCTCTCCTAGTGGAAAGTGACAAAAGAGAGAACATCCTGCTGGTAAGAGCTTTGTGTTACTTCTGCCACCCCTGCCTACCCCAGCAGCCCCTAGGACCCCTGTGGGCGTGCACCGAGGGCTCATCCCACCCCTGGAGCTGCCCAGCTCTGCACACCGAGCAGCGTGTGGCCGAGCCTTCAGCCTTCAGGGCATCTAGGAGGCCTGGCCACGCTGTGCTTGGATGATGGAGAAGCGTCATGAAGGGTGGTGCTGCTCGAAGCGGCTTCTCCCACGGCTTTGTCGCCTCACTGGCTGTCCGGGCAGGGCAGGCATCCGAGTGCCAGCCGCACGGTGCCACTGACTGCCGGCGGCCGGCGTGCTGTGACCCGTTGCAGGTGAAGGCCTGCTGCGTCCTCAACGCCGGGGTCATCCTCAGCACGCTGGCGGCCACCCTCATCCACGCCACGGCCATCACCCGCAGTGTCCCCGGCTGCACGGGCAGCCCGCTGCTGCAGCTGCGGCGGGAGTGGTGCTTCAACCCCAACACCAAGGTACAGGCCGGGGGGCACGGAGGGGGGCCCCGGGAGCTGCCGGTGGGCGAGCCGCCAGCCCCGGGGGTCCTGCTGCCGGCAGGCGCTGAGCAACGGGCTGGACGCCGTGGCGGTGCTCTTCTGCCTGCTGGAGTTCTGCACAGCAGTGGCGGCGCTGGCCTTCGGCTGCTCGGCTGTGAGGAGCCACAGCTACACGCGCATGGTGAGCGGCGCCACAAGGCCCCCGCGCCCCCCGTGCCCCCCACGGCCTGGGCACGGCCTCCTCCGCCTCTGCCCCACAGGCGCTGTAACGGGACCGGGCACGGGCCCACGGAGCAGGACCGGGCCCCACAGACCAGGCCCAGGCCCCATGGAGCAGGCCCAGGCCCCACAGACCAGGCCCAGGCCCAGGCCCCACGGAGCAGGCCCAGACCCCGAAGCCTCAGCAGAAACCCCACAGGACCCCCAATAAACGCCCCCCCCAACCCCCAGCCGCCGCCTCGTTTCTCTCCGTGCCCGCGGGGGGGGCGAGCACCGGGACGGTGGTGGTGGTGTTGGGGGGGTGAAGCCGCTGCCCGGCACAAACATGGCGGCCGCTGCCCGGCACCAAGATGGCGGCGCGGTGGGAGGGGGGCGGTGTTGGGGTGAGGGGGGCGCTCTGCCCGGCACCAAGATGGCGGCGGGAGGGCGGAAGGCGGCGTCAGCGCGGAAGCAGGGCGCGCAGTGACGCCATCACGCAGCGCCGCCGGGAAGGCGCCGCGTGGAGGATGGAGCGGGACGGGGCGGCGGCGGCGGCGGCGGGGCCCGGGGGGGAGGCCCCGAGCTCGGCCCCAGCGCCCGGCCCGGCCCCGCGGCGCCGCAAGGCCGCCAAGAAGCGGCAGGAGGCGGCGGGGCCCGCGATTCCCCGGGGCAAGCCCAAATCGGGGCGGGTGTGGAAGGAGCCGGGCAGGAAGAGGTGCGGGGGCCGCGCCGGGGGCACCGGGCCTGCGGGGGGGGGGGGGGGGGGGTCAGGGCTGTCCCCGCCCGGCCCCGCTGCCCGCACGGCCCCGTGTCCCCGGCAGGTTCTCGCTGATGGTCCGGGACAAGCCCCTGCGCGCCTCGTGGGAGCGCAAGCTGAAGGAGCGGCAGGAGAGGAGGCAGGTCCGGGAGCTGGCGCGGCAGCTGCAGGAGGGCAAGCAGCGGCAGCGAGAGGTAACGGGGCTGCGGGGGGGCACTGACAATGAGACCTCGTGGGAACAAGGAACACCCGCGCTGCTTGAGGTGTGAGGGGGCAGGGTGGGGGCTGCAGGGCTGGTCTTGGTGCTTCGCCCGCAGGAGAAGAAGCGGCGGCGGGAGGAGAACCTGAAGCGGCGCCTGGAGAACGAGCGGAAGGCGGAAATTGTCCAAGTGGTGAGTGCGGTGGGAAGAGGCCTGGGAGCTGGGGGTGCTGGGTGAAGGTTGTTGCCTCTGCCCTGCCGCGGGAGCTGGAGGAGCCCGGAGAGGTTCCCAGGAGCATTAGGCTAAGCTGCAGCGCCTTGCCACCTGCCTGACGGCCACCTCTTCCCCTCAGATCCGGAACCCGACAAAGCTCAAGCGGGCGAAGAAGAAGCAGCTGCGGCGGGTGGAGAAGCGGGACACGCTGGCTGCACTGCAGAAGGCGCCTGTGCAGCACAAAGCAGCCACAGAGTGAGGCCAGGACACTGGGCAGCCGGGGCTCTGCGGGTCCCGCATCTCTCTGGGGCCTCGGTGACGGACAGACAGCAGGACAGAGCTGGGGGGGTCACGCAGGGCTGTGACCTGCAGGATCCAGCTGCTGCATCCCCCTGCCTTGTGAAGCCCCAGGGTGTTGCTGGTGCCTGGGGATGGACGGAGAACTGCTTCAGCTGCCCAAATTTGCCTTTTCTGTATAAAAACAAAGAGGAACTGCTTTGGGCTCGCCTCCAGTGGCTCAAGGGAAGGCTGGCATCTCTCTGCTGGTCTCCCTCTGTCTTCCCTGGCTTACAGAGAACCACAACCCCTTGTTCCCCAAGGCTCCCCTTCCTCCAGGAGGGGGTCTTCCGCCCCACAAGAACAAACACTGGGGTGGGGACACCCCTGCTGTGCTGCAGAAGTTGGAGAGGGACTGCATGGGGCAGTGGAGCCTCCTGCTGCCTCTCTCAGGGCGTTGGGGTGGGCTGGGAGACAGCAGGGAGGGGGGAGGAAGGAAGGGGCTTGGGGCTGGAAATCCACGTGTACCTCTTCAGGTTTGGGTTTGGTTTTCTTGCCCTATCAGAGGATCATAGAATATCCCAAGTTGGAAGGGACCCATAAGGATCATTGAGTCCAACTCCTGCCACCACACAGGTCTGCCCAAAAGTTTAGACCATGTGACAAAAAAAAAAAATAGTTTAGACCACAGGGCTGCTCCCTCCAGCTTTCGCTTATGCTGATGATGTTGTAGCTGTGGGACTGGGCCAAGACTTCTAGCTGGTCCATTTTATTCCTCATACTGCGTGCGTTTGTGTAGAAGCACTTCAAATGCGCCTCCTTACTCACAGCACCTTGTGGAGCAGACCAAAGGACCTCACTGGCACACAGTCCCTCTGATTGTAGTGCACCACCCCTTAGTTTATCACTGGTGTGCCTGGTTTTATCCCCTTCAGCTCTAGTTTAAAGCCCTATTTACCAGCCCTGCCAGCTCCTGAGCCCAAATCCTTACCCCTCTCTGAGAGAGGCGTATCCCACCTGGTGTAGACCTTCCCGGGACGGAAAAACCCGAAATTCTGTCAGTTGCACCAGTCCCAAAGTCATGTGTTAACGTGGTGAGCCCGCTTGGCAGCATCGGCTGCCTTGCCTTAGGCACCCTCTCCAACTGAAGTAGCTTTCATCTACTTAATTGCTCTGACTGTTGTGTTCCAGACCCTCACGCCTGTTAGATAAGGGTGGATGGGAGGGGAGGTGGGCAGGAACCTGCCTCCATTCCCCCCCCTCCAGTGGCCTGGGTCCCCTCCTGGTGCCTGGTGGGATGAGGGGACGAGACCGCTGCAGGAGAGCGGCGAGGGGCCCTGCCTGTGCTGTTTGCTGTGCTCCTGGTGGCAATAAATCTGTTCCTGCTCCTGCCTGCGCCTTCTGCCCGTGCTGAGCCGAACCGCTGCGGCTGGGCGGAGTGCTGGGGGGGTCAGCCAAAAGCTCCCCCAAAGCAGAGGGAGGGGAATTGCGCAGTGCCCAGTGGAGGGCGAGCACGGGGAGGGGTGAAGGACCCTCCAGGAGCCGTGGGGCGCGGCGGAGCTGAGGGTCACCGTCCGGGCGGGCAGCGCTCCCACTGCTTCCTGGGTTAATGATTCACGAGGCTGCGCGGGGCAGGGTGGGTGGCGGGCACTGCCTCTCCCAGCCGCCTGCCCCAGCGCAGCCTTTGCTCGTGCATGGTAAGAAGGGGCTCGGAGCCCGTCCCTGTGGTTTTGGGGCTTGTGAGTGGCTTCCCAGCTGTGCCGTGTGGGTGAGCGCAGCTCCGCGTCCCTCGGCAGGGCTGTGCGGAGCTCCCGGCTCTGCTGTGTCCTGGCCGGGCTGAGCAGAAGCTGCGTGGAGCTGGGGGGCTGGGACCCCGACCCCAAAGCTCACCCGCAGCCCCTCTGCCTCGTGCGGTGCCAGGGGACGAGGGGTCGAGGTGAGCAGGGGGGACACCGGGGGTGACGCACGGCGCCTCTGCCCCCAGGTCCACCATGGTGGAGGTGACGGTGACGCCGCAGTCCTCGCTGGCCGACCGGGCGGTGCAGGTGGTGGTGCGGGGGCTGTCCCCCTCGCAGCTGGTCACCCTGCGGGCCTGGCTGACGGACGAGCACGGCGAGCGCTTCCAAGCCCGCGCCTTCTACCGCGCCGACGAGGCGGGCGAGGTGGACGCCGCCAGGCACGCCGCCCTGGGGGGCAACTACGCCGGCGTCTGGCCCATGGGGCTCTTCTGGTTCCTGCAGCCCGACAACCTCTTCCGACGGCTGGTGAAGCGCGACGTGGCGGGCAGCCCCTTCCTCGTCCACCTGGAGGTGTTTGACGGGCTGTGCCTGGTGACGGGGCCGCAGGACAAGCTGCTGGCCGCCTGCACGGCCGAGCGGTGGTACGTGGGCCCCGGCGTGCAGCGGGTGCCCATCCGGGAGGGCCGGGTCCGGGGGGCCCTGCTGCTGCCTCCAGGTGAGCACAGGGGGCGCCCCAGACCCAAAGGGTCTCCGGGCCCCCATCCTGGTGGCTCGAAGCTGGAGAAGAGCTTGGGGGGTCCCTCCTCGGTGTCACCCCCTGTGGTGACGGGTCCCGTGCTGCCCCGCAGGGCCAGGTCCCTTCCCGGCGGTGATTGACCTGTTTGGGGGTGCGGGTGGCCTCATCGAGTTCCGTGCCGGGCTGCTGGCCAGCCGGGGCTTCGCGGTGCTGGCACTGGCCTTCTTCGCCTACGATGACCTGCCCCGCACCCTCAGCCATCTGGACCTGGAGTACTTCGAGGAGGCGGCCAACCTGCTCCTCCAGCACCCCAAGGTGAGTGCTGCGGGGCGGCGGGTGGCCCCTGTGAGTGGGGACGTCCCAGGGACTGGGGGTGTCCCCTCCAACGAGGCTGTCCCGTGAGCAGGGATGGCTTCCTTGTGCTTGGAGATGTCCAGGTGGCTCCGGTGAGCTGGTGCCCAGGGACATCCTGGCTCTGGGGCCATGCTGGTGGCCAGGGGACAGTGTGGTGACATCCCACAGGGGCGAGTGGTGCCACCAGGTGCTCCCTCTCCTCTCCCATTGTAGGTGCGAGGCCCAGGCCTGGGTGTCATTGGCGTGTCCAAAGGGGCCGAGGTGGCCCTGGCCATGGCCACCTTCCTCCCGCAAGTGGTGGCCACGGTGTGGATCAACGGCACGGCCTTCCTGCACGGCAACCCGCTGACCTACAAGGGCCTCCGCATCCCCCCCATCCCCTACTACACCGAGCGCATGCTCTTCACCGAGCTGGGCGCCATGGACAACTCGGCCATCTTCGCCGACCCGCGGGACCCCGCCTGCAGCGCCTCGGCCATCCCGGTGGAGAAGATCCAGGGGAAGGTCCTCTTCGTGGTGGGGGAGGACGACCGCAGCTTCAACAGCAAGCTCTTCGCCCAGCTGGCCACGGCGCGCATGCGGCAGGACGCCTACCGCCTGCTGTCCTACCCGGGGGCCGGCCACCTCATCGAGCCCCCCGGCTCGCCCCTCTGCAGCGTCTCCGTCCTGCGGGGCAGCCCCCGGCCCGTGGTGTGGGGAGGGGAGTCCCAGGCCCACGCCAAGGCGCAGGAGCACTCGTGGCAGGAGATCGTCCAGTTCCTGGAGCTGCACCTGGGCCCCGCCGCCTCCATCAAGCTGTGAGCCCCGCAATAAAAGCGCCCCGGGCACCGACCCTGGGCCTGTGCGCTCCTGCAGCTGCTGACCAAGCACTGCACTGCTGCTCGTTAAGGTTTAATGAGGCTGATAGCAGAGCACCCGTCTGCCTCAGCCCTTTGTCCTGGGCGTGGGTGCGCTGAGCTGGTGGGAGCTCGGGCCTGTTGGAAAGGGATTTTTCCCCAGGCGACGCTCAGGAAGCCGTCTGGTGGACAGCAGAAAGGGGCAGGGGCGTCCGCTGCTCTGTGCCCACAAAAAAACCCAAAGCCTTCCCAAAAAAAGGTGAAAACCAAGCGTGCTTCCAGCCTGCTTTGTGGGGCCTGGCTGTCTCCACGGAGCTGCACTTTATCCCCCTGCAAGGGGGGAATGATGCCCCGTGGGTGCCCGGCTCCTGCAGCTGGGACCTGGGGGCTGAGCGCCAGGAGGGAGCGGTGGCTCCGGGGCTCCTTGTGGTGCAGGACAGTGGCTGCCACAAGGCAGGGTGGCGGTGTCGGGGTGATGGAGTTTAAGCTCCAGTAAGGGCAGGACCCAGAAGGGAAACTTGGACGGGGGCCTGGGAGGGGAGCGTGCAGAGGGAACCCACGAAACGCTGCCGTCAGCAGCGACCCGAGGGGAGCGAGGTCCTTCCCTGCACTGTGGGGCCGAGCAGCCCTGCCCGTGCCCCCCATCCTGGGCAAAACCCAGTGTTCGTGCCCCGTCCATCACTTGGTCACACCACGGGTCCTGCCCCGGGCACCCCAGCGCCACGAGGCTCGGCAGGGCCAGCGGTGCCACGCAGGCACAGGGGCAGCCACGGGAGGTGAGGGCTGAGCCGAGGGGTGTCCGGTGGGGACCCCTGGCCCTGTGCCCTGCTGGCAGCAGCAGTCTCGATTCCCCATTTGCGGGAGCAGTTCTCCTGAGCCCGGCAGCAGCGGGGCACGGTGCTCTTCCAACGACTTTCGGTTCCCCCGCAGCACCACAAGTGGGGCAGGGCGAGGGCGAGCGGCAGCCCGGGGGATCAGGGCACAACCCCCCCTCGGGCTTTGCGATGGGGGGGCTGTGTCTGCTCCCCTCAGCACCCCAGGAGCGTGCCAAGGACCCCACGGTGCTGCCGCAGGAGCTGGGGGTGCCACAGGAGCTTTGGGCACCGTGACCTGGTGGAAGAGGTTCCTGCTGTGGGGCTGGGTGGTCTTTACGCATCCCTTCCAACCCCAACCCTTTGGAGATGCCCCCACCTAGATGTGCTCCTGACCCCACGGCCAGCAGGGCACCTGATGCCACCGCTGTCACCGTCACCTGGTGCCAGACCCCGCGCCCTGCGGCACGGCAGGAGGAAGGAGCCCAGCGGTGCCCGCGTGGTGCCGCTTCGGTCGCTGCTCTGGGTCCAGCCTCGCATCCTGCCACCACCGAGTCTCGGTTCCCCATTTGTGGGGCCGCGGGACAAGCCGTTCCTTTGAACAACTTTCGCTTCCCCCCACCGCCCTGCCATCGCCCCGGCGGGCTGCGGCAGCGGGGTCGTGCTGGCCTGGGAACCCCGGGAAGGGCTCGTCCCCCGTGTGGGGCAGGAGGCACCATCCTGTCCCTGCCGGTCATCTGATCGCCCCCAGCCCCATGGATATAAACGCACGGCCCCGCCGCTGCCCCACGGAGAGCCCCACACTGCTCTCAGCACCGCCATGGGCTGGAGCCTCTCCTTGCTGCTGCCGCTGCTGCTGCTGCCCGTGGGGCCGCGCTCTGCCCTGGCGCTCCTGCAGTACCGCTACGACTGCGGGGACTACGGCATGCAGCTGCTGGCCTACGCCTCGCGGGGCCGCGCCGTGCGCTTCAAGGTCGTGGGTGAGTGGGGAGCTCAGGGACCCCGGTGCCGTCCCGACACCGGGCTGAGCCACCTGGCTTCTGGGGGTTTTGGGGGGTTCCCTGCGCATCCCTGGGGAGCATCGCGGCACGGTGCCGTGCACCGGGATGGGGCCAGCAAGGGGATGTGGGTGCGGGGCCACCTCACGTCCCCCCTCGGCGCCCCCACAGATGAGTTTGGCACCCGCTTTGAAGTGGCCAACTGCTCCATCTGCCTGCACTGGCTCAACACCGGGGCGGACGGCGCGTTCGTCTTCTCCTCTGGCTACGAGGGCTGCCACGTGCTGGTCAAGGTGAGGCCGCGTCCCGCCCCTGGGGTGCCCGGTGGGGCAGGACGGGGGGCGTGACGGCCCCTCCTGTGCCCCCCCACAGGATGACCGCTATATTCTGAGGGTGCAGCTGGAGGAAACGCTGCTCAGCGGGGTGGCGGTCGCCTCCTACGAGGTGAACATGACCTGCCCGCAGCCGGCCGACTACGAGACCGTCGCTGCCACGAGCCTGCGTGGCCAGCTCGAGCCCATTCGGGGCAACGGCGTCCACCAGAGCCAGGCTGAGGTCCTCGTCCCCCAGGCTGGCCTCCTGCAGCACGTATCCCAGTCCGCCCTGGCTGTCCCCGTCCCCCAGCTGCCTCCCCGGCCCCCCAGGGACCAGGTTCACCCCGTGGCGCAGACACAGCCAGCTCTGGGGCTGCAGCACCAGCCCAGCCTGGGGCTCCCGGGGCTCCAGCCCCAGAGCCAGGCAGGAGCAGCTCGCCCCCTCAGCCAGCCCCAGCCAGGCTTCATTCGCCCGGCTCTGCAGCCCCAGAACCAGCACGGGGCGGTGCACCCCGGGGGGCAGAGCCGCCCAGGCCTCCTTCGCCCGGGGCTCCAGCTCCAGAACCAGCCTGGGCTGCTGCACCCGGGGGCACAAACCCAGACGGGTCTCCTTCGTCCAGGGCTTCAGTCCCAAAACCAGAACGGATTGGTGCACCCTGGGGGGCAAACCCAGATGGGAGTCCTTCGCCCAGGGCTTCAGTCTCCAAACCAGAACGGATTGGTGCACCCTGGGGGGCAAACTCAAACCGGTGTCCTTCGCCCAGGGCTTCAGCCCCAAAATCAGAATGGATTGGTAAACCCTGGGGGGCAAACCCAAACTGGTCTCCTTCGACCAGGTCTTCAGACCCAAAGCCAGAACGGATTGGTGCACCCTGGGGGGCAAACCCAAACCAGTGTCCTTCGCCCTGGGCTTCAGCCCCCAAACCAGCCTGGGCTGCTGCATCCAGGGGTGCAAACCCAAACCGGTGTCCTTCGCCCAGGGCTTCAGTCCCCAAACCAGAACGGACTGGTGCACCCCGGGGGGCAAACCCAAACTGGTGTCCTTCGCCCGGGGCTACAGCTCCAGCACCAGCCCGGGCTGGTGCCCCCCGGCCTGCAGCCTGGCTCGGTGCACGCTGGAGCTCAGACGCAAGCCGGCTTTTCACGCCCGGGGCTTCATCCCCAAAGCCAGGCGGGCTCCATTCTCCCCAGCCTCCAGTCCCATGCCCACGCTGGCCTCCTCCACCCCGGCCTCCAGAGCCAGGCAGGGCTGCTGCAGCACGGCCAGCCCCGACCGGGGCTCCTGCGCCCGGCGCTTGCGCCTCGGCCGGGGCTGGTGCGCCCGGGGCTGCAGCCCCAAGCCCAGCCGGGGCTGCTCCACCCTGGCCTTCACCCCCAGCCCGGTCTGCTGCGCCCCACGGCTCTCTTCTACCCCTCGGCAGGGGCAGGTGGGTCAGGGGGGTGGGCAGGGGGCTGTAGCCGGGGCGGGGGCATTCCTGGAGGGGCTTGGGGGGTGCTGAGGGTGGGCAGGGGGGATGCTTGGGTGGGAGGACACTTAGGGTGGGCAGGGGATGCTTGCACAGGAGGTGTTTGGGGTGAGCAGGGGGGTGTTTGGGGTGAGTAGGGAGAAATTTGGGGAGGGCAGAGGGATGCTCAGGATGGGCAGGGGGTTGCTGAGGGAGCCCCCTCCCGGCCCCCTGCCCCCTTAGGCACGCAGCTGACGCGGGAGCAGTGCCAGGTGGCAGCGGGGCGTTTGTCCTGCATGGCCCCGCAGGGCCGCGATGCCTGCCTGCAGGCAGGGGTGCTGCTACGATGACACGGACCGTGCAACGCCCTGCTATTACGGCAACACAGGTAGGGGGCTCGGGGGGGGTCTCCCCAGTCACCTGCCGGTGCCCCGCGGCCGCTGCCTTGCCTGTAACCAGGTGCCGCCGCGTGCCGCAGCCACCGTGCAGTGCCTGCCCGAGGGGCACTTTGTGCTGGTGGTGCCGCGGGGCCTCTCCGTGCAGCCCTACAACCTGGACAGCGTGCGCCTGGCCAGCAGCACCCAGCCCGGCTGCCAGCCCGCCCAGACCACCGAGACCTTCGTCATGTTCCACTTCCCCGTCACGCAGTGCGGCACCACCGTGCAGGTCGGGGACGCAGCCCCCCGGGGCTCTGGGGCCAGGAGGTGGGCGAGGGGAGCCCGACACACACACACACACACGTGTGCCCCCCCCCAGGTGATCGAGGACCGGCTGATCTACGAGAACCAGCTCATCTCCACCATCGACGTGCAGCCGGGTCCCCGCGGCTCCATCACGCGGGACAGCGTCTACATGTAAGGAAGGGGACGCAGGGTGGGGGCGTGGGGCAGCAGGACCCCCCCCGACACCACACGGCTCACCCCCACGGTCCCCCCCTGCAGCCTCCATGCCCGCTGCATCTACAACGCCAGCGAGCTGCTGCCGCTGCGCCTGGAGGTGGCCGTGCCCCCCACTGCCGCCCCCATGGCGCAGCCAGGCCCGCTGCGCCTGCAGCTGCGCATCGCCACCGGTGAGCGGCCCCGTGTAGCCCCCCCCGCTGCCCCCCTGCCCACCCAGCGAGGGCCGCAGCCCGCTCAGCATCGTGTGGTTCTGCAGATGAGAGCTACAGTGCCTACCACGCGGAGGGCGAGTACCCCCTGGTGAAGGTGCTGCGGGACCCCATCTACGTGGAGGTGCGGCTGCTGCAGAAGACCGACCCCAACCTGGTGCTGGTGCTGCACCAGTGCTGGGCGGCCCCCAGCACCGGCCCGGCGGCCGAGCCCCAGTGGCCCCTCCTGGTGGACGGGTGAGCAGGCAGGGAGGGGGTGGCCAGGGGGAGTTTTGCCCGTCCTGACCCTGTGTCCCCTCCCCAAGGTGTCCCTTCGCTGGGGACAACTACAGGACGCAGCTGGTGCCCGTGGGCCCCGCCTCGCCGCAGCTGCCCTTCCCCAGCCACTACCAGCGCTTCGTCGTCTCCACCTTCGCCTTCGTGGACACCCCCTCCATGGCGGTGCTGGAGGGAGAGGTGAGGGGTGGCGGCATGGGTCCCTGTGCTGTGGGGGTCCATGTGTTGTAGGGACCCCCTTGCTCTGCGGGACATGGAGCAATTTGTGATTTGTCACCGCTGCTCGCAGGTGTACATCCTGTGCAGCGCCTCCGTGTGCCACCTGGCGCAGCCCGAGCCCTGCCGGCCCTCCTGCCAGCTGGCCGTGCCCTCCCGTAAGTTGGGCTTGGTGTGGGGAGGGTCCTGACCGCCCCTGGCTCTCCCCCACACCAACCCTCGTGATATCCCTTCCCCAGGAGCCCGCCGGGCAGCAGGGGACAAGGGGACAGCGAACGCCGTGGGCACGGTCACCTCCCAGGGCCGAGTCGTCTTCCCCAAGAGGCCTGCGGCGGGGAGAGGCTGAGCCCTGCGCTGCCGCTTCCCTGGGGCACGGGCTGCCCTTTTCCTCCTCCTCAACCCCAAACAATAAACCAAAGAAGAGCAGAGCTGTGGCTGCAGTGCTTTGTCTGGGCTCCATCGCAAAAGAAAAAGGCTGAAGCCTTGGAGCTGCTGTGGCCACGCAGCCTCTGCCCCCTGCTCACGGCCCCTCCGGCAGCACAGGGCCAGGGGAGGGAGGGGAGCGCCCCCAGGCCCCTGCTCGCCCCCTCCCCAGCAAGCTGAGCGCTGCTAAGGTGAATAATTCTTTATTTCCATCCTGAAACTAGTAACTGCTTACAAAACCTGCACAGGGTCCCCCTCCCTCCCTCCCCACATGCCCCCCACAACCCGTCACGAAGTCCCACCCGCGCACGCTGGGCACATCGCTTACAGCCACGGCAGAGAACCCAAAGCCTGAAAGACAAACACCAAAACTGGAAAAGAAGAAAACCAAACAACAAATCCATGAAGCACAGGGAGGGCGACATCCAACTAACTTCCCCTCTCCAGCAACTAGAGATAGGGAGCCTAAAGGAGTAACGAAACCCCCTCCCTCCCTCCCAACCCCCCCGAAACCCTCCCTCCCCACCCCAAACCCCAGCGCTGCAGCGGGAGCTGCCGGCCCCGGCCCCTGGGGCTACAGGCTGTAGAACTTGAGGCTCCGGTCCATGCCCGTGGAGGCGATGAACTTGGCGTGGTGGCCGAAAGCCACTCCCGTGGTGAGGCCGCTGTGCTCTGCGGAGGGAAGGCAGCAAAGGGTTAGGGCTGGGCCACGCCAAGGTGCTTCCCCTCCCGCCCTCAGCCCCGTGCCCCGCACCAGTGAAGTGGAGGATTTCTGTCCACTGCTTGCAGATGTAGATCTGGACGTCCGTCCCGCCCAGCGCCAGGTAGGTGCCGCTCTGGTCAAAGATGAGAGACTTCACCTGGGAAGGAGAGGGGGAAAAAGGCTTCAGGACACACCTGGGGAGCTCCAGCTGCTCCTCTCTGCCCCAACACCCACGCGGCACCTCTACCTCGGGCTTCCCAGTGCGCATGAGAGTAGGGCTGGGGTGGCCAGCAGCGGCCCAGCAGGCTGCCAGAGGGGAAAAGGGACTGCCACGCACCTCGAAGTTATTGTCCAGCTGCAGCGTCTTGAAGTTCTTGAGCTTACGCAAGTCCCAGAGCTTAACGGAGGAGTCATCTGCGGCTGTGGCCAGGTAGTAGCCGTTCTCGGAGAAGGCGATGCTGGTGATGGGGCCCGAGTGCCCCGGGAAGTTGGCCACGTTGGTGCGTTCCTGGGGACAGGAGGGTCAGACACGGGCTGCTGGCAGGGAGACGCTGCCTCGGGGAGCAGCTTGGCCAGGAGAGGGACAACAGCCCCCAGGGGACAGCGAGAATTTGCAGGTGCAGGGATGAGGAAAGCCCCAGGGCTGAGTCCCCGCCATGCGGCACCAAACTCCCTCTGCTGTTCACAACAGCCCCAGGGACGCTGGAGAGCAGATCCCTGCACCTCTCACTCTGCCCACGTAGCTCAGCCCACGCCAAATTGCACAGTCGGGCTGCTGCAGAGCTAAAATGGCCCAGTGAGCCGGCACAGAGCACAGAATACAGCAGGAGCTGCCCCTGTGCCGGGGCTCCAGCACAGCCGCAGGGCACTGAGCCCACCACGCCGCCGACTCCACACCCCCTGCGTGCCCTGGGCCAGCCCTACCTTCAGATCCCAGATCTTGATCTGAGAGTCCATCGTCCCTGTCCCAAAAATGAGCCCGTCCGGGTGGAACTGGGCGCAGGTGAGAGCTGCAGAGACACAGGGAAACAGCGGGGGGCTGAGGAGGCTCTGCCCTGGGACAGCCCTTCCACCAACAGCCCCCAGACGAGTTCTCCCATGCTCCGAGAGGCCACGGCCCCGTGGGCAGAAAAATACCACTCTGCACGGTCACAGGAGCCCCCCCGGGTGGGCACACTCAGCCTTACCACAGCCAGAGCTCTCGTCTGTCACCTTGGTGAGGACACGGCCGGTCTGGATATCCGAGAAAGCCCAGTACTGGAAGGGAGGAACAGGGTGCTGAGCACACAGCGACAGCACGGGGGGTCTGCACGCTCTGAGCCAGCTCCGGGCCTCACCTGGTCATCAGAAGAGCTGAGCAGGTAGTCACCCGTGGCGTGCAGACTCAGCCCGGTCACGGAGCCCTCGTGGGCACGCACAACCTGCACGCAGGAGGCGTTAGGCACAGACCAGATCCTGATGGTAGCGTCGGGAGAAGCCGAGAACACCAGCTCCTAAAGAGGGGCGAGGCAGGAAGGTTAACACCAAAGCACCGCCGGGCTTCTGTCTGAAAGCTGCTAAAGGCGGGATCTGGCCAGAGAAAGACACGGGGTGCCCGACCCAGGCAAGTCTGGCCACGAAGGAAGAGGCCAGAAGGGACAGCAGCGCACCTGCGAGGGGTGGAACACAACGCTGGTGACCTTCTTGGAGTGGCCCTTGAGCGTGGCCAGGATCTGCTCTGAGCTCTTGTCGAAGACGATGACGTTTTTATCAGCCCCGCCTGGAAAACACAGCGGGGAGCTGGGAGAGATGCAGCGAGGCCAGCTGCGTCCAACATCTCCCCGCTGCTCCCAGAGAGCTCTGCCCTGGAAAGCTTTGCCGTGAGCTGAGAGAATTCCTCACGCCCCTTTGCCCCCCTCAGCCCCCAGAAGCACAAAGCCCTGCTCCCAAGCAGCCGCGGGCTCTCTGTTGCCACCAGATTCCCCATAACGCGGAGGTGGCTCCCTTACCGGTGAGGATCTTGTTGGTGTCGGAAGGACAGAGGTCCAAGGCCAGGATCCCCGGGATGCTGGCACTGTGCAGCCCCTGCACGATGCAGAAGGACGCCAGGTTAGTGCTGCGAGCAAGAAAACGCTCCACAGGGAACAAAGAGGGTCCTGGGGGGAGCCCAGGGTGCTCTGATTCAGCTGTAGGAGCCCGTACCATGTGCACCCCAGCACAGATCCCCGTGGGAAGAGCCACGACCCTCCGCTAGCTCTGCCCAGCAGCAGACCCAGCTCCTTTTGATGTTGCCAAGCGCGTACCCAGCAGCAAGCAGAGTTTTTGAGTGCCCATCCCGCATCGCAGCACTCACCACGTGCGACGCGACCTGCCGGTACTTGCTGAGCTCCTCCGGCTTCACCAGCTCCTCCGGAACCGTCTTGCCTCTCTGCAAAAGGAGAAGGGCGCAGGGATGGGCACCTCAGGACACGTCACGTCCTTGCTTCCACAGCCTCTCGGGAGCAGAAGGGGGCTGCTCACCTTCTTACGCTCCGTGGTCAGCACCGTGGCCTTGTCTTGAAGCTGCAAAACAAGAGGACAGCGGCTGCAGCCTAGGCTGGAGAACCAGGTGCAGGGGCAGGCTGGAGAGCAGCCGCTGAGCTCTGCAGCGGCACAAGCGGCAGGTCCTCACCTTCTGGATGATCTCGGGGGTCATGCCGGCAAGCTCTCCCAGGTCCATGGACTCCCCAGCTCCCTGCGGAGCACAGAATTAAGTTATATGTGGGAAGGAAACATCAGGGAAAAGCGCAGAGCGAGGCAGAGGGGACTCACCGCCACGTTGGGCTGGGAGGACGGCACGGTCTGGGGCACGATGAGGCCAGCCTGAGGCTTCAGCGTTGCCAGAGCTGCGGAGGCAGAGGAGCGCCGTGAGGCCCTGCCCTGTCTCCCCGAGGCTCACGGCCGTCCCCCTTTCCCTGTCACCTTCTCTGGCGGCGGTGACCTCCTTGGTGAGCCGGGCGATGACACGGCAGGCGGCGTCGTGCTGGTAGAGCGCGTGGGACAGCTCCTGGCGCGTGGTCTGCAGCTGCTGGCGCAGGGTGAAGCTGTGCAGCATGACGGCGTCCTGCCGGGACGGGGCACGCTCAGACACACAAACGCACGCTCAGCCCCGTTACCGGCCCCTGCTCCCACCCCGGGGCTGCCACTCACCCACTCATCCTGCAGCGCCTTCAGGATGGCCGGGATGCTGGTGGCGGACGGAGGCTTGGGCCGGATCGGGTGGGCGACTGCCGACGGGATGGCACGGGGGGGGGGGTCAGCCGCCTCCTCCCCGCCCCGCAGCCCCCCCTCCATGCCCATACCGAGCGGTGGGGCCCGGTGCAGCCCCCGCGGGGCCGGGCTCAGCCCCGGCGGCCGCCGTTACCCTTGATGTCGATGAGCTGCTCCTCGGACAGCGGCTGGTTGTTGACCGGGTCGGTGCCGTTCTCCGCGATGTACTTCTCGATCAGCCGCCGCTCGTAGACGTGGTTGGAGACGGGCGACACGCACGGGTGCTCGGGGACCTCGTTGGAGACTGGGGGGGAGGCCGCGGGTCACGGCGCGGAACCGCCACCGCCCCCCGCCCCCGGTAACGGCTCCGGTCCCGGCAGGGCCCGAACCCCCCCCCCGGTGCGCCCCGCGCTCACTGGAGCAGATGAGGGCCATGGCGGGGCCGCCCCGCTCCGCTTCCGCCTCCCGCTTCCGCTTCCGGTCCCGGTGTGTGTGGGGGGGGGCGCGCGGGGCCCCTCCGCCGCTCCCGCCGCCTCACGCGGGCTCCGCCGCCGGAAACGGAAGCGCTCCCGGCGTGCCCCGCGGCGGGGGGGGGGGCGGGGCCGCGGAGGCGCTCGGGACTACAACTCCCAGGGTGCCCCGCGGCCGGGAGGCGGGGGGCGGGGGGCTGAGCGCGCGCCCCCGCAGCGCCCCCGTGCGGCGGCGGGGTACGGGGGGGGGGGGCATGGGGCGGGGGGGCACGGAGGGATTTGGGGGGGCGGGGGGGGGCTGATTGGGGAGGGGGGGGAAATGGGGGGGAACGGGGGGGGAAGGGGAGAGCGGGGGGGGCGGGAGGAGGGGGTTTGGGGTGTGTGTGGGGGGGGCTAGGGAGGGATTGGGGGGGTTATGGGGGGATTTGGGGGGGCCAGGGGGGCTATGGGGGCATTTGGGGGGGTTACGGGGAGGATTTGGGGAGGGTAGGGGGGATTTGGGGGGGTTACGGGGGCATTTGGGAGGATTTGGGGGGCTTACGGGGGGACTTAGGGGAGCTAGGGGGGGTTATGGGGGATTGGGGGGTTGGGAGGGATTTGGGGAGGGTAAGGGGGGATTTGAGGGGGTTACGGGGGGATTGGGGGGAGTCAGGGGGGGACTTGGGGGGTTGGGGGGGATTGGGGGGAGTCAGGGGGGACTTGGGGGGGTTAGGAGGGGATTTGGGGGGGTTACAGGGGGATTTGGGGGGGTTAGGGGGTGTTTGGGGATGTTGGGGGGGTAATGGGGACGCTCGAAGGGTATTTTGGGGGATAAATGGGGGGGTAAATGGGGGTGTACACTGGGGGGGTAATAGGGGGGTCTTTTGGGGGGCTAAAGGGGGAGTTATGTTGGACTACGGGGTGCTGGGGGTCCGGCAGAGGGGTGGGGGGGGTCACACCGGGCACAGGGGGGGGTCCTGGGGGGGAGCTGGGGTGCTTGGTGGGCACGGGGGGTGGGGGTGGGGGGGGCACAGCCCCTGCTGCCCCCCCCCACGGTGCCGCTCCCCGCAGAGCCCAGGCGCCGGGGATGGGGGGCGACACCGGGGGGAGCCGGGCCCTGCTGGGGGCCGCGCTGCTGCCGCTGCCCTGGGCCCCCTCGCTGGGGGCGGTGGCGGCGGGGGGGGGCCCGGAGAGCTTCGTGCCCCCCCCTGTCCCCAGCACCGACCCGCTGTGGCGCCTGGGCCACGCCGCCTGGGCCACGCTGGAGGGCTGGCTGGGCCCCGAGCCGCTGCGCCTGCTGGCGGAGGTGAGCCCCGGACCCCTATTTTGGGGGGTTACGGGGACGCTGAGGGGGTGTCGCCCCCCCCCAGCCCCCAAGCCCCCTGTTTGCCCCCCCGCAGGGCCTGGCCGCCGTGCTGTGGCTGGTCTCCTCCGCCATCTCGGCCGGCCTGGCCGTGCTCAGCACCGTGGCGGGGGACATCCTGAGCGCCTGCGGCCTGGGCGGTGAGTCTGGGATGAGGGGGGGCACCCCCAAACGACCCCCACACGCCACCGGCACCCCCCCGACCCCGTTGTTTTCCCCCCTTCCAGGGGCCGGGCTGGTGCGCGGGGCGGCGCTGGCCCCCGGCGAGGTGCAGCGGGTGCTGCTGTGGGGGCTGGCGGCGCTGGCGGGGGCCCGGCTGCTGCGGCGGCTGCTGGGGGTGCTGCTGGCCCCGCTGCGGCGGGCGCTGCGCTGCCTCAAGCTCTGCTGCTTCCTGGCAGCCTTCCTCCGCGTGGCGGCCGCCGAGGGCAGCGGCCCCACGGCGCAGGCGGCGATGCTGCTGGGGCTCTGGGGGCTCTACCTACTGCTGGGGGGCGGCGGGGAGCACCCCCCCGGCCCCGAGGCCAGGCTGGAAGCCGCCGTCCGCAGCCTGGAGTGGAAGGTGGAGGAGCTGTGCCGCTGGCATAGGTGGGGGGGGGCCCAGAACCGCGAGGAGGAGTGAGGGGGAGCACTGGGGGGGGGGCTGCGTTGCCCCCCTCCCACCCCACGTGTGTGACCCCCCGCTGTGTGCACCCCCCCACCCTGCTCGCCCCTTCCGCCACCCCACGTGTGGCCGGTGACCCTGTGGGGCAGCCCCCGTCCCGCTGCCCCCCAAAGCTGGGGAGCCGCTCGCCGTGCCCCCCCCTCAGTGCCTTCACCGAGCCCACGCTGCTTTTGTCCCCTGGGGGGCACGCCGGCAGCCCCCAGCCCCTTGTGCCCACAAAGAGCAGAGGGGGCAGCCTGTCCGTCTGTCCGTCCATCTCCAGAGGTGGCTGTGGGGTGAGAAGGGGACCCCAAAGATGGGTGTCACCCCCCCCCCCGTGGCTCGGTTTTCTAGCTGCTTGTTGAGTGGTTTTGCTGTGTGGTGCCAAATAAAAGAGTTTCACGGTGTCCTCGTGCTGCCTGGCCCACCCCATGGGGAAGGGAGGAGCACTACGGGGTGCTTGGGGTACCTCGGTCCTGGGGAGGACACAGAGGACGCTGGGGACGGTGGCAGGCTGGGACTGGGAGGTGCTGGGGCAGCACGCGCTGTCCCCGTCTGTTTGCTGAGGCGGGGGGGCAGGGGGATGCCCGTGCCAGGAGCCGGCCCCGGTGCCCTCTGGATGTCCCTGCGCTGGGCCCCCTCGGCCCCCTGCTTGCCCCCAGTGTCCCCAGCTCTCCCAGTGCCCCCAGTGTCCCCAGTTATTCCAGTGCTTCCAATCCGCTCAGCCCTTCCATTCCACTCAGTGTCCCCAATTCTCCCAGTGCCCCCAGTTCTCCCAGTGTCCTCAGTCCCTCCAGTACCTCCAGTCCCTCCCAGTGTCCCCAGTCTTTCCAGTGCCCCCTTTTCTTCCAGCGTGCCCAGTCCCCCCAGTGTCCCCCATCCCTCCCAGTCCCTCCAGTGCCCAGTCCCCAGTGCCCCCAGTCCCTCCAGTGCCCCCAGTCCCCTCAGCCCTTCCCATTCCACCCAGTGTGCCCAGTGCCCCCAATTCTCCCAGTGTCCTCAGTCCCCTCAGTCCCTCCAGTCCCTCCCAGTCCCCCCCAGTGCCCCCCACCCCTCCCGGTCCCCCCCAGCGCCCCTCCCGCCGGGGGTCCCGGTGCTCCCGGCGCTGCTCACCCCGGCGGGGGCCCCGGTGCCGGGAGTTTAGGACCCGGCGGGGCGAGGCGGCGCCGGTGCCGGTCCCGCCCCGGCCCCATTGTCTGGGCGCGGAGGCGGAGGGACGGCAGCGGCGGCGCCGTTCGCACGGACCGCGCCGCGGAGCCCTCCCGGCCCCGGTACCGGCCCCGGTACCGGCCATGGCCCCGGCCCCGGGGGCCCGCCTGGCGCTGCTGGCCGCCGCCCTGCTCGGGGCATCAGGTGAGCGCATCCGCACCGGCACCGGGCACCGGGTACCGGGCACCGGGTACCGGGCACCGGGCACCGGCACCGGGCACCGGGCACCGGGCACCGGGCACCGGGCACCGGGTACCGGCACCCGCAGCCCGTGATCCGCGCCCCCCGGCATTTTCCCCCCCCGGCTCTCCCGGGAGCCACCGGGAATCCGCTCCCGGCTCCGCACGGGCACCCAGCGGGGCTTCCCCGGCGCGGCGCCCCCCGCCCCTTCTCACCGCGTTCCCCGGGATGCAGCCGGCACCGGCGCCGTGCACCCCCCGGGATCCCGCTGCCCCGAGCCCGGATCCCCCCCAGCGGGACCCCGCGGCGCTCCCCCAGCCCCGGGGGGGCTCCGGGACCAGCGCCCGTGGGTCCCCACCTCGGGGCACCCCCGGGGGGGCTGCACCGGCCCCAGAGCGGAGCGCTGGGTAGGGGCTGCGCGCCCCACGTCCCCCCCTCCCCGAGGCCTGGTGACAGCCGTCCCTGTCCCCGCAGCGAGCGGCGACTGGGCCCCCCCGGAGCCCAGTGTTCCTGCCGGCGGAGCTGGAGGTGCTGGCGGTGCCCGAGCACTACCGGCTGCAGCGGGCGGACGGGGACCTGGCCGCCAACACCTCCCTGCGCGCCCGCACCGAGACCTTCCTGCTGCTGCCGCACTGGCTCCGGCGCCCAGCCGCTGCTCCGGGCGTCCTACACACCCTTCAGCACCCGGCAGGTAACGCCCGACCCCCCCTTCCCAGCCCCCCGCAGCCTCCGGGGCTGTCCGGGACCCCGCCAGCATCGCCGTCTGTTCCAGGAGGTGCCCACCCGGAGCCCCCCGGAGAAGGAGGGCTGGGCTGTCCGTGCCGTGTCCCTGGAGAGCGCCGTGTCCCCGGACGAGCCCGTTGCCCGCGTCCTCTTCCACCTGCGGGGTCCCGACTGGCTGCCGGGGCAGCGGGAGCCCCCCGGGGAGCGGGACTTGCCCTGCGTCACCCTCCATGCCCACCACCGTGGCCGGGTGGCGCGGGGCGCCTGCCGCCTGCAGGTTGGTGCTGCCCACCGGGGCTGGGGTGGGGAGGGGGCTGCGGGACCCCCCTTCGGCTCCCCCCCTTATTCTGAGCCTGCTTATCCCCCCCCCAGGCTCCTCTGGGTGTCTGCGTGGTGGAGCTGGAGATCCCCCCCCGCTGGTTCTCCCCGGCAGCCCCTGCCCCCCGTGCCCCCCTGGAGCCGGCCTGAGCTGCACTACGGCGTTTTGGGGCCGGGGGCGTGCGGCCGTGCCGGGGGCCGGGGGGGGTCGGACTGCAGGGCCACGGGAGGCCCCACGGTACCTGGGGCCGCTGGAGCTGCGCGTGGCGGCGCCGGCACGGCGGCAGGAGGTGCGGCTGGACTGAGCGGGTGCTGCTGCGCGTCCCCGACGCCACGCTGCGCCCCGGGCAGCGCTTTGCCGCCACCCTCGCCCTGCGGCACAACTTCACCGCCCAGCAGCTGACCCTGCGGTGAGCCCCCGTGTGTGTGGGATTGGGACCGGGAGGCAGGGGTCAGGGGGGACACGGCGTGATGCGTCCCGTGGTCCCCCCCACGCCTTGTCCCCCAGGATCAAGGCCAAGAAGGGGCTGCTGGTGGTGGCAGCCCGACCTGGGGACCCTGCCTGGGCCGTGCAGCTGGAGCGCACCCGCGGCCCCAAGCACTGGACGGCCGTGGTGACGTGCCGGCGGAGCGGGGACACCCACGGGGACTGGAGGTAGGGGCAGCAGTGCTGGGGGGGCTTCTGCGTGGCACCCAGTGTAGCCCAGTATGGCCCAGCTGGGGCATGGGGATCCGTGCGTAGCACTGCTCCTATCCCAGTATGGCCCAACAGGGGGGCTGGAGCTGTGGGATAGCCCCCATTCAAATCGTAGGTTGCGGGACAGCTCCATCCCAGTAGGTCCCAGTAGATCCCAGTTGGGGTGGCGGGTGTCCCCACCCCAGCAGCTCCCAGCCAGGGCCACGACTTCGCAGGGCGTCGGAGGCGGTCGAGTTCCTGCACCTGGACCTGGCCGTGGAGAACGGGACGGGGGGGCTGGCGCCGGCGCGGCCCCTCACCTGGCAGGTGGAGTACCCCGGCCAGGACCCCGAGGCGCAGAAGGACAAGCTGGTGTGGGAGGTGCAGGTGTCGGAGCGGGACGTGCGTGCCCTCGTCCCCTTGGTGCAGGTGGGTGCCCCCCCGCTGCCCGTGTCCCCCCCTGTCCCATCCCTGCGGCGCTCTCAGCCCCGCTCTGCCCACAGGAGCTGGAGCTGCTGAACACAGCCCCGCTGACCGGCGTCCCCCGCGCGGTGCCGGTGACGTTGGTGACGGTGGAGGCAGGGGGCGGCGTGGCTGAGGTGACCGAGCCGCTGGGCTGCGAGTCGGCCGACAAGCAAGTGCTGCAGGTGAGCGGGGTCCCGGCCCCCCTGGCGCTACCCCCCAGGGGGCTGCCAGCCCCCTGCCCCTCCGTGTGTCCCCTCCGCAGGTGGCAGACAGCTGCGACGCGGTGTTCGTGGGGGGCAAGGAGAGCCGGGGGGCGCGGGGGGCGCGGGTGGACTTCTGGTCGCGCCGCCTGCACGCCTCGCTGCTCTTCACCGTCTGGGCCCCGCTGCTGCCGCTCCGCATCCAGCTCGGCGACACCACCCTGGAGCAGCTGCGGGGCTGGCGCCTGCCCGGTGCCACCGAGAGGTGAGAAGGTGCCACCGCCAACCCGCTGGCACCAGCCACCGCCGCGGCGTGCGCCCAGAGGGAGCTGGGAACAGGAGGAGGTGCCGAGCCCCACGGCACTCATGCCACATCCTCCTGCCGCACCCCCCTGCCCCACAGAGCCCCAGTGGGGCTGGTGATGGACGTGTCCCTTGTCCCTTTGTCCCCAGCGCTGACGGGGAGGCGGATGAGCCCGGGGAGGAGGCGGAGCGGCGGGCGCGGGGCTGCCGGCCCCAGTACCAGCGCACGTCGGTGCGCTTCCTGGCGCACTTCGTTGCGCACCCACGGGACGGTGGCCGTCACCTCTCCTACCTGCCCGGCCCCGAGTGGCTCCTGGATGTCACCCACCTGGTGGCTGGCCGGGCACGTGTGCAGGACCCCCGTGTGGCGACGCTGGAGGGGGACACCGTGGTGGTCGGCCGGGAGCCCGGCGTCACCTCTGTGGAGGTAGGCACGGGGCGCAGCGTTCGGGGCAGCGTGGGGCTGGAGGGGCGGCGGTGCTGGGGCTGGAGAGGGGCCTGACGAGGTGCCCCCCGTGCCCCCAGGTCCGCTCCCCCGTCTCGGACTCCATCCTGGGCGAGCAGACGCTGGTGGTGTCGGAGGAGAAGGTGACGGTGACCGAGCTGCGTGCCCAGCTGGTGGCAGGGGCTGGCGCTGGCGCTGCGGACGGAGCCGGGCCACCCCGGCGTGGTCACGGCCACCTGCCAGGCCACGGGCTCGCTGCGGACCCCCAAGCAGGTGAGGGGGGTGCAGCGGGGAGGCGTGGGGGTGCTGGCGGTGCCCGGAGCCCCGCTGCCACCCCCGGCGTCCTGGCAGGAGGCGACGCTGTCCTGTCTGGCTGTCCTTCTCCGACGGCACGCTGGCCCCAGCTGGAGCTGTACGGCTGGCAGGACGTGGCGCTGGCCGTGACCTCGCAGGACCCTGCCGTGGTCACCGTGGCGGGGGGCTTGCCCGGGGCCCCCTCCTGGCGCCCGAGGGTGCTGGCGGAGGGGCCGGGGCGGGGGGCCCTGCTGCAGCTCAGCCTGCACCCCCCAGATGCCTGCCGCCGGGGTCGGCACCGGGCGGCCGCCCTGGCCACCGGCTCTGCCTGGCTGGAGGTGGGGGCTGCTCGGCGCGGGACCCCCCCCGGCAGCCCCCGGCCCCCCGCACCCTTCCCGCGGGCCGAGGGGGCCTATGTCAGGGGAGGCGGTGACGGCGGGCGGCGAGCCCCGCAGGAGGAACCCCGGCGGCGTGGGTCCGGCCTCCACCAAGCTGCAGGGGCTGGGGTCTTCCTCGGAGGAGGAGGAGGAGGAGCAGGGGGAGGAAGGCCGTGGGCGTGCGGGCAGGGAGGAGGAGGAGGAGGAGGAGGAAGAGGAGATGGTGAAGGCCCCGGCGCGGGTGACCGACCTGGAGATCGGCATGTACGTCCTGCTGGGTGTCTTCTGCCTGGCCATCTTCATCTTCCTCGTCAACTGCATCTTCTTCGTGCTGCGCTACCAGCAGAAGGAGCCCCCCGACGCCGGGGCCACCCCCTCGGCTCCCCAGCCCCACAACTGGGTCTGGCTGGGCACTGACCAGGAGGAGCTGAGCCGGCAGCTGGACCGCCAGCAGCCGGAGCCCCCCGCCCCGGCGCCCCCCCAGCCGGGCACGGAGGCCGGGCGCTGCTGCTGCGGGGACCCCCAGGTGCCCGCCGTGGGGTCTCCCCCCACAGCCCCGCCGCCAGCCGGCACCCCCCCGGCCCGCAAGGAAGGGGCTGCACCGGGGGGCGGCCGGCGGAAGCGTGTGGAGTTTGTCACCTTCGCGCCCCCCCGGGTCCCCGAGGAGCCCCCCCAGCCCGCCCCCAACGTGCAGTCCATCCTCGTGGCCAGCGAGGACGACATCCGCTGGGTGTGCGAGGACATGGGGCTGCGGGACCCCGAGGAGCTCAGGAGCTACATGGAGAGGATCCGGGGCAGCTCCTGACCCCGGGGGGCAGCCCCAGCCCACCCCCCCTCCCCGAGCTGGCACTGCCCTACGGGACCAGCCTCCTCCCTGTCCCCATCCCTCCTGGTGGCCTCAGCAGGGACACCGGAGGGCCTGGCCCCAAGGCTGTCGGGGTGGCAGCCGCCCACCCCGCAGCATCCCTCCTGGGGGGTGGGGGTCTCCTCACCCTGGCCCCGCCGTGGTGCCGGAGGGCGTGGGGAGGCTGCGGCCCCCCCTTGCTGTGGGTCTCATTGCGACGTTGTGTTCATAGTGCTGATGATGAGTCCTGTGGTCCGACCTGGGGAGCGCCCCGCGCCCCCCCTCTCCCCCCCAAATCCCCCTGGCCACACGTCCGTTTTGTATCCATACCGCTGTGGGATGGGGCCGCTGCGGGGGCCTGTTATTTATGGAAGATTTTTAATTCTGACGTTGTTACAAAAATAAAATATTTAAAAAAGCTGAGCCGTGCCCGTGCCGTGGTGTTGGTGGAGCGGGCGGGGGCTGGGGGCTGGGGGTGCCGTGGTGGCTCCCCCAGGCACAGCGGGGCCGTGAGGGCAGCCACGGGGCCCTGCACCTCCTCCGGCTCCTCTCCTCCCAAGCCCAGGGGCTCAGATGGGGGGTGAGGGGCTGCGGGTAGGGGGGTGAAGCTCCGACACCCGTGGGTGCCTGCCCACGGCCTCGCCAGCACCCCCAGAAAACGGTGGAGGAGGAGGGAGCCCCGCATGGAGCTCTTTCACCCCAGGGTGCTCCCAGAGCTTGGGGGGACCCCGCTCACCCCATGCTGCCCACCCCAGCTCCCTGGAACATGGGGAGGTTGGGCTCTGTGCAGCGTGGCTCCAACGACACCCTCACCCCGGGGGTCCCGAGCGCGACGCGGTGCAGCACCGCGCGGCCCCGCAGCGCCTTGGGCAGCTCCCGAGGCACGGGGGACCCTGCGAGCACGTGGCGAGGACCCGAGCGAGGGCCACCTCCGTCGTCCGCCCCCGGGGTGCCGCTTCCCCCCGGGGCGCGCGGCGGTTTGCTGTGGCAGGATGGAGCCACCCCCACAGCCAGCCCCGGGGTGCCGGGCTGGCTTCCTGCGCACCTCGGCCGGGCACGGTGCGAGCCGAGCGGCGGCACGGGGGTCACGGCCCCGGCAGCGGGAAGGGGGCAGCGCCATGGGGCTGCCCGGCAGCCGCTGAGGATGGAGGTGCTGTGCCTGCTCGTGGCGGCTCTCTGTGCCGCGGCTCCCGGACCAGGTATGGCGCCGTCCCCCCCTCTGCCTCCTCTGCGTGCCGGGGGTGTCACCGGCACTGCTTCGGGTGTGGAGCGAGGGTGCTCTGCAGACGTGGCCTCCTCGCCCTCCGTCAGGTGGGGCAGCAGGGTCGCCTCACCTCGCCGCATCCCTGCTTGGGGGCTCTTGAGCTCGGGAACCCCAAAGGTGCTCCCCGGGCCATCCTGTCCCCGCTGCCCCAGAGGACAGCGTGCGCAGGACCCCGACCCGCTCTGGCAAGGGGCTGCTTGGCTGCTGCGCTGCTCCCCAAAATATTTTAGGGGTGCCTGCGCACCTCGGCAGCCCCCGAGGTGGCAGTGGCAGGACTCACCCCTCAGCTGCTTGGCTCCAGGATGCTTCCCCTGCTCTGCCCCGCCGCAGGGACCCCCCAACCCCCTATTGAGTCCCCCCACTGCCGTCAGGTAGGTGAAATGCTTTGCCATTGGCACGAGCCAAAAGGCTGCCCTATGCCGCCCTACCCCATCACCGACCACCGCCTTTGGAGCAGGTTTTGAGCTCCTGTAGGGCTCAGGGAGGTTTCCCCCCTGAAATGGCTGCCAGGAGCAGCCGCCAGCCCTGCTGCTGCTCGATCTGTGACCGACCCTCAGTGCCACGTCCGGGGGCTGCGGGCTGGGGTCCCCCTGGGGCAGCAGCTCTCAGGGAAACCTACTTTTTGCACAAGGCTGTTGTTTCGCAGGTGATGGGAATGGAGCGTGTTGCTTCCTGTGGGGCATCGCTGAGCGAAGGCGAAAGCAGGCTTCACCACCACCGCAGGCTGATGCGCTGCGAAAAAAAAAAAAAAAAAGTGCCCTTGTTTTTTTGTCAGAAACCATCTCTGCAATAGCTGCTCCCCTTCCTGAGCTGAGGAGCGAGGCCTGAGGCTGCAGGCTTGCAGCCCGTTGCTGCCGGCGGAGGCGGGAGAGGTGCACGGTGCCGTGCACGCTGCAGCTTTGCCCTCGCAGCCTTCTCCCTGCAGCCGCCTGGGTGGCAATGTCCAGGCAGCGCCGACTGCCCCCGGGCAGCGGGGGCCGTGCTGGGGGCTCTCCCCTGGGTCGCGTCCCCCTGCAGCGGGCGGCTGACGCGTAGCCGCAGAGGTTGGGTTTTAGGAACGCAAGAGCCATTCCTGCACGGGCCTCCCCGGGCCCCATTTTGTGGCAGCCTCTCGGTGCCATTTTGTGCATCCGTCCCCAGCGCGCGCTGGGGGGCCGGGCTGTGCACCCCCGCACCCTCCCCAGGTGTCCCCACACCGGGCTCAGGCAGCCCGGTGGCTTTGAGGGTCAATTTGGGGACGTCGGTGGGGGACGCAGGGGCACGTCGAGGCCAGGTGGTCTTTCAACTGCATCGTCCTGGCCGCCTCCTGCCCAGCTGGGACATGGCTGGGACGGGGACACGGGGTGGGGGGACAGGGCCGGGGGCTCCCAGAGCTCAACCCCAAACCTCCGACCCCTCCACACAGCCCCGGCGGAGCCCATGGGGACCCCCAGCGGGGCAAAGAGCGGCGCGGCTGGGAACGCTTCGGTGGAACCAGGTGAGAGCGGGTGTCCTGGGAGGGGGGGACAGCCAGAACCAGGGCCCCCCCGGCACCCTCCACCCGTGCCGTCCGCAGGTCCCCCTGGCGAGGCCGTGCTGCGCCTGGCTGGCGGCAGCGAGCGCTGCGAGGGCACGGTGCAGCTGCTGCAGGGCGGCCACTGGCTGCCCGTGTGCCGGAGCTCCTGGCACGCCGCAGCCTCCCGGGAGCTGTGCCGCCACCTGCACTGCGGGGATGCCGAGGAGGACGCCACGCTGCTGAGCCTGACGGGGGAACGGGACAGCACCGACGGCTGCCCCGTGGCCGTGACCAACTGCAGCGGCTGGGCGCTGGAGCCGTGCTGGCTGCGCCTGGCCACCGAGCCACACTGCTGCGCCACAGGGCCGGCTCGCGTCACCTGCACCGGTAAGAGCCACCGGGGCACAGCGGTGCCAGCACGAGCTGGTGGCCGCCACCACAGCCTCCCGGCACGTGGGGGCTCCTGGCGGTGCCAGCAGCGTTCCCCCATCCCGACAGCTGCCCCGGCGCTGCGGCTGGCGGGCGGCCGGAGCCGCTGCGAGGGCCGCGTGGAGCTGCGGCAGGCGGGCGTCTGGGGCACGGTGTGCGACGACGGCTGGGACCTGGCCGATGCCACGGTGGTGTGCCGGCAGCTGGGCTGCGGCTGGGCCCTGCACGCCCGCGGCGACGCCTCCTTCGGCAGGGGGAGCGGGCCCATCCTGCGGGACGAGGTGAGCTGCGGCGGGCACGAGCAGCGGCTCTGGGAGTGCCCGGCCACGGGCGAGCACGACTGCCACCACAAAGAGGACGCCGGCGTGGTGTGCTCCGGTGGGTCCCCGCGCCGTGCCGCGGCCACAAGCCCCGGGGGATGGGGGCAGCCCCGGGTAGATGCCCCCCATCGTGCCCCCTCCCTGCAGAGCACCAGGAGTGGCGGCTCGCTGGGGGCCGTGACGGCTGCGCGGGGCGCGTGGAGGTGTTTTTCCGTGGGACGTGGAGCACGGTGTGCGACAGCTCCTGGTACCAGATGGAGGCAGGCGTGCTGTGCCACACGCTGGGCTGCGGGGAGCCCCTGGAGCGGCCGTCCTTCCCCCACACGCTGCCCACCAAGATGCTCTATGTGTGCTCGAGCTGGCAGCCCTCGCTGGCGCACTGTCGCTGGACCTACAACAAGTCGGCGCCTTGCCATCAGTCCCGTGCAGCTGGCGTGGTCTGCAATGGTACGGGACCCCCGGCGCTGCAGGGGGGGGTCCCTGCTGCTCACTGCTCCAGCAGGGGGGCTGCAGCCTCTCCCCTCCCCTCCTGCAGGCTCCCAGGGCTTGCAGACACCAGCCCCGTTAGTGACGGTGACACCGGGCGGCATCACAGTGCTCAGCAGTGAGTTCCCCACACCGTGGGTCAGGGAGGGGTGTTAACGGGGCTGCAGCCTCCCCCGGTTCTGGGGGGGAGCTGGGGGGTGGGAGGGCTTTGAGGGCATCATCCCTGTGTCCGTTCTCTGCCCCAGCTGAGGGGGGCTCCGTGGCGGACACGCAGTCCCTCCTGCACGCACCCCTCTTCATCCCCTGCCTGGTGCTGGCGGCGCTGCTCCTGCTCACCCTGCTTGGCTTCACCACCGCGCTGCTGAGGCTGAGGAAGAGGAGCGGTAAGGAGCAGCCCCAAGGCTGCGAAGGCTGCAGAGGGGCGATGCCCTCCAGCCAGCATCCCAAGCACCCCCTCTGTCCCCGCAGCCCTCACCGTGTGCCCCCCTGGGCCAGGTCCTGGTGAGCAACAGCACCCAGGGCCCCGACGCGCCCTCTGGGATCTGCAAGAACTACAGGGAGATGCCCCCCAGCCTCCCCAAGGAACCAGGTGGGTCTGGGGGCCGCCTGCCCCGTTATCCCCCAGTTAACCCCCGTTGGCCCCCATCAGCCCCATCTCGCCCCGCAGCCCCCTCGCCCGTGACCCTTCCCGCTGCCAAGGGCTCTGACTCCTCCGACTCCGACTACGAACACTACGACTTCAGCAGCAAGCCGCCCGTGGCCCTCTCCACCTTCTACAGTGAGCCCCCGCCACAGCAGCCCCCTGCCTCTCCAGGTCCCCCCCTGCTAACCGGGTCCCCCCCCTGCCCTCCCGCAGACTCGCTGCGCCGGCAGCCGGGCGAGCAGCAGCAGGGCGAGCAGCTGCTCCCGTTGGTGCCCCCCCAGGACGGGATGGAGCCGTTCCCTGCAGAAGGTGTGCCAGCCCCTCGTCCCTCTGCCCCACAGCACCGCCCGTCTGCCTGCCCATGGGGGGGGCGAGCAGCGTGTCCCCGATCCCCCCGGTGACATATGGCCCATGCCCCGCAGTGCCAGCGACGACGCTGTGTTCCCAGCCGTGGGGCAGGGCAAACAGCCTGTCCTCCTCCTCCTCCTCTTCCTCCTCCATGGAGCCCTACTGCAATGAGAGCGCGCCCCCCCTGCATGCCTGGCCCTGCCCGCAGCCCCCGGCCTACAGCCCCCCCCAGCTGGCAGCACCCGCAGCCCCCGGCTGCACCCTACAGCCATGCACCGGTGAGCAGGGGTAGCGGGGTGCAAGGGGATGCGGATGGGAATGGGGATGGGGACGGTCCTGGGAAGGGCCACATGGGTGCTGTGGGGGTGGCAGCAGGGCTGGGAGGTGCCAGTGTGTGCCCCTGCCTCCCCCAGTGCCCCCGGCCATGCCCTGCCTGCCCGACCCAGCGCTCGCCCAGCCCCATGTAGCGGAGCCCCCAGCAGCCGCCGACCCCGCAGACAGCTCCAGCACCTCCTCGGGGGAGTGGTACGAGAACGTGCAGGGCACCGAGCCGCCAGGGTACCCGTCCCCACACCACGGTGAGCACCCCGTGCCGGCAGGGCTCCTGCCCCCAGCCTCCCCCCACGGCCCCGCTCTGCCTGACGGGCTCGTCCCCGCAGGCTGGCCGGCTCCGTCCTGCCCCCAGGACCCCAACTCCTCGGAGAGCAGCGACTACGATGACATCCAGGGCTCTGGCTGCTGAGGACGGGGACGGGCAGCACTGGGCGGTGGGCAGGGGGCTGCGGGCGCTGCGGGGGACTCACGACCACGCTGCTTACATCTCCTTGGGGCTGCTCCAGCCGCCTCCTCCGTGCTGGGGCACGGGCAGAGGCGCAGGGGCTCGTGGGGGGACGCTTGGTGCAGGCTGTGCCAGGCTACGTGCTTCCATTAAAGGCTTTTCCCAGCTTGTCACCGTGTCCTTGGGCCGTGGGGACGGCTGCTCAGCAGCCCCGCAGCGAGGCTGGGTCCCCAGCCCTCAGTCCTCCCCATCCTGGGCCACTTTTTTGGGGATGTGCTACCCACCGTGGCCAGCCCAGCCCACAGGCAGCCCCCAAAGATCACCGTGGGGGCCCCAAGCACCCCAAACGCCCACCCTCACCGTGGGCTCCTTCACGGGGAAGCCAAGCTCCCCGGCGCTGCCTGGGGCTCCGACCTGCCGCAGTGGAAAATTTGTCCCCCGCCACATCCTTCAGCTGTTTACCGAGCCGAGCAGCTCCGGCAGCCCAGAACAAAGGGGCCACGCCGCAACAACGGAGGAAGCACCGAAATAGCAACAAAGCCCCAGACAAAGGGCAGGGGAGACGGGAGGCGAGAACGGGGCCGGGAGCAGCACCCGCTGCGGCGCCCGTGGGGTGCCTGGGGCAGGGCCGCAGGGCCTGGGGTGCGATTTGTGAGCCACGCGGGTGCCATCGGCTGGGGACATTCTGCAGCCGTGTGACAGCGCTGGGCGCTCGGCGGTGCTGCTCCCACCAGCAGCAGGGTGATGGTGGCATGTGGCAGCCCGCAGGCTGCTCCCTGCCCATCAGCAGGCTCCTCACGGGCACGGAGAGCATCAACACGTCCCCGTCGCTCCCCCCCAGCCCCTCCAGGAAGATGTCACAGCCGTCAGCTGCCGCGGCACACGGATGGTGCCGAGCTGGCTCGCGCTGCCGGCAGCTCGCAGGGATGCTGAGAGCTGCAGCTCCTCGGCAGGAGGGGAGGGCTGGACCCCAGTGCCCACGTCCACTGGGTTTGGCACCCTCGGGGATGTGGCACGAGGCCCCCCCGGGCTCCCTGTGAGGGTGGCTGGGCTTACAGGTGCCACCGGGGCTGGCTCGGAGCGTGGCAGAGCCCATTTGGCTTTGCAGGTGGTGAAACCCGGCTGAAAAGCCAGGGCCGGGGCAGCTGAATGCACGCGGGAACATGGCCAAGGGCGGCGATGGGCATCCCCGGCACGGCGTCGGGGGGGAATTTGCTGAAATTGTTATTTTCCATCGAGCCAAAACGTTGCTCAGGCTTTTGAAAGCCCGTGGTAACCATGGAAAGATCCGCGGCGCAGAGCAGCGTGAGCTCACCCTTCTTTACTCTAAAGGAAACGGGAGGGGGTGAAAAATGGGGCAAAGCCCTCCTCGCACACATCCTTCTCCAGAAACGCAGAAACAAGCGGCCGGCCAGGCTGCCCCCACTCCCACCACGGCCGTGCCTTCCCCTTCCAGCCCATGGGGTCAGGGAGAAAACCCGATGCTGGCCAGGCTCAGGAGGAGCTGGGGGTCCCCACCCGGCCAAGGGGACCCCACGGCTGTGAGCAGGGCGCGGAGCGGGGCTCAGAGCATCACCCGCCTGCCCCGAGCTGCTCTGTGCAGCAACCTGCGGCTGCCCCAGCGAGCTTCCTCTTGAGTCATGGAACATCTTCAGCCCGGAGGCAGCTCGGAGGCAGGAAACTCCCAGGGGAGCCGAGGCCCCGCTCTGGGGCTGGGGCTGGAGCAGGGTCTCGGGGTGGGGGAAGCCCCACGGGAGCAGGGCGCCCTGGGGATGCGGGGCATGGGGTGGCCACGGGGCAGAGCAGGAGGTGGCAGCGGGGCTCTCGCCGGCCCCACGGCACGGCCGTTTGTCAGGAACACCACCGGGTCAATGGCAAACCTTCGTCAGCACGCATGACCTGGATTCAGGGGAATTAATTAGGGCGCAATCAATCGGCGCCTCTCCCGTCCCTTGCCTGTCACCGCTGCCACCCACGTGCCCGGCAGGGACACGCGCTGTCCCCAGGACGCCTGCAAGAGGGCTGAGCAGGGCTGGTGCCAGCACCGGGGTGCTCCAGGCACATGGGGACATGGTGCAGCTCGGTGGGGCTCGGTGCTGCACGTTTCCTGCCCCGGCACGGCGGCGGTGCTCGCCCCGAGCGGTGACCACAGGCGATGTCGAGGCGCCCGGAGGGACGAGGCAGCAGCCCCGGCACGGGGCAGGTAGCTGTGGCAGGAAGCCGTGCCTCCTGAGAGCGGCCGCAGGGCTCCCCGCTGCAGCGAGGGTGGGATCCGGCCCCGCTCAGCACCCTGCTGTTGGGTTTAGTGGCCACCACTGGTTTACGCTGCTGAAAGCCGGGCCGGGGGCTCCCCAAATGGCTCTGAGCTGCTGCTGAGGCCGGTTTCGAGCAGCGGGTGCAGCTCCAGGTGCTCAGGAACACCCAGGAGCCCCCGGCTTCCCCGTGGGTGCCAGCTCCAGCACCCCAGGGCTGGCTCGGCCACACTGCCCGCAGCTGGGTGGGGGCCCGAGGGAGAGCTGGGGTCCTCCTTGCCCCCCAGTGCTGGGCACATTCACCCCACCGAGGAGATGAGGGGCTGACGGGGGAAGCCTTGCTGGGATGGGGATGGGGATCCGATGGGATGGGGTGGGAATGGGATGGGAACACGGATGGGATGGGGAAGGATGGGTTGGGATGAGTAGGGGATGGGGAGTGAGGATGGAGAGGCAGGAGAAGGGGTGGGGATGGGATGGGAATAGGACGGGGATTGGCTGGGAACGAGGATGGGGATGGGGTGGGATGGGGACGGGGACACGGGAGGGAACGGGGTGGGGACGCGGATGAAGTTGAGCCTCTCGGTTTCTCTCTGGTTCTGCAGGAGCCGGCGAGGCAGAGAGCAGGCTGTGACTTCAAACGAGCGAGACGTGACGCAGAAAACCACAGAGGGAGGAAAAACAGCCTGTTCCTCCCCGTCCCCCCCTCGGCTCCCTTCCCCGGCCCGGGTACAGAGGCGTTGGTGCCCCGTGCTCAGCCGCCAGCGCTGGGGAGGAGGAGGAGGAGGAGGCAGCCAGCGGCCCCATGGCAGCCTGGCCGCCCGCCCTGCGCCTGCTGCTCGCGCTGGGGGCATGGGGTGAGTACGGAGGGGCCAGGCACGGGGTCTGGGTGGTGCTGGGCGCCTGCTGGGTGCACGGCCCCGTCCCTACAGCGCCGGCACCTCGGGCAGCGGGTGGGGGAAACCCAGCCTGGCCAGAACCCGGAGATCACACGGAGCCCGTGGTGGCTCCCCGCTGCTGGGCAGGGTGTGGGGCTCAGCCCCGTGCCTTGTGCTGGGGGTCACCCCCTTGCCGGGGTCACCCCCTTGCCAGGGTCCCCTGCGCACGCTCTGAACATGGCGCTGCGGGGAACTTTTGGGGACAGGGAGAAGCAAAAGGGGCTGGCCGAGCACAAGGCCACAGTGCCTGCCGCGGTGCTGCTGGGGCTCTGGGAGATGAAATGAGGGCGCTCACCAGCGGGTGCCTAGTCCCCAAAACCCCGGTGTCCCTGGTGCTGGGCTCCCAAGCGCCCCCGGCAGCCTCCCCGTCCTTGTCCCGCAGCCCCTCGGCCACCCCGTGGGGTCCAGCCTGCCACCGTCCCTGCCTGCTTGGCCTGGGCTTCCTACCAGTAATGCTGGCAACCAGTGAGCGGCACTTAGCAGCCGTGCTGTGCTCCTCCGCCTGTTTTTCAGCAGTAGCCATCCACCAGCACGCTGCGGCTGGTTGCGGGAGGCTGCTTGTATGTAACGAAAGGTAGGGAGGAGTAGAAGTGAAGGCAAATTCACCAAGAAAACCAGAAAATGCTCTTTTATTGCCAAGAAAAAAAAAAAAACAGTGGCCTATGGGGTCTGTGCTCCCCAACCTCCCCGCTCATGGCAGGGCTGCCCAGAGCGCCCAGCCTCACCTTCCTCCTCCTGAACTCCTGCTGCCAGGTGGCGGGCTGGGGACGCTGCTCATGGTGGGGGTGTGGGGTGCAGGTACAGCTGATCCCATCCCCTTCTCTTGCAGCAATCTGCAGCCACAGAGGAGCGGCCCTGGACTATAAAGGTGAGCATGAGGGGGGGAGCAGCTCCCCAGGACCACCTGGGGCTTGTTAGCACGCTGCCTTTCGGACTGGACCAGTGCCTGCTGCATCACGGCGGCTCTGGCCCCACAGCTCTGGCTTTGGGGCTGCGGAACCCGCTCGGTCCCACGAGGCCAGCAGCGGTGCTGTGGTGCCCGCTGTGAGTGTGTGGTACGGGGTCCCGGGGCTTTCATGGCTCCATTTCCCCTGCGCACCCCGAGCAAGCCCCGTTTCCTTCCTGCCCCATGCTGCCAGCAGCCCCAGCTGCCGCCGTGGTGCCGAGCCTCACTGCAGCACCGAGCCAGACCCAGCTGGAAAACCATCTGGGGGCTGCGGGGAGGGGAGGAAAGCCCCTTATGGCTCTGCTCTCCCCACAGCCCCCCTCCTGCGGCTCACCGGTGGCAGCTGCCGCTGCGCCGGGAAGCTGGAGGTGTACACGGAGAAAGGCCGGAGCCCCGTTTGCGGGGACATGAAGAGCCAAGAAGCAGCCAGCATCTGCCAGCAGCTGAGCTGTGGCCCCCTCATTGCCACCAGCCACTTGGCGATGGACAGCAACAGGGAGGCACGGGTGCAGGCGATGCGCTGCACTTGGATGGGCACCTGGGAGAGGTGCCGCTGGATGCCAGCTAACTGCAGCAACCACGCCACCTTTATCTGCAGTGGTGAGCATCACGCAACCCTCCCAGCCCCCTTGTGCCCCCACTGCCTCTACCTGTTGCCTCCCTTCTCGTTTCAGAGCCAGCACCCACCACCACCAAGCCTCCTACTATGCCACCGACCACCAGCCCGGAGCCCACCGGTGAGAGCCCCGCTGCCCGCGCGGCGTGGCAGGGCTTTGCGTGGCTGCTGGGGAATTTGGGGAGCCCAAATCCCGCCTGCGATGGCCGCGATCTCCCCGTTCCTTCTCCAGGCCCCCCCAGGCTGCGGCTGGTGGACGGCTACTTCAGCTGCTCAGGCTTCGTGGAGCTCCACATGCGGGGGCGCTGGGGGGCCGTGGCGAGCAGCCCGGGCAACTGGATGGAGCTGGGTGCCCGCATCTGCAGCACGCTTGGCTGCGGCAGCCTCATCGGTGGCCCCACGGCCCCGCAGCCCAGCCAGCTCCTCGTGAAGTGGGAGGCGGTGGAGCCGTGCAGGAGCCCCCAGCCCATCGACTGCTTCAACAGGACCCGGGCCGAACGCGGGAGAGCACCCGCCTTCCTCACCTGCTCAGGTGAGGGGCGCACCGGGGGGTGCTGTGGCGGGGGGGCTGTGGATACCTCTCCCTTTTGGCACGCAGGAGGTGGGCATGGGGAGCTGGGAGCACCCCTGGGTGGCAGCGGTGCCCCTTCCACCCCTCACGCTGCCGTCCACCCACTGCCGCTCTGCCTCTTCCGTGCGTGAAGACAAAACAGGAAATCTCCCGTGCGCGCTGGGTTCCTGGAAACTGCACCCCCAGACCCTGCTCTGAGCCTACAAGCGGGAAAAGCTGGGGAGCCAGCACCCCGAAACCCAGCGCACACCAGGGAGGAAGGTGTCAGGGTCTGGCAAGCTCTCCTCCGTGCCCCCTTTGTGTTTTCTACAAGCGGTGTGGTGGGGGAAGCTCGCAGGCAGCTCGCGGCTCCCCGCCGAGCAGCCCCTTGCTCGTGCCAAGGCTGGGAGAGCCAAGCCCTGGGGCGAGCGGCTGGCTCGCTCCAAGCCCGTCCATCTGCTCGGGCTTTGAAGCCAGACCGCGGGGTCTGGGGGCTTAACGGGATGAAGCGCAGCAGCTGCCGGGGAGGTTTCACAGCCGTGCTCACCGCGGGGACAGTTCCAAGCCCCTCGACTCTCTGCCACCGCTTGTGCGAGCCCCCAACGCCCGCGGCACGAGGGGGAAGGGAGAGGCGGGCATGGCGAGCACCCCGGCCACCAGGTCTCTTCTCCCACAGGTTCCCAGCCGCAGGCGGTGCGGAGGCTGGCGGGCGGCCCCACGCCCTGCGAGGGGGACATCGAGGTGTTCCAGCAGGGCCGCTGGCAGGTGCTGTGCGACCACCGGGCGCTGCGCAACGAGCGGGGCCGGCAGCTGTGCAGGGAGCTGCGCTGCGGGAACCTCTCCTCCAGCACCGAGCTCCGGGAGCCCCTTGCCATGGGGGTCAGCTGCGATGTCCGCCACCTGCACCTCTGCCCGGACAGCCCCCGCTCGCTGCGCTCCTGCTCCCGCACCCGAGTCGTGTGTAAGTGGCCAGCAGCTCCCCGCCGGGCTCCCCCAGACCCAGCAGGTGCTGTCCCCGCAGCGGTGACATCCGTCCTCTCACAGGCCAGGACTCGAAGCCGCATCCCGCCGGCGTACCAGCGGGCACGGTGGCGAGCATCTGCCTGGCCCTGCTCCTCTTCGGCATCCTCCTGCTTATCTGCGGCCCTCCCGCCTACAGGTGGCTGATGAAGAAAAGTAGGTGGCGAGCTCCCCGTTCCACCCCAGCCCCTCCAATTTGTGCCCTGCCACGATGCCCGTGGGATCCCCAGGGTTTGGGGCCATGTGCGCGCTGCTCCCCCCCGTCCCCAGCCAGGTGCCACCACGGGACGCTAGTGCCACAGCCCCTGTCCCCATTGTCCCTCTGCTGTCCCACGTGGCAGCTGGCGGGGGGATTAGGTGCACAAAGGCGCGTTTCACGAGGCGGGCGGCGGGTCCCGGGGGGATTACCGGTGGGGGGATTATTCAGGGCGGCAGATGGGGCCGGCGGGGGGCCGGCAGCCGGAGGAAAAGAAGCTGGCGGCGGGGCGAGCCGGCAGCTCCCCGGGGAGACGCGCCGGGCCTCACCGCCTCCCCTCCCGTGCAGTCTCCAAGAAGAAGCAGCGGCAGTGGATCGGCCCCACGGGGCTCAACCAGAACGGTGAGCGGCAGCAGCCCCGGGGGCGGCGGGCAGGGAGCGGGGTTTTGGGTCGGGGCACGGCGGCGTGCGGGGGCTCTCGCTTCCTGCCACCGCGTTGACTCACCGGGGCGGCGTTGACTCAGCCGGGCGGCGAGCGGCTCCCGCTCTTACTCAGCCCTTCGGGAGGGGGCCCACCTGGCTTGGGGGGGGGGGTGCTCAAACAACCCCAAGCACCGTGCCCCCTCCCTGAGCCGCCCCTGCCTTGCAGTCTCCTTCCACCGCAACAGCACCGTCACCCTGAGGCCGCGGGCAGATGGGCAGAGGGCGCAGGGGGGGGACAACGACTACGCGCAGCCCCCCCAGAAGAGCTCCCACCTGACGGCGTACGCAGGTGAGGGGTGGGACGGTTTGGTGCTGCTGGCTGAGGGGTGCCTGGGGCTGGCGGCCCCCTCCTGAGCCCCGGTAAGGAGCTGTGCCCTGCTCGGTTCCCTCCGCAGCCCTGGAAGGCGCAGCCCGATCCTCCAACCCTCCGGACAACTCCTCTGACAGCGACTACGACCTGCAGTCGGCCCGCAGGCTGTGACCCCCACAGAGGTAGGGGCGGCCCAGCTGCGGCTACTCACGTGTTGGCAAACCACCTCGCTTCCTGCCCTCCCTCCTCGCCCTGCAGACTTGAGGTGGGATTCAGCACATGGAGAAAGGTAAAGCACGAGCTGAGCAGAGCCGGCGGAGAAAAAGACAAATCAATGCCTGTGCTGGAAGCCCCCCCGTGTCCCCCCACGGCCTGGCAGAGCTCGTCCTGCTCACAGGGACGCGGCCACTCGTGGGGAGACCTTGCCTCTCGCCGTGTCCCTGCCAGAGCTGGAGCTGAACCTGCCTGTGCCCCCCACCGCCCGCTGAGCTCCCCCCAGGCCGAGCAGTGCTCAGCTCTGAGCCCCCGCCCGCTTTGGGGTGCCGCAGCACCCCGCTAACCGAGCACCCTTCCGAGAAAGCTTCCTCAACCCTGCCCCGGGGCCTCCCGCCTGGGAAAGTGCAAGGCGGGGGCTTTTCAAGCTTTTTGTATGAGTCTGAGAGGCAGCTGGGTTGCAGCAGGCTTTGCACGCACACCGAGAACGGAGCAGCCGCGCTCACGACAGCTCGGAGGGGGATTGCCGGCCTCTCCACCCCGAAACCGGGATAACCACGCTCCTCCGCCCCGCAGGAGGCTGTGCACGCACAGGGCTCCGTGCTTCGCCAGCAGGACCTCTGCTCCTCGGGCAAGGCTGCAGAGATGTGAGCTCGGCCGTGCTTGTGCGGTGCAGAGTGAGATTTGCGCCCACGTACGCAGCAAAGCGCAGACGCGAGGAGCGCAGGGAGGGTAAAAATGTTGGGAACCAAATCTGAGATATTTAACGAGCAGTGGTGGTTGTAATAAAATTGTTTTTCTAGTATTTATGTCTTGTTCTCTTCCTTCTACTACCACCAGTGCTGCTCCTTAGACCGGCAACCTCGCAGCCAGTGAGGGAAATCGCATTGCACAGGGGGAGAGAGAAATGGTGCTGAGGGGCCAGCTGGGCTGACGCACGGCACCACAGCAACGGGCCCCTTAGGGAAGATGAAAGCAAGAGAGCAGGAAAGGCAAATCAGAAGAGGGTCCTGCAAGAGGGTGAAAGCTTTTATTGACAAAACCAAGAGGAAGTTGATGTAAGGAGGCCCGGATGGCACTAAAAGATCAATACAAGTGCCAGCTGGACGCCCTGCCGTTTCCGAAAGCAACCACTGCGGTGACCTCACGTGCAAGTCGTTGAGATTTATTACTGTAATTAACCACGAGATGGAACTGTGTCCATCAAACCCCCAAAGCATTCCTCTTTTTCTAGTCCATTAGTAACCATACCTTATAAATAACTTACAGGGATACAAGCAGGATTCGGAGGATAAAGTGCTGAGCAAAGCAAATCCCATTTGCATTACGAGCTGGGGGCACCCCCCGTTACCTAGTGTTTCCTGAGGAGAGAGGGGAACACGAGGACGGCTGGAGCTGGCAGCACCCCACAAAACCGCCCCGGTTTTTGCTCCCCGGTGAGCTGTGAGCACCTGGATTGTGCCGAGGGAAACCCAACCTCACAGGCAGCGGGACCACCTCAGGCAGAACGGGTTTGGAAGTCACCCCACAGCAGCGTAAAAACACAGCCGCACCTCGAGGCCTGGCTCGCTGCTTCCCCCTGCTACAGCGCATTACAAGTCCAGCTGCCAGCCTGGCTGGCTCTGCCTCGCAATTCCAGGAGGGCCGTGAGTGTTTTGGGTCAGAAATACTGCCAGTGCTTCCCACCGTGCCTCCTGAGCACCTGTGCAAAGGCTCAGAATTGCTGCACGCCACGTGTCAGCCAAAGAGCAGATGGCAGGCACGCAGCGAGGGTCTCTCAGTCGCCCCCACACGCACAGAGGGGTGGGTGCCGTCCGTGCGCGTCGCTCCCACGTTCCCCGCAGCAGTACCTCGATGACTCCCCGCATTTTATGATGGAGCTGGGGAGAGCGGCCACTCCAGCCCACCAGCAATCGTCCCAAACCGAGCCTAGAGCTGCAGCTGCGACCGCCTGCCACGTCTCTCACCCTTCGCAACGCTCTCGGTGTGCTCCTCTTCCTCGGTTTGCTGGGAGGAAGGAGCAGCAGAGCACGCCGCCCGCGAGTGCCAGGTTAGTAGCCGGGCCAAGCGGGGCGCTGAGGGTTTGGAGGCGGGGGGTACCCAAAGGGAGGCCCCGGGGGATAGGGAGGCTGTGGGGGGATTGGGAAACTGGGAAGGGGAGGCTGGGTCGGGTAGGGGCACTGCGGCCTCCCTGCCCCGGGGGATGCATAGGGAGGGTAGCCGGGTCTGGGCGGCGGAGTGGAGGGCAGAGGGCCCGGAAAGGAGGGGGCGTGCGGCGGGCCCCTGGACGGAGACCAGGAGTAGGCTGGGGCAGAGGAGGGGGCTCCCGAGGGAGGCCGGGGGTAGCCCGGCACGGAGCTGGCACCCTGAGCGGGAGGGTAGCTGGCATCCGGAGGCGGGCAGGGAAACACGGGGTTGGTGCCGGGCTGCGAGGCACCCACGTGTCCCACGGTGACCGGAGCGCCAGCGAAAGGAGCAGGTGGGAGAGCTCCGTGGGCTGTGGGGCCAACCGGCATGCTTGGGGCCGTGCTGTAGGGCAGAGGGAAGGAAGGTGCCCCCGAGGGGACAGGCTGCGGCTTCGGCGTGTCTGCAGGGGGCTGAGGAGGCAGCTGCTGCTGCTGCTGCTTCGAGTCCCCGCCAGGCTCCTGCGGCGCTGCCGACTTCCGCAGGATCTCTTGCAGCTTCTCCACCCTGACCCGGCGCAAGTGGGCCAGCTTCCTCATCACGGAGAACTGCTCGAGGAAGGACTCCAGGGCCACCTCGCCCTCCAGGAACTTCTCAGCCATTTTCTGCAAGAGAAGACAGCGCTGCATCCCTCAGCACTTCCTCCCCGAAGCCCCTACAGGACAGGATTTCCGCCTCTCCCTCAGGTGTGTGCAGAGGATCACCGCACCACACACAAGCCAAGAAAGGGAAATCCAATTTTTTTTGGAGCAACAATGTCAAACTACGAAGAGATAATCCTTGATTTAAGGGATTAGGTTTGGAAGTGTAAGTGCAAGTCCCGGAGGACTAATCGCTGGAATTGCTAATGGGTTTAAACCTTAAGCTCACCTCAGACTCTTCTTCGATTTTTTGGCTTTCCACCTGCAGGAGATCCAGCAACATCTGGGGATGCATTGCTGCTGAAAATTTCTCTGTGGAAACAAGCAGCAGAGCAAGACATGGAACACAGAACGGGACAAAAACATCAGCACACAGCCCTGTCTTATAGAGCCCGTGCTTGTCATCTGTTCCGCAGCTCTGTAACGCGAGACACTCAAAACACAAAACAGAAGGAGCTCTGTTCCTCGATGTCACATCTCCGTGCCCAATCCCCTTGCACGAGAGTGCCTTCCTACCTCGGAAAATGTTAATGCAAGGAAAACAGAAGAGGAAAGAACCTTAACCACTGCTGCACTGGATTTTTTTTTTGCCAAGACAGCATTCTCAACCTGACCCCATGAACTGGACCAGAAAAGAGGGGAACACTGCTTTGATACAGAGCAGAATCCTTACTGCTGCCACCCCGAACGGGTTTTTCTGCTCAGTGCAGCTGGGGCAGGGAGATGCAGACGGGAAGGGCGTTGCGCCAGCTACAGCCCAGGTGACCGTGTAGGACGGGGTGGAAGTCTCGGAGCCACTCACCCAGTTTCGCCTTCTGCTCCTTACAGCGCTCGGCCAGCTCCCGCAGCTCCTCGTACTTGCGGGAGAGGTCGGAGCGCCCCGTCTCCAGGGGCTCCTGGAACTTCAGGTTCTGCTCGGCCAAGCTGCGGTTAGCGGCCAGCGCCATCTCCCTCTCCAGCTGCAGCTCCTGGACCTGGGGGGAGAGCCAGCAGTCGTGGGGCTGCTGGCAAAGCCTCCCCGAGCCCAGCCCTCGCCCGGCCGCCCCCTGCCTACCTCCCTGGACTCCAGGGCCAGGCGCTCGATCTCCTCGGCATTTTCCTGCAGCTCGCGGAGCTCCTCCACGCTCCGGTTCTTCAGGGTGTCCATCCTCCCGGGGCAGCTGCGGGCTCCTAGGGTGTGGGAAAGGATGGCAGATGAAGAGGAGGTTTCCTAAAGCCCGCTGCAAATAGCCACTAATCCTATTACGGAGTTAAAAACAGCTTTGCTGAACCACTCTAAACAGCTATGCCAGAGAAGTTCCCTTATGCTATAAAGAATCACTGAGACCGAGAAGGAAAACTGAACGTTTCTAACCAGTCCTTCTTTGGCAGCTGACTTTTTTATTTTTTTTTCCTTTTCACAGCGTGCTTGGAAGGATCACTTACGCCTGCCAGACGTTTTTGTCAAGGAAACACCTACTCACAGCCCCTCGATAGCAGGACGACGTCACGCCGACTCCCAGGCTCCAGCTGGCTCTCCCTGCACCATCCCATTCACAACTCCTGCTCTCCCCGATCTGTTTTCCGTGCTCAGGACCCCCAAGAGCTCAGGGATCACTGCTACAACGCGGCTTCCTGCCCCTGGCCAGCTCTCCAGCTCCTCACCCCATCTGGTGTGCTCCCTCCTGCCTGTGGGGTGGCCCCGCTTCCCTCGCTAATGGCTGCTGGGAACGGTGTTGCTCAATGCTGGCTGGGTGGGGAGCTTGGTGCAACGCTTGGAGGTTTAAAGATTGCTGAATAATGGAAATAAAAGAGAGGGGAATGAGGGGAGATAGGGGGAAGTGAAGGGGAAATGGAGGGGAAAGAAAGGGGAAGTGGGGGAAATAAAGGGAAGTGGGGAGAAAGAAAGGGGAAATGGGGGGGAATAAAGGGGATACGGGGGGAAATAAAGGGGATATGGGGGAAATAAAGGGTATGGGGGAAATAAAGGGATATGTAGGGGAATAAAGGGGATATGGGGGAAATAAAGGGGCTGGGGGGAATAAAGGGGATACGGGGGCTAAGGGGATATGGGGAAATAACGGGATATGGGGGAACTCCAGGGGATACTGGGGAATCAACCGGGGCTATGGGGGACTACAGGGTACTGGGGGGCACATCAGGGCCTGGGGGCCTCCCGGGGCTTGGGGCCCTCACTGACCCGAGGCACCATGCCCCGAGGGGACACACCGGGGACACTGGGGGGACAATGCCGGCGACCTCGGGGACATAACGGGGCACCTGGGGGCCTCCGGGGCAAAAGGGGGGAAATAAAGGGGAAATGGGTGGAATAAGGAGAAAGGGGGGAATAAGGGGAAAGGGGGGGCAATAAAAGGCAATGGAGGCAATACGGGGAAATAAGGGGAAACTAGGGAAATAATGGCCCTGCCGCACTGCTTGCCTGACTGATTTCAAACAGCGCTAGTGCTGCCGGGGCACGTTTAGGGCCTGCCAGGCGCTCGCGCCACGGCTTCTGAGACGCAGCAACGTACCGGGACGCACCGGGACGCGGGCGGGGGCGGCGCCGCTGTCCTACCCGCTCCGCGGGGCGCGGCGCCCCCGCGGGGATCACCCCGGAGCTCGGCGGCAGCTCAGAGTGAGGGCAGGGCCGAGCGAAGCGCCCGCGGGCCGCCCCGTACCGGCCCGGTACCGGCGCCCGGCGCCCCCGGTACGCGCCGCCGCCGCCGCCGCCCCCGGCCACTCGCGCTTCCGGCTTCCGGCGCGGAGCCGGAAGTGGGCGGTGCCACCGCGCGGGGCGGGGAGCGCCCCCTCCCCCCCCCCCCCGCAGCGCGGCGGGTGGTACGTCCCGCCGCCGCCATCTTGTGGCGGGGGGGGGCGGCCTGACGGGCCTGCGGGCGGGCGGGGGGGGCTGGGGGCTGCCGGGGGCAGGACCGGCAAGAACAGCTCTATGTGATGTGGAAATAAAGGTTATAGAGTCACTGAGTCACGGAGTCAGGCGGCCACAGTCACAGAAGCACAGAATGGCCCCAGTTGGAATGGTCCCATAAGCATCACCGAGTCCAGCTCCTGGCCCCACACAGCTCTACCCCAAAATGCAGACCTGTGGCTCAGCGCGCAGCCCAAACAGCTTCCTAAATTCAGGCAGTGGCTGCATCCCTGGGGAGCCTGTTCCAGTGACTGACCCCCCTCTCGGTGAAGAACCTCTTCCTGATGTGCAGCCTAAACCTCCCCTGCCTCAGCCTGACACCATTCCCGCGGGTCCTATCACTGGTGATTAAGGAGAATAGGTCAGCGCCTGCCCCTCCACTCCCCCTCGTGAGGAAGCATGTAGACCACGATGAGGTCCTCCCTCAAGCCTCCTCTCCTCCAGGCTGAACAGGCCCAGTGCCCTCAGCCGCTCCTCATACATCTTCCCCTCTCGGCCCTTCACCATTTCGTTGCCCTCCTCTGGACACTCTCCAGCAGTTTCATGTCCTTCTTGTCCTGTGGTGCCCAGCACTGCACGCAGTGCTCGAGGTGAGGCCGCACCAGCGCAGAGCAGAGCGGCACCAGCACCTCCCTCGACTGACTGGCGATGCCGTGCTTGATGCACCCCAGGGTATTGGCCCTCCTGGCTGCCAGGGCACACTGCTGGCTCATATTCAGCTTGCTGTCAAACACAACCCCCAGATCCCTCTCTGCGGGGCTGCTCTCCAGCGTCTCATTGCCCAGTCTGTACGTACTGCCAGGGTTGCCCTGTCCCAGGTGCAGGACCTGACAGTTGTTCTTGTTAAACTTCATGCGGTTGGCGATCGCCCAGCTCTCCCATCTGTCCAGGTCTCTCTGCAAGGCCTTTCCACCCTCATCAGAGTCCACAACTCCTCCAAGTTTAGTGTTACAGTCTGTAGCTTCTTCAGGGGTGAAGGGAGGGGGGTAAAGTGAGCGTGGGGAGGCAGCTGGGAGTAAAGGTACTGCAGAGCTGGAGATGGATAGAAATTGGTGGAAGTGCAAGAGACGAGAAGGCAGGGGAGGTGTAATTACAGTGAGCTGAGATGCCTCTGCCACGTGCCAAAAACTCATATAACAACATTATTTTCAGGTGGCATAGCTGGAACCAAGACATAAAAGTAAATCCCTCTCAAGATAAAACACAGGGAAGTTCCTGAGCAGTGAGGCAAAGGCAGCCCTGATCAGGCCATGCTGTTTGGGAAGCCGTCCTTCAGTTTTCCACAGTACTGCGGGAGCAAACCAGTCTACGGATTATTTTAGGACAGGGAAAAGCTCTGTGCTGCTGGATGAGAGGGGCTCAGGATGGTGAGGAAAGCGAAGGGGACTACAGGTGGCCAGGCAAGGTCATGCAGGTAGAGCAGAAGCGTCTCAGGAAAGGCACCTCTGGTCCTTGTGCACCACGTGAGGCCCGTTGGCTGCTGAATAATAAACATGAGTCATATGGATCCGGTCAGTGCTCTGTGGTCCAATTTGTTCATAGCAGGGCTGATAACCGGGTCAAGACCTAATGTTACCGCAGGAAAAGGACTTGACATTTCAAAGGGAGATTGGTATTTCCAAGGCTTGTTTGAGGAGCAGTCTCCAGCATTGTGGAATGGCTGGAGCACATCCAGTTCACCATTTATATCAAGCTATAAGGACTGAGTAGAGGATAAACGAGCTTGCATTCCAATTTGTTCTTTGCAATGACGTAAGAAACAGAATGGGAAAGCAGTGCCAATGGCAAAGTGTTCTCCCAGCAATTAACAGTTTGAAAAATGGGTGTTTTTTGCTTAATGTGGAGGATGTGCCCATTGCTTGCTTGTTCACCTCCTTAGTTTTAAGAGATTGTTTCAGCTGGTTGTTGTGATACATCATAAATGTTTTGGAGGAAAATGGAAACATTCCAGGGGTGCTGCTGTCAAGGGAGGACTTAATGAGTGCATTCGACTTGCCTGTGGCTCTGTGGGCTCTAAGGTGGAGGGTGGCAATGCAAGACTAGGGAGGAAAGTAACTCACAGTCTGTGCGAGGCTGAAAAAATGTCAGGTGTACAGGAGTTCAACTCAGCAGCCCCGATCCTTTGTCAGGTGTTGCCTTTGGTTTATTGTCTGGCCATGTTCATTTGTGGGTTTGGTTGACTGTTCCTTTGAGCTTAAGAGTCATAGGAAATCTGGGGCGTTTTTCCTGTAGAAGGAAAAAAAAAGATAGTGCTGTTTTTTGTTGTTGTTGTTTTTTTCTTTTTTTTTAGTGTGACCCTGTTTATTTTCAAGACAGTGTTATCTTCCTGAACAGGGAAGGGTTCCGACAGCAGAAGAGCCTTTCTCAGAATCCCACCCATCTTTTAATTGTGAGTTTATGAGAAGAAAGCACTTCTCTTTGCTCTGGGTACCATGTCACACATGCACTTCTGGCTGTCCATCTGTCAAGCCACAACCCAACCAATTCTCTTCCTGTGCTTGCTCTTGTGTAACCAGAAGGCTTCACAAACCACACGTTTCAGCCACAGAGGCTGTGTTGGTTGCCCCCGGCCGGTGATCACAGCAGATAGCAAGACCTGCCCTCACCACCTGCACATCCTGCCCCTCACAAGTACACCCAGCAGTGGAGCTGACGTCTCTCGGGCCTGCCTTAATAGTGGGGAAGTTAATCAAAAGTTGTTACTTCAAGTCGCAGGAGCATCAAACCGGCCTTTCCTCCTCACAGTCTGCCCTTACAGAAGGGTCAGGAAAGATTGGGAACAGGGACAGGAAAACAAGTTTGCTTCCTTAATCTCTGTTACCAAGATAAAGTATATATCAGTAAGGTGTTTTTTTTTTTTTTTTTTTTTCAAGCTGAGCGTTTCCAGCTGGCACCGATAAGAGTTCTAGGAAGTGATGTATTTTCCTAAACAGAGCAAGGATAGTTCTGCCCAGCACCAGATCCATTTGATAGGGCTTTATCAAGTGATAAAGCTTGAGCTTTATCAGCAAAGTCCCTTGCCACACAGAGCCTGAACAGCCACTTACAGTCCTGTTTGTCCCGTGGGATGAGCCACATGATAGTTAAAGGCAGTGTAAGTGTTGGTGCCCAATCTTGCACAATTCCCACTGAGACTTTTTTGGGCACCTGGCTGTCGGGACTGATCTGCTGCGACTGCCTCCAGCCTCGTGGCCATTGCCTTCCTGGCAGAGCTGCAGGGGTTGTTCTCAAACCCAGTGAGATGCCTCCTAGCCTCACGTCTACCTGAGTAACTGCGTGCTTCTGATTCTTTGGGTTTATCTGGTGTATATCGCATGGGGATGTCCACACAGGGCATTTCTGCTACCACACCAGAAAAACAGTGACCCATAACTGTGATGTGAGGTCCCCGTGATCCATTTCCTCCTTCTGCTCTTAATTAAAATGACCAGAAACACTCTGTTCCAAGCCTGTTCTGCCCCTTCACAGTCTGCTGTCCATCAGAAAAAGGCCGTTAAGTGGTTAGACCTTGCAAAGCTGGGGAAGAACGCATTTTTCCCCAAAACTTCCTTGAGGACTCTTGGTGGAAAAAACCTGCATTTCTTATCGAGCTTGCCACCCACACACAAAAAACTTGACGTGTGAGCAAACAGGCAGCAGCCCCGGGGCCTCACCCCCTCCGGCAGCGTTCCTTCATCTCCCCAAGCTGGCCATGAGGCTGGTCCTGCTCCTCGCTGTGCTGCTGCTCGCCCGCGGCGCCGTCCGGTGAGTGCGGCGGGGTTCGTGGCTCTCCCTCGCGGCAGCAGGAGGAGCGGGGGGAGATGCTCAGCTGGCTCCCCACGGCCACGGGGATGCCCAGGAAGGGGTCTGGTGGCTGAGGTGCTGGGGGAGACCCATGCTTGGACCCAAGCCTCCCCCCATGGGCACAGCTATGGAAGTTTGATTCTGTGGCAAGCGTCTGAACTAGACCACCGAAGTGTACCCTGACGGAGCTCATTGCTTGCTGTTACTTGCAATGTGTGAGTTCTATGTCAACCATTTTGAACTGTAATTTCCAAAATGACACGTACACCCAAATCCACAAGCTTTCAGGTCCCTGTAACAGCTGACTGATGCTGACAGTACATGATTTCGTGGCATTGTCGCCATGCTGCATGCACCAGCTTATCCAAACATGAGGCCAGCCTCTCACCCCCTGCCCATCTCTGCCACCCCTCGCTGGCCAGGATCCCGCTGAGGAGGATGAAGTCCCTGAGGCACAGGCTGGAGGAGCAGGGCTTGCTGGAGGCCTCCCCGAACACGCTGCCTTCCCGCGTGGGATCCAGATTCTTCTCCAGCCTTACGAGTGGTGTCACCACAGAGCCCCTGGAGAACATCATGGATGTGAGTGTGGCCGGAGGGTGCTGCTGATGTCCACAAGTCTGCTCATTTCGGGGTGGGTGTTGAGAAGTTCTAGCCCTAGAAAAGAGGAAATTCTGCTTTCAATAGCTCTGCTCCCCTCAAAACCCTCCCTCTCCCCCATGGCAGGCTGAGTACGTGGGCGCCATCTCCATCGGCACGCCGCCCCAGCAGTTCCTCGTGCTCTTCGACACCGGCTCCTCCGACCTGTGGGTGCCCTCGGTGGACTGCTCCAGCCCGGCCTGCGGTGAGCGGTGGGACTTGCTCTGGGTGAGGGCTGGCTGGCATTGCCCGCGCCGTGCCCATCGCTCCGAGCAAGTGTGGGGCGCCGACACTCCTCCTGTTGGTGCGGGCAGTCATGGTGCTGCTGCGCCAGGCAGAGAGAAGGCTGAGGCTCTCCCCGAGGAGAGCAGGGCTGCAGGCTGCGGGAGATGCTTCAATTCAGAGCCA